AGCCCGTTGGCCAGTTTGTTATGCCCTGACAGCGTCGGCCACCCATCTTTACCATTGCTATTGTTGGTTCTGTTACAAAGCAGGAGCAGAATCAAGCTCAGCACAATAATCAAGATGTACTGTGGATGTAATTAGAGGAAGTACATAGAAGAAATAAATAACAACCTCTGTGTGGAGTTGGATTTACTCTTTGACTTCTCTGTACCACATGCTGGAGGTTGTAGAAAGCTAGGATTAATTTTATAGAGGTCTTGGAGGAGTTTCTGCTCATACTCTTGATGTTTTCCCGCCTAAAAGCAAATGACACAACATGAGATAACTGCCTTTTCAAACATTAACAACTCACACAGGTTAGAGCAAAGTTTCATTCTCAGACTTTACCTGCATCTCCTCTTTAGTAAAGCTAGCTGCTTCATCCCCCAGCTCATGTAGATACATACAATCAGGTTTGGGACACTGCATACTTTTAAGGAAGTAACTGCAGTACTTTGTTGTGCCTAAAGAAGCCTGTAACAAAAAAACAAAACAGATACAAGTTCTGAGTAAAATATTGTGCAAGAAAATGTGTACAAAAATTTCAAAGTTAAGGACTTTTCTTTCAATGACTTAGTGTAATCCTACTACCGTATTTTAAACTGCAAGTTGTTTAATTAAAACCTGTTTATGTCTTACAAACAGGAGGAGAATACAGAATAAAGCAATCAAATGGCTTTTATGCAAATAAAAAACAAAAAACAGCCATATACAGGATCGACAGCAAAAAGATTTAAAAAACTGATGAGTATAGCGGTCGACTTCTCACCTTGAGTGTTCTGCCATCAACAACCACATTGTTCACACACTGTATTGCTCTTAGAGCATCTTCAGAGCGGATGTAAGTGACATAAGCGCTGGCACTAGGCCCCTGAAAAACCAGAAATTAAAGTAAACACACAAGTCAAAACCTCTAGGGCTACAATTAGCAATCGTTTACATTTTATAATCAGCTAACTTTTACACCACTCAATACATAAATCTATAAAATGTTTTAGTTATTATAAAAAAAAAAAATATCAAAAGATAACCTAGAAAATAACATAAAATATAAAACCCCCAATGTAATAAACAAGCAAAAATATCTGTAAAAATGTAAACAACACAATGATTCACATTTTTGCTTGGTCTCAGACAAACTATTCTGCTATTTAAAAAATTGATATTGATTAACCTTTATGAATGTTTATAAACCTATCAACTGCGAGTACATTGTGTCAGTTTCATTCAACCTCTCACCTGTGAACCTGCGTAAGATGTGCTATTGTTGATTACCACTTTATGGATTTTCCCAAACCTCCCAAAATACTCTGGTCGTTTTAGGACCTGTGGACACAACGCAAAAAAAGAACAGTTACCACAGTTTTGGTGCACTGTGAGCTCCTTAATACACAATATTCAACACAAGCTTTACACTTGAGGCTTCAGTGGGAGGTTGCAATAAGAGACCTTTATATGTACAACATTAAATCACTTCATATCAAAATGCTTTCAAGTGTCACTAAGTGACTCTGTACTTACCTCCGGGTCGGCGAGTCGCTGCGAGAGCCCCACCACAAACACCAGATTTCTCTGGACCACTCTGACACTGGCCAGATGCTTGCGGTTTTCTGTCACCTTCTGCTTCTTCTCGTTCTGTTTCTGCTTCTTTTCATTTTTTATCCTTTGGATCTCCTCCTGTGACAGAGGCTTGTACACAGCCGGGTCCTCTGGGTACGGCTACACAGAGAAAAAACAAAGAATTTTTTGTCCATCATTTGGGAAAAAAAAAAAAAAAAATGCCCTACTAGTTTAAATGATATGGCCTTGTGAAGGATAGTGAGTATCTGAGGCCTTTGGTTGTCAGTATGGTAGTTCAACAGGCATCACTAGCCAAACTGCTGAGGCTATAGATTTTAATTGATGATGAACTGAGGTTTAAACAAACCAGCCACTTTGAAAAGGTGGTCGAATAGTTCATTTCCACCTTGTATTAGCGTTTGGACACTCAACATCATCATGTCTGCTTTGCTAAACACATCCTCTCTGCCGCCACAACATACAAACCAGCCTCAACTTGTGACGAATTTCTCTGCAATCGCTCATCTCATCATTTCCTCACCTTTCTGCAGGCGGGGCAGAGGCCGTTCTCGTCTGTGCGGATGCGATGCCAACAGAAGCGGCAGATCTGGTAGCCACAGGTGCAGGGGAAGAAGTTGACGTCATCAATCTCCAGCGGCTCCATGCACAGAGGGCACTCCATGGGGTCGTCCTTCATTTCAGGGCTGTGGGACATCCTATGGCGTGGCGAGGGTGAGTGTTGAAGCTGGTCACAGAGCACAGGGCTAAGAAAACAGAGAAAACAAGCGCCTGAGTGTGAGAGCTTCATCATGGCATGAGTGAAAATAATGTCAACTAAACAAATTTTTTCTACTACTTGAACTTGTCCCCACACACATCAACAGCAGGATGGTACAGCATCTGCAGCAGAGTTTATGACTGCAGAGTTCACAAAATCGGACTGAGCACACACCGAAATATATTTATATAAATATCTTTCATGTATACTTCTACCTAGTCAGCAGCAGAGAAAACACTACACTGAGTTACACTAGTTTATTAGGTATACCTAGCTAAAACTACTGCAGTCTAATACAATACATCTTACTGTTGCTTACTGTTTTATCATTTAGCCTACAAAATAACAAAGAGTAGTGCACCCCGAGTTGACATCATAAAATGTCTTTTTTTAGTTTGACCAAAAGTAAAACAAATATATGTATATGTAGATTATATACATACAGTCTACAAAGGAGCAGCAAATCCTCACATTTGAGAAGTTGAAGACTGAGAACACTTTCACCATGTTTGCTTGAAAAATGACTGAAACGATTAATCAGTTATTAGAATAGTTGCTGTCAGGTTTTTTGTTAATGGACTAGATTAGTTGAGTAATCGTTTCAGCTCTAATTGCAAGTGAGTTGGTGATCAATTCATAAAAAGTTATATTAAGTTTGTGATGGGTCACAAACCACAAAAATGACCATAAAGTTGAATCAATGCCTCTCTACGACAGTTACAACAAAAACAGAACATTATAACCTTCAAGGAGGTACGATTTATTGCAGTGCTGCTGAATTAAATTCCCTTAGTTTTAGCAAGGAAACTAAAAAATGAGTCTACATCCTAAAACACAAGCTAAAATCAGCACTGATGCGGATGTTGTGGTATCTTTCTGGGATTAACAGTACCTTACTCGACACAACGTCATGATGGACGTTAAAGGGAAATTCTGAAAACTGCGTCTATTTACGAATGAACAGTCTGTTTTTTCAGCTAAACACCAGCCAGGTTATACGTGACAAGACCGATGCCATCAAACCCAGGCTGATAAAACCCACGGTGTAGAGCTGAAGAAGACGATAACAGGGAAATGCCAACATTACAAATAGCTAGCGGTATTTTGCTCATAATTTCACATATAAGAGTGTCGCAGCTTCTCTCGCAGATACCAACTGACTCGCAATGTCGTGTGTGAAGCCAGAATACCTAGTTAGCCAGGCTGGTAACTTTAGCTGCTATGTCTTGTGGATCGTACATTATGACAGATGTTATTTGACTAACGTTAGGCTAAGCTAACATTAGCCGCAATTTGGGTAAAAGAAGCCGGTCTGACTAAATGCGAGTATCCAGGGGTAAATGGAAGTTTAATCACAAAAACAAAACATATGGAGACCAATACTGACTGGATATTGATGTTAAATGTTTTAAAAAAACGCATGACATAACGTTACGCGTTCTCCTACATATCAACTGACAGCTTGCTTCGTGCTAACCGCTAGCATGCTAAATTATCATGAAAACGTACGGCGCGGCCTACACAAGCTAAGGCTGAACTGGAAGCAGGTTGGTGGCAGCATAAACAACTGACACTGCACTCACGACAATAAGACAACCTGGGCAGTGGTCTGGTAAGCTTGGGGATACTCTGGTTCCAGCCTGTGTAGTCGTAACAGACACAGATGTCCTTTAATTACTAAGGGAGAATTGAAGCTGGCTAGTCCAGCTAGCAGCCTGGCTAACGTTAGCGTCACTTACCCTGTCCGTATTTAGCTTAGATTCCACTCCGAGGGAGTCACACCAGATTGGGCGGAGACTGCAAGCCAATGTATCTGAAATGTCAAAATTTCTATAAACGGTCACTTAAGAAACCGTAAGTGTGTTGGTCTGTTGTAATTAAAAGGCTATAAAGATGTTTTTGCCCCTTTCTTTTCTTGGTATTGTGGAGACAATTTACGCTCAAACCACCATCTTAGCTAGCATTAAAGTTGGGAGGAGGGAATGGGGCAAGTATTCTGTGCCACTGAGTCTGCGCAGATGGACAGACTCTTTGTGGGACATTGAGTTTTCGGTGTTTCTAAAAAGTGTCGTACTTAAGTACACGTGAGGTTCTTAATTTGAGTATTGACATTTTATACGACTTTCGGGTTTTGACGAGTATTCCAGGCCATTTTAATACCATATAGAATGTACTTTAATACCTGTTCCGTGATCATACTGACTGGAGTATGAACGGTATGGAATTATTTACAAAGTTCATTCATTTATTGACATTTATATCACATATTTGTCACTCAATCCCAACAATTCCAAATAATATAATTAATTAATCATTAAACTATGGGCCTGAATGAGCAGCGGAAAACGAACATTTGAATGAATGGAAGGATTAACCAATTTAAATAGCAATATAGGCTAATCATCTGTCTCCACATACGTTTTATACAATATCAGAGGTTTGGAAAAATTGTACTTTTCCATACAGTTTTTGCTATAATGACATATAAAAACATTCTATAAGTGGCATTGCCACTGATAGCAGGCTGTAAAAATATGTAAGAACTTTTGTAAATGAAATTCAAGAATTTTTAATACGTTTAAAAAGTGGTATTACTTCTTTTAAGAAATAAGACATCAAAACACCAGACTATCTTATAATGTATAATATTACATCATTTATTTACAAGGATTTGTAATCAATAGCTCAAGTGAAGTTTTTTAAAAAGTGTTGATTGTGTTTTTGCAAGATATCGGTTAAAACAATCTAAAATATTGAATAAAATCAGTATTTATTGGTTTTTCGATGACGTGTGATTCATTTACTCACAGTATCACACAAACATCTATTAAAAAAACAATACAAAATGACCCAAATTCCTGACACATTTCTCTAGTAATGTTACCCAACTAAAATTATTTTTAATCTATCCACCTAAAGCTTGGTTTGGGCCAGTTCTGGACTTTGTTGGGATCCACTAAGTCTAAGGTGAGTGTGGGAGCAATGGGGTGTGGTGATGCTAGGGACAGCCGTGCAGCCAGGAGCCCCATCTGAACACAGCTGTCTGTGTCTTGCTGCTGGAGAATCCCTGCCATCAAAGCACCTGCAAGACTGCACATAGAGTGGGGATGAGTGTCTTGTTTGAATTGTTTTGGCATGATTTTGTGTGTGAGAGAGAGAGAGAGAGAGAGAGAGAGAGAGAAAATAGAGGCCATGGGAAATGAAAAGTAGCTGAAACTGTAGCAGCAGAAGGAAAAGATGTGAAAAAGAGAAATGAAGAGGAAGTAGGTCAAGTAAATTTTTAGCACCTATCTCCTGCTCCTGATACATTCACTGTCTCTTCTGCAGTCACAATCAGTGCTGGGTAGTGTACAGCACAAAGCTGTCTTCTCTGTGAACCCAAGGGCAGCAAAAATTATCTTCACTTTTTTTCTCTTAGTAATCATCATCATCTTCATTATCAGCTTTAATATAGACCGTCCTTACCCTCTTCTGTTTTCTTGGCTGCAGGTTGACTGAGCCTGCATTGTGCTCTCCACACACCATCACACCATTAGACCCCAGAGTCACCACCAGACAGTGAAGATGCTCCAGAAGGGGGCGTGAGAGAGCCACAGCAACATTCAGCACCTCCTCGAGAGAGCTTGGCAGCACTGTCACCCCACGACACAAAACCACATCCGCAGCTACAATCACACTAGTTGCATTTTTCACAAGAAACCTTACTTTAACAACTGTGGGTGGAAATGTGTGTCAGTAAAAAGGGGACATGAGTCTACAGCTGAACCATTTATTACTGTTTTCTGTCTTTCAGTGGACTTCTGTTTACCTTCAGGCGTTGGGATACCAAGCGTTTTGTTCATGGTGCACAACTCCACCAGGTTTGGGGATGAATAGGACAGAGACTTCCAGGCATCTGATAGAAAAGGCTTACGAGCCTTTTGTGAATCTGTTGGCTCATACCAAACTGTGACACACATTGATGGTATTACATCAAAATCAATGAAAGATTCTGTCCACAATCTTTCATAATCATTTAGGGCACGTCTTCCCCATGCTTACCATTGATGTTGTGCTTTTTGGCAACATGACAAACATAGTCGATGGTGGAGACAGGGATATTTCCATCGAGGCACACAAGAGTTGCTGATGAAAGCTGCTCCTCAAACTTTGACACCTATAAAAAGATGTTTAAAGATAGAATAAGGAAATAGTAATTAAATAAGTAAAGTTTATATTTATAGCAGATTTTAAAAGCCAGAAGTGCTTCATAGATACACATAAAATACAACAATAATTTCAGGGATTAGTCAAAGATAGAGGAATTAAACAAAATTTAAAATGAAATACGGTTGCAACTAATGATTATTTTAATTGATAAATCATTGTTTTGTCTATAAAATATATTTAAAGAAAAGTCACAAATACACATCCCACTTTCTCAAAACCCAAACTGACATATTTAAACATCTTATTTTGTTGAAAACTCAGACCTATTCAGGTCAGATCTTTGGAGGCCAAAGAAAACCATCACATATTAGCATTTGAGAGGGTGGAACAGTGATAGTTTAAACTCTAACACCAACAATGTACAACCATCTGAGAAATAAGTTGTATGCAATAGCCTATACAGGTGGATGCTTAGTGAATTTGGAGAAAATATATTTCAAGATTTCAGTTCTGGTTGATTTGTCAACTCCTGCTTACTTACGGTAACAATAACAATGTTTTCAGTTCAAAATGACATGGTTATCAATCATTGATAAATGAATTACATCATTACAGGACATATGAGCATGCACACAAATTATGCACATCATCAGCATGAGCAGTCTTTTGAATTTTCGAGTATGTGTGTGTGTTGTTTCCTGTAAATCCTTTGTGCACGTCCACTGACAATGCAAATGACTATGTACAGAGGTAACTAATGAGTGTAATTCAACAGCAATAGCACAACACAATGGATAGTATTAAAATGTGGGTTTAATATGAGGAAAATTTAAGGATTAAAACTTTTTAATGTGAATATGGTATTGGAACATCAAGGCTGGACTAGTCTGACTAAAAGCAAACGCCTTTGTCTTAGACTTACATACTGCTCTGTGATTTGCTGGTGAATGTCCATGTCTCCCATTCCAAGACTCATCTCTCCACTCTCAGTGATAACAACACAGTACGTGGCTGTGCTTTGCTCTTCCAGCCTGGCCACACCACTGGTGTTCTTACAGAAATAAGAAAAAGACAACATTTACATACTGAAGTAAAAGGAATTTTAATCATGCTTAGTGGCAATCAGCTGTTGATGCTCACATACCATATGTTTACAGTAGTTTAACACTGCATCACTGTGTGAATCAGCTCCAATAGCTGAGATGAACAGAGGTCTGTGGCCTAAGCGACTCAGGGAGTCTTGAGGGAAAACACCAAAGAAATGAGTGTCAGACAATCAGGTTTAATCCACTGAGGTTAACGTGCACGAACATAATCAGATAAACAAACTCACCGGCAATGTTCCGTCCTACACCACCAAATGACTGACAGACGCTTCCTGGGTTAGTCTGTCCATACTGAAAGAGCAACACCTGTTTTCAGATGTAATTTCTAACCTACATAATAAAGTTTCACATGATCTGGAGCAGTGTGGATGAAAACGCATTGCAAGTTAAACTTACATGCATTGTTTTTGCTTTTGCTTTGGCAATGAAATCCACATTGATTCCTCCTATGACAACCTGTAAAACAACAGCACTGCAGGCACTTTCCAATATTTGACGACACACTGACAGATTTGGAATGAAGTCCGTCATATGTGTTTATACTCACAATATCTGACTCTGATTGTGATGAGTGTTTTCCAGAATGAGGAGTTTGGCTTCTTAACTTTCTCTCATTCATTTCTTTTGACAGTGCACAGGCTATTTGACTTCCAACTCTAGCGTTGTTATGAATGAGAGCAATGTCTTGAAACATAACAGGTTAAGGACAGTGTATTACAGCCCAAAGGTAATCCACAGTAGACATTTCAGGCCACTGCAGTTTAACATTGTCAGCCTAAGAGACAACATACAGTATCTATATGATCATGTTCTCTGTACAAGTTCTCAGTGATTTAGATTTTCTGTAGGATACTGGCCTGAAGGGACTTTCCTTCAGTCAGCTCATTGACCTTCTGAAGAATGAATGGCGTCACATCTCTTCCTGTGATACCTTTAGCACTGAGCGAATCAAGAAGACAACAGTAAGTGATAATTTTCCCAGCTTTGTCGATCACTTTGACATCACCACAAAGAAATCCAGACAAATTTTCAATGGCTGCTGTGAAAGCAACACAGCAACACGTCACAACAGAGACGCTCTGTACCTTGCCTCTGTCACTGCAGCCTGTATGGCTTCTTCAATCTGCTTCCCTGCAGCTGCATGCTCCTCTGGGATGGGCACCGCTAACAGGAGACCACTTTGATGACCCAGGGACAGAGTGCTTGCTGACAGACACGGAAAACAGATATAAAGACTAATTAGTAATGAGACAAACCAACTGTAAAATGGGTATACTGACTTAAACATATTCTGTGCCTAACATACTATTTTTTAAGATCTGAGCCTGGCAAAATTAAGTGATGATGGGCATTGAATCTGTTAAGGCGCAAGGAAATAGGATATAAAATGTTGATATACCAATGAGTTTTGCAGCCTCCGCGGGGTTGCTGACTTGGCATGGGGAAGTGAATCCACTTCGTGGAGAGAAGAAGGCTGGAAAATGCTTTGACTTCCCATAAGTGACTACACAGACACCATGTGTCTCCTGAGTAAAGATACATAGCAGATGAAACAACCAGAAGTACGAGAATTTAGTTTTAAGTCACATCTCAACCAATTTGATAGAAAAATATTGTATTTTTTTTTTTTTTACATATTTGGCTGTCTAAAAGTACAACTCCAATGGGAAGAGACTCTGATTTGCCATTGTATGTGATTTACTGAAAAAAAAAAACTTGACATTCTTACAAGGAATTCAAGGGTGCGACCAATGTCCAGAATAGATTTGACCCCAGCAGAGACCACAGCAATGGGAGTCCTGCCCAGCTCTGTCAGGTCTGCACTGATGTCCAGACCTGGAGGAATAATCATTTAGTCAGTCACTAATAGTAAGGCTTTGAATAAAGTGTTACCATCCTATTCTTCTTCCCTTGCAAAGAAAAAGCAAACTCACTATCCTGACAGTTGTGGTGTTCTTACACATGAACCTCAGCCTCAGAGTGATCTATCCCGTCACCAGGTGGGATGACCCTTAAGCAGCCTAATCTGGTCATGGTCTTTGACATCAAATCCAGACCGACATAAAATAGCTGGTGCACTTGATGATGGCATTGTTCACTCTGAGGAAGACCTCAGTATAGTTCTGTCCTTATAGTTAGGACTGGCTCAGTTGAGCCCTAAACCAGCCCTTAGTTATGCTGCCTAGACTGCTGGGGACACTCCCATGATGCATTGAGCACTCTCTCTCTTTCTGCATTCATATCATACTACTTCATGTCATTAAATTGTATTTTCTCTCTCCCCTAGTTTCTGCTTCTCCTCTGTGTTTCTGTCCGTCCTCATTCTGCAGGTATCTCTGACTCTGGAACTGGAGGATCCAGATCACACTCATTATTATTATTATCATTATTTCATTATTATTATTATTATTATTATTATTGTTGTTGTAATTATTTTACAACTGTTCCTGGTTTCTCCCTCTCGTTCTCTTTCTCTCTCTCGCCCTCTCTCTCCACTACCAAGTCAGATAGTTATCTTCCCACATGGTGCGTGTCATCTTACTCTTCTCTCCGTCTCTGTGAACTCCTCCAATGCCACCTGTGACAAACACAGGGATGCCAGCTCGATGTGCTGCTATCATAGTGGCTGACACTGTCGTTCCTCCAGAGAGCCCCTGACAAAACAACATACACATACAGGACTGCAGGCACAACACCACAATCAATGATACATTGACATAATCAAAGTGGATGAGACCCTGCCACCAGGTCAACCGTCATGTATTTTAGACAGCGACAGATTTGAATTTCCAGTGGTGGAATGTAAGTAATGTCCACTTACTAAAGTTCTTTAGTAGCTAAATTGCTGTGGTATAAAGATTTTAGTTATATATTGACATTTCCCCCCTGTCCTCCTACTTTATACTTCTGCTCTATTACGTTTCAGAGCAAAATATTACGCTTTTTACTCCACTACAACTTTTTTACTTATTTCAATTATTGTTACTTGTGACCTTTCAGATTGTACATGACAAAAACACATGATAATGATGAAGATGATGCATTGCTATACAAATCATCTAACCACTAAATAAAGTATCTAAAACTGGCTCCACACTGATGAACTGCAACATAAAAACGCTGTTACATGTGTTTGTTAGAGATAAAAACTAAATCATATCTGAAGGAAGCTACTCTGCATGATAAGTACTTTTGATACTTTAGGTACATTGCTGATGCACTTTTTGTTTTTCTTTGGTATTTCTACTTTTACTTAAACAATATCTGAATGCTTCTTCCACCACTGTGAAGTTCATATCTGAGTTGAATGTACTGCAGTCTCACTTTGCTTATGACGAATGGAAGATCACGGCGGGACACCTTCAGGGAGCTCTTGCAGCGGGCAAGGTGCTCAAGCTCCTCTGATGACAGACCAACATGGACTTTGCCTTCGATCACTCCAACTGTGGCTGGAGTGGCTCCTTCAGCTCGTACAATGTCCTCCACCTCCTTTGCTGTGCTGGATGAACACATAAATAATGCTCATTATCAACGATTGAAACAATTTCACATAATCAGTTTGATGGTACTTGATGGTCATTCTGGGTACCTGAGGTTGTGTGGATAGGGCATGCCATGTGTGATAATAGTGCTCTCAAGGGCAACCACCGGTTTGTTTTCTGCCAACGCCCGTGATACAGATGGATGAACTCTGAAGAGTCTGTCTGAGAGAAGAGATCAGGGTGAATTCACAAATAATACTCATTATTATCATTATGCCTTGAGCTGTGTGTACAATATACTTTTAAATGAGGAGATGCATTTACCATTTTTGCACCATGTGTTCTGATAAGTTGTAATTCCTCTTCTCAGGATGAGTGCAGAGGCTCTCTTCAGCACGCTCATTCTCTTCAGATTTTGAGGGAAGCCCTGAAAAGTGAAAGTTTGAAATTTTAGTTTAAAAAAAAAACAAGACTATAGGTCGAAACCTAATGTATTGTTGGACCGCTCCTGGTCAAATCCTGATTTTATAAATGCGACGTCTTTTGACAAAATCCCCAAACACATAAGTTAAAGACAAAGACTGTGCAGTGATTTCAGCTATATTGTGAAATAACTGATCTCATCTCTTACACAGCGCACAGCCACCTGGGATCCACAATAGCTTAGTACACACAATAGCCAATATTTACCTCAACTCCAGCACGTAGCAGACTTATATTAGAGGCAGGTTTTTATTTCTAATTCACTGTCTGATATGTAGAATTGGTCAGTGTATTATAGTACGGAGCCTCGTTTTCCGTGTTAAAGTTACTGCATTACGTATTAAAACAAACCCAACAATTCCTGTAATCGTTTCAGATTAAACGCCCACTAGCGTTTCAGTAGGCAGAGCACCTTTATTTCTTAACAAGGCGTTTATTGCTGTACTGCAGTTAGGGTATTGTCTTATTTCCGGTTGATGACGTGTCTCTTGTTTACATGCTATTCAAATCTGCTAGTTTCTTCTCTCTCCCTCCCACTCTCCTGAGGTCCTGAACTACGAGGGAGGATTTGAGGTTAACGAGGTAACTTCAGGTTTAACTCTGGGGTTTCAGTCTTATGACTTCACTTCTTATCCAGGTTAATCACCATGGCAACTCATGCTGAACTTCTGACCTGCTTCGGAGCAGGATAAAGTGGAACTGAAAAACTGAGTCATCATTTCGATAGGATCATGACGGAAACTAAAGACAACTAACGAACACTAGATAAAACCAGTCCAATCGCTTCTCTGTTTGAGTCTTTCTATGTGTCCACTTTTAAAACAGAGCTTCTAAAAAACAGAGGAGAGTTTATCACAATAAATAAACAGGTTACACAATGAATATTATATATATTATTATACAGCTTCATTTGAACTGAACAAATATTTTTAAATCCCGACAGGATTTCTGACAGTGTTGATGCTTTTACTCTCTTCCTTATCACTGCAGCTCAGAATAACATGAGGAGACTCTGTGACAGTAGCTGGGAATAAAAACTAAACCCTCTTTATTTATTTTATTTTGTCTTTTATTAGAAAATGACTAACACAAAATATTCAAATATTTCCATGATTATAAATGAGCATTTCAGTCAGATGTGCCTCACCAGTTATCAACTACTTCTCTTCTCTCTGCTTGGGCAGCAGAAACAGTCTGACAGTTTTTTGCATCACATGTTCATAATAGTTTGTTCATAATCAGATAAAGAGTTAAAATAGTCATATTCTATATACCTCAAATAGGGCAGGTGCTCTTTATAAAACATTTACTCAGTAAGAAACTTAATAATAGTAATTAATGCACTTATATATGTATATCCTTAGCCTGACTTTAATCACTGGAAATTATTTCTAGTGTTTGTCTTGATTCTAGTTATGTGATCATATTGTTTACATATCGACTTGTTGAATATCAGTTTTGGATATAGCTATAACTGAAATTTCTCATATCATATTCAGAACTTTATTCATGATTCTTTTACATGAACACGCTCAAAGCCAGATAGAAAACCTAGGGTTAACTGAACCCGCCAGAAAATGAAATATCCTGGGTATGTTGAACTTGCTTTGTAGTACAAACCTCTGCTCTCTTTTGTTCGGTGTGTCTTATGTTTATTTATTCCTCTGCCTCCTTTAGTAATAATGATACATGTGATGAAAGTAGTTTATTAGCTGTAATGGAGGCGAGGCTCAGTGTATTGGAAGTGCTCCTCCGCTTTCCTGCAGTTCCTGAGCAGCCAGGAAACCAGAGTAGCTCGGTAGACTGCCCGTAATAATAGGTGTAGCCCTAAGCCCAGTGTTGGCATCCATACATGGTCCAGCCACATACCAAGTTTATACGCAGTCTTGATTGAAAGACTAGGTATAAATCTGCTGACAATGCCTTAATTGGCAACACTGCAGACTGAATAGAAAAGTGCCAGAAACTCCAACTCAGTGACATGGCATTCAGCTGACCAGTGGTGGATATATGATCTGTCAGTCAGTCAGTCAGTCAGTCAGGAATATTACAGATTATAGGGCTGGTTCCGCTGTTGCAGTCTAGCCAAAAATCAGTGTCAGCTGATCCTCATCATTCAACAACTTGAGTAGATCAATTGTCTTTCATTGCAGCCTGATACTGCCATTGATTTACTCGTGATTATGGTCTCCTCTCTAGTATTCCAAATACTAGAACTTGGGAAGTTCATTTTTAATATGTTCAGTTGACATTTACAGTGTTATGCTGACTAGTCTAACACAAATGAGATTAAATTAGTGTTTCTAATAGTTTGATTAGGTTTTAAAACTAAAACCAACAAACTCTGAAAAACCTCTGCAAGTTTAATTTCCAACATCCATTCAAAAGTTACAATCCCACAACATTAAATAAAAGACGGACGCAGTGACTCAACCAAAACCCAGTCTTCACAGTTGCAAACACTAACACTAAAGGGACCATAAAATTGATTTTGTTCCTAAGTTTACTTGTTACACTCCTTTATTTGGTGGAAAACATATATCTAACAAATGACAGGTCTTTAAGAAAAACGATCACACAGGATATGCTTGTCAAAATCAGAACAATAAACAACATTACTTCACTTTCTTGAAGTACATATTACATAAGATCCTCAAGCTGTATCATACCCTGCAGTGTGTTTTTTTTTTTATCACTGCGAGACACAAGACTCATTCAGCCATTGTGAGGATTTTCTTTGCTCCAATTAGTTTGGAAAAATTCCCACCACCCTCTCCTCTTTGGGGCCTCAAAAATTCACACTCAAATTCCAGAGCTGGGGTCTGTATGGTTGTCCTCTCCTACTTCACTGTAGCAATGCACTAGAGATTGTTGGCTGATATGATGGCTGAAATGTGTTGCAATGTCAGTAAATTATAAGACAAAAGCAAAAGAAATGCAGTTAACAATGTTTGGCTTTTTTTGTGTCAACAAACAAAGTTTAACAGCTTTAGTTTTTAATCTAATACCTCATCAATGGCACTGAGAGGATAAGAGACACACCGATAAGTGCACAGCGATAATAAATCATCTGAAAAGCTGCATAAGTAAACAGGACAGAAGTCATCAACAATAACTAACACTCTCTGCTAGGAGGGAGACCATTTACCGTGTTAAAAGTCCATTACACATTACATTCAAAACATTTTGTCCGCAAAAAGAGTTAAATGCTCACCTTCTCCAGTCCAATAAAATACTAGAAACTTTGCCCAGTTGGCCGAACTTTGACCCGAACACTGTTTACACAGTCCAAAAGCATCAACCGCAGATCTCTGTGGTCTGAACTACTCTGGAGTCGATTCCCAATGAAAGGAAGTTATATTAAACATGCATCTTGCAAGTATAGTGCAGAACAGATATCTAGACAAGCTAATATACAATACGGTACAATAACAACCAAAGCAGCTTTGTGTATAAAAAATCCACATAGGTATTCTTTATAAAGATTGCAAAGAAGTGATAAATGTTCCTACAACGTTTTTGCCTCGACATGACATTTAACCACAAATTCATTGCTTTTTTATTTTATGGTCAGTTTCATATCTATTAGTATCCACTGGGAGATCAACAGATCTTTGTTATGATGTTGTGAAGGAATTTGACCTCTGAATCATGACATAACTGTCATCACACAGCACAAGTGATGGACTGTCCTCGATATTTTCCACAGACAGCTGGCAGGATCTTCTTCATGAGCATCTCAAGACGCTAATACAATCAAATCAAACTGGCAGCATGTCCTCAACAATAAGATGATTGAGTTCAACTGAGGAGCACATTTGGAGCTGTTCGGCCATGTAGAGGCCTGTTTTGTCTGCAGTGATATCACTTTCATGTGTCTTTACATGGCTGATGACTTGGAAGGAGTCAGGTATAAAATATGTGATGAGGTTTGTGACGTCGCATTGTCATAGATATCCGCTGAGGTCTCTTCAACCTCCACCTCTGAGCTCTCCAGTAATTCATCCTCAAACCACTGTGGATGCACCAGCTGATATGCACGGAAAGCGTCTATAGCGTCCCGCAGGGCTCTACCTGAGAGGCACTGATGATACTCGTCCTCTGAAAGCCCTTCAATGTGATTCACTCTGCCTGGTTCATGCTTTTCTGTATCGTGGATTCTGAAAAAGATCTCCTCAAACTGCTTCATCAGCTTGTACCGTACTGTAATGTTCAAAGGTGAAGGAACATCCTTTTCTGAACAAATGTCATCAAAATAAGCCACTATGTATTTTTCAAAGGAAGCAGATCGAATAAAATGGGGGACCATGAGGCTGAGGGCTGGAGTGAGCATGTCACCTACAGGTGAGCGGGCGTCCTCTCTCAGAAAAACCTGTTTGTGACCGCACATGGCTCTCCATTTGGCTTGTACTCCTGGTGAGCACAGGATTAGTATCTTATCTGAAGAGCTTTCTATTTGCTCTCTGTGCCAGTCCAACCACTGAATGCTTCCCAACATTCCCAGTCTGGCAGAGTCCAGAAGATCCAGGACCACTTCAGTACCGCATTTGGTCGCCAGGAAGCCACAGAGCTTGAGAACAATGTTTTTGTATAACGGGTGGTCGAGGGAGTAGATGATGAGCACTCGTTTTCTCTCCTGGAGCTGAAAACCCTCTGGTTCGCTTTTGGCAGCAGATGAAGGTGTGTTCACAGAATCTGAGAGAAGGATGGAGACAAAATTCACAAGTTACTGTATCAAGGACTGTAAGTAACTAAAATGATCCCCTCTTTTACCAGCTGCAACATTTAAGTGATATACACATTAATGCATCAAATAATTACAGTATAACAATATACAGTATTCAGAAATGGGATGTTTGGCATTATGAGAATTTTTGATGCTTTAAATATATTTTAATATACAAGATCTTGACTTACCACACTGTGGTATTGCTACTTTTACTTCAGAGAAAAATCTGGCTTCGTCTACCACCACTGCTTATGTGTATAGGCAGATGAGTCATATAAATGTCGAATTAACATGATATTTTTATGCTCAAATGATTCCAGCTTACTAAAAATAACACCAACTGTAAAATTAAAAAAAAAAAAAAAAGGCCAATGTAAAGATATTGACCATTTGCAGAAAACATTGCCACTCTCAGCATATTGGCTCCTCTGTACATTCAGGAAGTGTTTGAACTTCATTCTAATGATTTCACAAATAAGAAACTCACTGATTTTGCGGTGGTCCAGTCCCTGGAAGTCTCTGGTTTTTTGCAGCTGAAAATCCTCTGGTTGGTCTTTGGCAGCAGATGAGGGTGTGTTCACAGAATCTGAGAGAGGGATGGAGACAATTGATTATTTTTCTATTCAAGTTGTGTTTTCTATTCAAGAGTTTATTTATAAGAGGGCAAACCTTTATGAAATGCTCTCCACAGGAAATAAAAAAGACAAACATCAATGACAAGCAGCCCCACAACTGCCTTTATAATTAACGTCCGCGGTGGATAATCTAAAAGTACAAACATACATATGATTAGCTTAGTACCACTACAAGCAAAAAAAGTTAACCAAAATATCATTAGACCAGTGATTCCCAACCTGTGGATCTGGGGCTCTTCCACTGGGTCACAGTATAAATCTTGGGGGCTTGTGAGATGGTAAATGGGAAAGGAAAAAATAAAAAAATAAAATTCTACTATATAAATTTGCATCAGTCCTTAGTATTTTGTCTTTATCTTTGCATTTTAGTGAAAAATAGGATTATTTAACCTCTTCAGGTGTCAAAAATATTCAAATCAGACAATCAGAGAACTTTAGAAGTCAAAATTCAAAAACCTCTACAACAGGGGGTCAAAACTGAACAGTGCTTTATTTGAATAGGTCATGAGCCAAAAAGGTTGGGAACCACTGATTTATGCTCTGTACCATATAGTCACTGAAAATCTACCAGACAGTATATATGTCAAAAGTTGTACTTACATGGGCAGTAATCGAGTTTCTCCTTGTGGCGCCGACAGTGATTTTTGCATCGTGGAAAATACGGCTGAATCTTTGAAACAACAGAGAAGAGTCAGCTTTTGATATTACATCTCTACAAGTAAGATACATCGTTAACTCGAAGGGACTTAAATTATAATTTAACTCACCGTTAACAACATTTCACATTGTGAGAGCTGCCACAACCCAAATTCAAATGTCACATTCAGTGATGTTGTATTTTCCTGTTTGTTTAATGGAATAAAAAAATGCGTTCTGGTTTAATGTGTGCACTCTACAGTATATCATGCTAAACAAACATTAAATCATATGAATAAAATAAGTGACATATTCATTATATTTACCTTTGAGACATTCCTTGAATGATGGAGAGCCTGGCTCTGGATGGATACTTGGTATCTTTCTGAATACTGTGCTGCCTCAAAACTCACCACAATGTACAACTTTTTATGTTGCCTATCAACAGACATGGCAGCGGTCATGTGAGGCTTCCACAGGCTACCTGAAATAACAAAAACACGCAGAAGACAATGTCTAGATCGGCCAGGATTTCTTTGGGTACTTAAAACTCTTGAGATTTAGTGTAAAATTTACCATTTTCAAGACACGTTCTGGCTGTTTGGATTCTGCTGTCATCACATCCTGGCAATGACAGTCAACATTACAAGAAGCTGATTTGACTTTTTAAAGTTTTCTTTGAATTGGATTTACAAGAAGAATCAAATCACTCAGTGAACTGTGCTAATGATCCCTGAAAAATATCTATTATAAGCACACAATTTATTCATTCTTGATATAATTAGAGCACATAATCAGTTTCCTGTTGCTTTAGAAGCAAATACTGAACACGGTTAAAGTGAACCTGAAAATTAGAGTTCAATCAATTACTCGACAGACAGACAGAAAATTAATAAACAATTATTATAACTTTTATGTCATGGGAGAATTTGCTGTTTTTTTGTCTTAAATAATACTAAATGGAATATCTGTGGGTTTTGGACAGTTGATCACACAAAAGAAGACAATTAAATACTTCATTGACACATCAATTAAAATTTAGTTGATGCCCTACCGAAAATGATTTTGATCGGTAAGTAATAAAACGACAATTGGATAATGAAAACAAAATAAAACAATAAAATTAGACAACAGAAGATTTTCTACAGCCGAAACAGGAGGAGGCCAAAGTAACAGCTTATACCTTACATTTCATCAAAAGTGATATCAGACAAAAACGGTCTTCTTGTCATGCTAATGCCAACATGGTATTCTGATCATAAACTTTGCAATACCTCAATCAATTTTTCCTCGCTTTTTCACACACACACTTCAGTGATCTGTATGTGGAGGAAACTCACTTGGGAAGGTGATCTGCTTTCTGATCCTGTTGTCTCCACTCTTAGGTTCTGGCAAATTAACAACTGACACCAAATATGTTTGCCCGGGCTCCACCACAACTCCATCCAAGGAAAATGTCCACTAGTACAGAAACAAAAATTGCAGGAGTCTAATCTGTTAATGTATATATTGGTATATATTGGTTGGTACTGAAAAAAATAGCTGAAGCAATACGTTTGTGTCTTACCCTCGTATAGTTTGGATTCAGCTGCTGTTGGATATTGTAGAAAAACTGCACACACATACTTTGATTTGTACTTTCATCCAGAATATTTATCTCGGATCCACGAAGGTTTAATACACCTGCTGTGAATACATGTGTATGTTTTACATGAAAGCTTTCTGCCTTATTTTCTCTTCGTTTTTGATGAAAGACTGGCTTAACAGCTTTACATGTTTTATCTGATGCATTTTAAAATGTGAGATACAATGAACAATACTGTGGTCTTAAAATACAATATAGTAATATCGAAGATTTTAGCATTACTTACCATCTGACTTTAGTTTCCATTGCACATTCATAACAGGGACAGTCCCGTGTTTGTCCATTTCGACTCCAACATGCTCAGGACCCCAGTCTGGGCTGGTAGGAGCACGTTGTGCAACCACGCTTTTGTCTGAACAGTTATCTGGCATTTAGGGAATGGTCTATATATTATTATGTTTCAAGTGGTGGAAAGTAGCTCACAAGAATGCAATAAATTACTCAAGTAGTGCACTTAGGAACAGTTTTGAAGTACTTGTACTTTACTTGAATATTTCAATTTATTTGTAAATGAGATTTTAAACAATATAGCAGCAAACAACTATTTTCTATATAAAGATATAGTGGAGTAATGGCATCCTGAGCAGTTTTGTAATCTGAGTTTCTGTTCTTTGTTTTCAGTATCCAGTCTGGCAGCGCATGCAAGCTAGTGCATGTACATGTACATGTTAGTCAATGTGAGTCCCTCCTTGTTAAACCGTTGGCCCTCCATACTTTTATAAACACACAGTTACTGCCCACAGGTGAGATGGCACAGTGCAATACGCAGGTCTCAGGTAAAAGCGACCTCCTCCATTTCCAATACATCGATAAATTAAAGTTTTTACTGTGTCCACCGGTGTCATTCGTGTGGCCCGGCCCCAGGAGATTAATCCAAGGCTGAAAGTCTTTCCCAGAACAACCCTGGAGCCAATACTCAGAGGAAAACCCTACAGGCTCCAGCTTGACTCAGAACTGGATTATTCTCCTCAATGTGTAAGTAACTTCATGTCTACATAATCTTACATGTTACATGTTTTCATTTGTGACTGGCTACAGTAGGCATGATTGTGTTCGCTAACTTGCTGTTACCCATATTATGAGTGTGTTTGGCAAATGTTGCTATCGCTAGCTTGTTTACCGCCAGCATTGCTGTGAAGCATATCGGGGTAATGCTAGCGTGGGCTTACAACTGTGGACAACCCCCTGTGGATTGTTTTTTTGTTGGCATGTAAGGGTAAATTTATTCAGTTATGCTTCTTGTTGTGTGTTTAGTGGCCGCTTTCACTGGCCTTAGTAACACCTTGCTGACTAAGAATGTGAAGGCAGGGGAGGAGAGGGAGGGTTGTGGCTGAACAGAGGCCACTGGTGTGACCAACAAAGCATTTGTTTTAGTCTGAGATGCTGGTGGTCGAGTGCAACATCTAGTGGCAGTGACGATCGTCTACAGAACCTTTAATGCAACATTATATTAATATACTTACACACTCATACTCAATAATACAAAATATAATTAACAAACAAATTATGATATGTTATTATAGATTAAGATAAGACTATTGAACCCCTGGGGGAAAATTCACAAGTTACTGTACCAAGTACTGTAAAGCAACTAAAATGATCCCTTCTTGTACCAGGTGCAACATTTAAGTGATGTACATTAATGCATCAAATAATTACAATATAACAATTGTAACATTTGGTTGAACTCTTCTGTACATACAGGACGTGTTTAAACTTCATTTTAATGAATTGACAAATAAAAAACTCACTGATTTTGCAGTGGTCAAGTCCCTGTAAAAAATACAAGATAGACAGTGACTTCATGACGCTTGGAATATACAAGACATTAACTTCAATTAGTTTTATAAGATTGCTTGTATCCTCACCGGTTGACTGCAGTCCAGACGTTTGTTTAGAATCCAAAAAGAAGATGCCACTGTGAGTCCAGCACTCAAACAAAAACAGAAAAAAAGAACATGGATCATTCTGGTGTAGCTGGTGAAGCTGCACAATAAAGGTAGCTTTAAAAGGCTTTTTTTAAAACTACAGAGAAAATACGAAAATCTAACAATAATCAACTCTGTTTGTAAAGATGGTTCAAGAGTTTGCTTGAACAAACGCTGAGAAAGCTCACAGTGATCTGACTTTTATCAGTATGAATACTGTCATAATTATCAGGTACTGACATCTGAAATGAATACACAGGAAGGATGCCCTTATCGAACGTGGTTAGTATTTTCCATTCTCGGCAAGAGCACTGCATGGGCTGAAAACACTGCTCTCCTAATGCACTGCAATGTTTTAGAAAATTCTGTGACGAACAAAAGTTTCTTTTTCCTTGTTGCGGTGTGTATGTTAAGTGCCAACTGATGCCAACTGCAAACCAATATGTCAAAACATCAAACAGTCACTAGGTGGCAGCAGTGACCAGATTTACGAGCAGTACATTTTAAGTTTAAACAGTACCAATTGAATTTGTTTTGTTTTTTTTTGTTTTGTTTTTTTTGGCGTGTGGACATTTTTTAACAATAGAACAAAAAACAGTAGTAGAACCAGTTGAACAATAAACAGTAGGAATTTGACAGAAATTGAAGAGAGAAAGAGACATGCAGCAAAGAAACCCACAGCCAGACCTGAAACGGCTCTGCAGTAGCTACAAAAAAAGTGTCTTAAACCTCTGTAGGCAGGGAGAACACCTCTTAAACTGCACTTTTAACATTCAGTCTATCTTCAGGCAACATCACCTAAATATACATATAAAAGAACATCTGAGTTCAGAGGATCAACACATGAAGCCAGCAGACAGCCAGGGATTTTGACCACTAAACCTTCAGCTATTCACTGTTTGGTTACAAGGGCTTATATTGTATAGGACAAAAATGTGGCTGTAGCTGTGTGTTAATTCCTATCGCTTTGTCTCAGTGTTACTGTGACTCCTACTGGACATTGAGCTCAACTGTGTCAGTTTACATAACACAAAGGCAGACAGACAGACGGAGAGTCATGCGCCACTGAAATCTGACCAGAAATAGACTGTAGACGTTGTATTTAATCTCTCCCCACTGTGATAGTGGTGTCATTCAGAAGACATAGTGGCACTATGATCGAAATATAAAAATATACTTTTATTCAATACAACTATCATCAGTTTGTGACGTACAGTGAACAGTGTTCAGGATTTTGCCCCCCCCCCCCATATTAGCATTGGAAAGTATAAAAACAACTAATGAATAATTTATAACACATAATAATGAAGCTGTAATCAGATATTAAAATGGGTTTTACTTGCTTTCCTTTCATTTATGCTGCATGCTCTTACTTATGGTGTGATGTTGCTTTGTCTTCTTCCTGTATGTTTTATTTGTTGACTTCAGTGTGTAACATCAACCTGCCCAGTGACTGCAGATGAAAATGAGCCTTTCTGCTAAACCTGACTGATTTATATCATACTGTGATTGTCCCTGAGTGTCCCTGATTTGTTGTACATAGTGTCAGTCTCATATGCATTCCTAATGATTGCCTGTAATGTATTGAAGGAAGTTCGGTTCTATTCCAGAGAACTGATCAGTTTAGCTTGTGTTAAGTTGACAATATGCTCTGTGGCAATATTGTTGGCCACTGCCATTAATCTTTGTATATTTCAGTTCATTTTAACATTGCTATATTTGTATGTTTAGATAGTTTTTATGTGTAAAAAAAAATGTATATGTTTATTTGAAAACTTGCCTCACATTATTTTTTAATTGAAAAACACATTGTAAGCACTTGTTCGTGTGTGATCACTTGTTGCACTTGTTATAACATATTATCAGGCAATTGTTAACTGTTTATACACTAGTTACAAAAGCATCATAGAAGGAGTTATAATTGTTGAGAAAAACATTGAGAAATCATTTTGAAAATGTCCTTATACTGTCTTACAACAACATTACTGTTATAATTTCATGCATGTATTGAATATATATATAGTGCTTATAAATGCTAATTAGTTAAAGTTAAAAGAAAGTTTTACACATTTTAAATACTGGATGGCACTAAAGCTAATGTTAACTAAAGTTAATTTTTTTGCCATGTGTCATGTGGAGATAGGCAGTCTGTTGTATGGTCAGTCCACCCCTTTGGTTCAGAATTAAATGTCTCAGGAACCATTGGAAGGATTGCCTTCACTGACTTTGGTGATCCCTTTTAATCTAGCGCCATCATCTGTGCTTATTAGCATGCTGATGCTAGCATTTAGCTCAAAGTATGTTTGTGCCCAAGTATAGCCTCACATGATAAGTTGTGGCAGTAGACTCCGAGACTTAGATAATAAAATGACTTTTTCTTTTTAATCAAGGGATTTTATATTTCTCTTGATAAACTTAAACCTATTACTTTAAAAGGCACCTCTGAAACAATTTGTTGTTGATGTTAACTTCTGCCAGTACATGCCATGACACAAACGCTCAGGGCACCCGATATCAGCAGAGAGGATAACACTGGGATGTGTGAGGTGTGACCTTGTGCAGTGCTATCACATGAAGTAAATGGGTCATGGGTTGAGGGCAAATCAAAAAGGGATTGCGCATTGTGATTGTCAGGTGGACAGGGGGTCTATTTTAGCAAGCCATTCAGATCAGACTTTGTATGCGTAAATCTTTCACTAATAACCATAAAGTGCTTTTTCTTTTCCGGACGCACCACTGTTGCTGCCCTCTCTGTTTTCCTCTCATATTCAAGGTAAGTTTGATACAATAATCAACCTGCTATTTATCACAAGAAAGTAAGAGTCAATCAGATTTATTATAAACATTAAAGGGGGCTCTTTAACCTGCCATTGCAAGATTGAGAGACTTTTTCTCCTGCTGTGACAGCAGCCCAGGTATCTTAGTTCCTGTCTTTACAACCATATGTTTGTTTGGGTCACTTCTAGTTCGGCTTTATTGTAGGAAGTAGTTAAGACTGCATATCAGCATGCCCCTGACACAGATAGTGTTGCTGGTATTTATGTGAGGGAATCTCTGCTATGTCGCTACTTTTGACAAGGTCTTTAAGCAACTTTTCAAACGTGTCTCTCGGGCTTTAACTCCTACAACACCTCAAGCTTCTTGACGATCTCTTTATCCTCTAAGTGAGGAAATGTAACCCGAGGCTTAAAATGCATGCCAAAGTATTGGTGGCTGGTAACAGCACACTTCACCCATCCTTACGACGGAAAAGCTGGTGTGATAAGTGATGATGGCTGGCTCGTTAAAATTGGCAACCTCCTGGAAGGAGGGCAAGGTTGCAGGCTTCCTAAAATCGTCTACTGCTTTTCTTGTTTACCTTGACTTTCGCACCCTGTCAGGCTGGCTTCATCTAAATTGGATATACTGTGTTGTGTCAGAAGCTCTTACATGCTTTTGTTCTGCTCTGAAACCTCCATCTGTTTATTAATGTGAAATGCCACGGGAGGAGATATAATGACAAATATCATTTCATTTTCATTTTAGCAATTTAAATTGGAACTGAAAATAAAATGCCAGAAACAACCTAATAAAAAGTAAGCAATAACATGACTCCGAAAAGGTCAGGATTGTTCAGTTTTTTAAAGAACTCTTGCAGTCCCCATGGGTTTGGAGTTGTTCCTTGCTTTGCTGCCAAATCACTGTGCAGCTTGGCTCTCTTTGGCATCATCAAGGCCATGGCAGCTGCTGGGACATGCCAAAGCGTGGGGGAAATGTGTCCAAATATAGCCGTGCAACAGACTCCCTACTCAGCCCTTTATAACAATAGGAAAGATAATCTGGACCTGGAAGAATACTGAAAAATATCTGAAAGCCCCTGAGGAAAATTAGTCTAAATACATCTATTAAACAGTTGACTAGTTGGATTCACCATATTCATCATATCAGTTGTAGAAAATACAAGTTAAGTTTTCATAAACAGTATTATAATAATTCATACTTTGTATAAAACTGTGTTACAATATGTGTTAAAAATTCATGTAGTACACTTAAAATGATTTTTTTAAATGTTGTTTCCACTCCAAAGGTACCATAAGCTGCAACCATGTCTGAGGGGTGAGTATTTTCTTCTTAAAGTAACCAAACATCTGCACAATCAGAGAAATTAAAAAAAATTCAACCTCTTTTGACGACTTGCCTCTTTTTTTTTCTGTGTATTATCACTGACCTGTTTTGGAAGCTTTTCCCACTGTTTCCTGTGGATTCCTAAATAATAAAAAAAAATCTTTTTTGTCTGCTTTTCATGACACGTGATAATGAAGGCCGGTGAGTCGGAATAGTTTCTTTCATAATCATTAATTTATCACCAATATAGATTCAGATGTTTCATTTCATGCTTAAAACAACGACACTGATATCTGTATTTGATGTATAAAGTGTACATATCTTTGTCACAGAGAAAGCCAAAATATTCAGCAACACGCCGACTGCATTTGAAGGTAAGTGTAGATCTATAGGCCTTATGTGAACACTATTTAACAGTATGCTGTGTGATTGAACACTTCATTAAGTAAGGCCTTGCTATCCTACAGTCCAAACTGCTGAAGAAGGCAGCTTCTATGCTAGTGGCTGAAAGTGAAGAGAAGAAACATGAGAAAGAAAGAGCTGTGAACGAGTGCTTCCCTCCGTTGAAGCTGTCAGGTCTGTCAGTCCAGGAGCTGCAGGTACTGGCGCAACAAGTTATGCTGATTTGATCATTATTATTTTACAGATTTTTGATGGTTCATTTTACCTCTTTGCAGGATCTTTGTAGAGAACTACATCATAAGATTGATGTTGTAGATGAAACACGTTATGATATGGAGCTCAAGGTAGCCAGAAATGAGAAAGAGGTACAGTAGGTGACGAATAAAATGATGCATTTACTGACCTATTTCGATGTTGTAGTTGGATGATTATTGGTTCATCTGTAACTGTGATGTTTGTTGCACAGATCCATACACTGACTCAAAAGATCTCTGACCTGAAGGGTGTAAAGCGACCGAACTTGAAGAGGGTTAAGAAAACGACAGAGGACATGCTGGGTGCATGCACCGACACCTCCAAACTCATGAAGGCTGATTTCAAGGCCAACCTTAAGACAGTGAAGAAAGAAGAAGAAAAGGTAAAATTGGTGGCAGATACAATCATCCAAGGTGTATGATTAACTACATTAAAAAATATGTACAACCTACTGCATCACTATTTTACAGAGGGAAGAAGTGACTGACTGGCGTAAGAACGTGGAGGCCATGTCTGGTATGGAGGGCAGAAAGAAGCTGTTTGATGCTGGACAATAAGAAGGTGCTCACATTACACATGGCTGTGTTAGCAACACATCTTTCCTGAACTAAATCTTGAGTTTGCAATGTTCAAATAAATTTTTTTGTTTTGATTAAATCCCTTTGTTCATCTTTATTTCAGAATTACTGTCCAAATACAAGAAGGTTTCCATTACAGGATGAAACAAAACTGGTTTTGTAAAGAATGATATCAACTATAGACACGTGTAAAAGACTAGAAAAATGCACTATTTAGATTATACTGTATTAAAACATCTTTAATTTTCATTTAATATAAACCTGTATGTAAAGACTACCACTGAATGTGATAATATAAACTGTATAGTATGCAGTATCCTTAGCATATTGAAATTGTATTAAAGAAAAGGCTGATTAGCTTTATGAGTTAGTGCAGTATCTATATTATACAGATGATGGCACTGTCGCACTATGTGTAATACATGTGATGCTGATTAAATGACCATGATCACTTGACTGGTTTCTTTGGGTTTGTTCAGACTTTATTTTTATGATTAATCTCCCTATTTTAGTAACAGTTAACTTCATCATGGTGTATTCAACTCACAGACAAAACAGATATTAATTACTAGAGTCAAGGCTGCTTAAATGTCTTGCAATCTTGTTGAGCAACAGGAGCATGTTGGGGGATGCCATGTTAAAGATATACAGTATACTGGCTGTCAGGACAGATGAGGCTATTTTAGTTGGCCACTCAGAGAAGGCAATAGGAGTCATTAAATTTGACTTGAGTTTTCTTTCTGTCATTGAAAGACAGAGACTCTTCACCTCAACAGGTTTCCTGCAGAGATTTAAAAAAAAAAAAAGGTATGTTGATGTTTGCGATGATGATAGTGTAGCTTAATATGAGACAATTACACCATTTCACCTGTTGCACTTATCTAAAATAATTTAAAGAATAGCTGGAGCCTTATTATGCTGTGACATGCAGAGTTGGTGGAAAAACATAACCATGCAAACTTACTGTGAATGTAAGATTTATGACAGTTGGATCTTTTAAGAGAATAAAATATTAGATATGACAATTAGAACTATGCATTGAATGTAAAAGCACGTTTGGTTCATCAATTTAATGTTTAAATTCTCTCAAGTAATTTAGATAAAGAAGAAGTGCACTACTGTAAACTGTCATTTACAGTACCTGGTAGGAACAACCAATGTTTTCAATTATCTCAACAAATGATATTGAGAATTTCTTTATATTTGCAAACATGAGATGTTTTGTTATATACTGTCTTATTTGGCAGCAACTAATTCGGATTTTGATTCTTAAAATGGATCAACTACAGTTGGGATTAAAAACGGAATATCACTCAAACAATCGGCAGCACTAATGCAAGCAGTGCTGCTAATTTAAAGGCTTAATGTTGGTGTATTACCATACCAAGGTCTGGGTGACTCTAACTTGGCTCAGTCAACAGAAGTTTGTGCAGTAAACATACAAATACTGGTTCATGAATCACAAAATAATTAAATATCATTTATAAAAAGTGTGTTTATAATACAGCTTGTACTTTAATTCTAAAGAGGAAAAATGCAACCATTACTGTCTCTGAATAATTTTAATTTCATTTTCTTTAATTTTTTAACAGACAAAAAGTATCCAACCATGTCTGAGGCGTAAGTTATATATTGTTTGATTATGTAAATTTGTAAAATTATTGTCATCCTTCAGATCTTCAGCATGTCATTACTGACTCATATATTTTGTTTTCTTTCCCATATCTCAATCTCCAACACAGACCGGTAAGTTTTATTGTTGTATATACAAAGAATCTTTATTAAGAAACCAGGTGTGTCTTATGTAACTGTTGGTTCATTAAGTTTTTGTCTACTGCCTTTTGTGTAGAAAAAATCAAAGATCTCTGCATCTCGCAGATTGGCTCTCAAGGTATTGTCCTTTGTTCTTTACCGAAACATAATCTATGTGACCATCTGACCAGTGATAGTTTAGTGCTAAATTAACAAAATGGTTCAATAAAATAGATTTTTCTGCCTAATTTAGACCAAACTGCTGAAAATGGCATCTATGATGTTGGAGAAGGAGAAGGAGGAAAAGAAGCTGGAAAGAGAAACTACTTTAAGTGAGAGAGTCCCTCCACTCCAGCTCTCTGGTTTGTCCATGCAGGACCTTCAGGTATGCTCAGGTCATTGCATGAGCCGCCCATCATATTCCAATGAAACAGCATGGCTGAAATTATCCACACTTATGCATTCCTCTGATGTATATAGACGCCATGTTCACATGCAGTAGGTGCATTACAGGACAGGTGCCTCGACATTTTGGCATTTAGCTGACACTTTCATTCAAAGTAACCTTCAAGTCATTAATAACTCATACTATTAGAAATATCATTCATTTGCATGTTAAATACACAGCAAGTAATCACTAAGGGTAACAATCAACACAGTATTAATAGAAAACACTGTGCTCCCTGGTGCAATGTTTCATAAATGTTGCATCACTACACAGAAAAATAAAACCTTTGAGTTTGAGATGTGCAGCTGTGCAATGAACCAGAGGACTGCAAGTTTCTCAGGGATTTGTTCAATAAATCTGATTTGATTCTCTTTCTGTCTACAGGCTCTGTGCAAAGAACTGCACCATAAGATTGATGTGGTAGATGAAGAGCGCTACGACATTGAAGCCAAGGTGGCTAAAAATAACAAGGAGGTACATGTTCATTCATATTAATTTTATGTAGTGTGTTTCTAATACATTTTCTGGTTAATTTTCATTGTGATTTGTTAGATTTTTTTCTGTGTATAACCACATACTTTTAATTACTCATAATTGTTTTCTGCAGATTGAGAATCTGTCTCAGAAGATCTTTGAGCTGAAGGGTAAAATGAAGCGACCTGCTCTCAAGAGGGTGAAGATCTCAGCTGACGCCATGCTGGGGGCTCTGCTGGGCTCTAGGGTCAAAGAGTCCGTGGACTTCAAGGCCAACCTCAAGACTGTAAAGAAGGAGGAGGAGAAGGTAAGGGCGGCAACTACAACAGCAGATTGATTTATTTTTAATTATGCTGGTTTTTAAAGTTTTCAAGATTATATCAGGCTGGGTTGACTCCTTGGTTTAAGGCTCAGATCAGGTTTGAATCATGGCATGTTATTGTGGGGTTATTTTGTGAAAACTAAGGAATTATTTTCTTCTTACGAACAGAAAGAGGAGGTGACTGACTGGCGTAAGAACGTGGAGGCCATGTCTGGTATGGAGGGCAGGAAGAAGCTGTTTGATGCCGGGCAATAGATTTGTATTTATGGACATTTTAAATACGAATCCTGTTTTACAATGGATGAGAAAAGAGATGAAAATAGTGTTGATGTATTGTGTGTAATGATGCACACAATTAGCAAGCCCACAGTGTATATTTGAGTGTGAGTGTGTGTACAGACTTCACGTTTGCAATATGCAAAATTAAGATTCAAAGGAAGGGAATTGTGTATATTTTGCATATAGACAAATTGCACTTTGTCCTGTTTTATAGTGTTGGCAGCAAATTTAACATTTTTAATTACATACACTTTTACGAGACAAAAGAACATATTAAAATTTGCTGTGTTTCCTGATCTGGAAATGCCTGGAATAGACTGGTTTATGTGATGATAATAAACACTTCTGATTAACACACAAAACTGACGCTGCACTTTTTTTTTTTTTTTTTTTTTAAATATCTAACTTATCATCACCCGAAGTGTTCTTGACACCAGCCTGGGATTGCATAATAAGCCAGATGGTAGTAATAGTTCCAGGACTTGGCAGTTGTCAACGGCAGCAGCTGAGAACAAAGTTGTTAAATCATCTTTGTAAATCAAAGTGGACGGAACATTCATGTTAAGAACTGTGAACGTCCAAAAATAAGAGAGGTCGCAGGTTCAGGGCTGCAATAAACCCCTTAGTAAAATGACAAGGAGCAGCCAGAACACAGTGACAATCAACACTACTACTACTAAAAGTGAAAATTAGACATAACTAGAGACAGAAAAGAAATTCAACGACAACAATTTTGATAATTACCTCAGCCACGGAGATCTGTTTGTTGCTTGGTTGTTTGGTTTGTGTGTTTGTCAGCAGGATTACTCAAAAAGGACTGAACCAGTTGGCAGTGAAGTTCATGGAGGGATGGGCCTTGGACCAGAGAAAAACCCATTCAATTTTGGGGCAGCTCTGGATCATTATTAGATGCTTTCATCCAAAGCACCTTTGAGTATCATAAGCCTTATGAAGTGTCAAATTTCTAACCTTTGATGAACCTTGGAAACTCTACTGCTGCCCTTTCAGTCCTGGAACAAATGTGTTTGCAAAAAACTAAAAGTAGAGCAACAACATTTCTGTATTACTAACTCTTGATAGTACATCTAATGTGGTAAATCACACACCAGGGTGATGATAGATATTAAAGGGGGAGTTCACCTAACCCTAACACGTGAAGATCAGTTAACTAGGCATTGTGTTATGAATGATGTTCGGGGAAAATAACTTAACAAAATCGCTACGAATTGATTATAGGCCTAGTTGTAGTAATAATAAGAACAGACTGTACTAAGTGCACTTCTGTCCCAGGAAACAAACAAAGTCTGATGCGCTACATGTCCACCCACCACCCCGACTTCTACACCTTTCGTTCCACCTTGCTACATATAGCGCACATTACCCTCTGCATTGGAAGTGAACGTTGGCATTGGATATAAATTGTGAGATGAGAAATTGTTGCACGTGGACGTAACTCTTAAAGTACTCAGGCTGGTCTACCTGGCAGGAAGGGTTTAACAAAAAGATCTTACAGGAAGTATTCTTTGAGCTTGGTCTATATGAGAGATAAAAGTCTGGAAAGTTCCCCAACTTTATGGAAGTGCAATGCTAAATCACTGTGGTACTACTTTAAAGCAAGATTATGAGACATCTCAAGATAGTAATCGGTGTGTACTTCACTATTCTTCTTCAATTGTTAACTGCCTACCTATTCTTTGCGAGGGCATGAGTCACAGCCTTTTGAATATTTGACTCACTGTTACAACAATGACGCAGATTGGCTGGCTCAGTTTACAAACCATCAAACCCTGACCAGCACCTGTCCTTGTTGCTCTGCTCCCCTAAATAAAACCCAACCATCCTTTGGCTTTGTTCTTTAGTCTAAGGTGGTCGTGTAACATGTCAGACAACCATCGTCTGTTGTCACATACATGGAAAGGAATAGTGATGTATATACAGTGAGGTGGATTGAGGATATGCCCTGATCATTATAATACTTCTAATTCAATTCGAACTGATGCAAGGAGATAATAGGTCAGAGTACATCTCCAAATGGGGCGTGATAATCACTACACCACTGCCATTTTTTTTATTTAATGGAAAACATGTTTATAATCTCAAAAAATTAACACTAATTCATTAATTTTCATGAACAAAGCAATACATTTTTTCATTTTTAAGACTTACAGCTCATGTGGCAATTAGAAACACAGATGTGGAGTGGGTATTAGAAACCTCTTGCATGGTGGTCACACTTGGACCATGCTGTTTGTTCGATAAATAAAGATGTGGAACAAGGGAATAAAGATACTCCAGATTGAAATCTTTCGTCTGTTTGACATCTTAAAAACTTTGATACAAACTCCAAATGGTGAAAGGTGAATATGTGACACTGACACAGCACAAGTGTGGTCACCTCTTTAAATGCTCACTGTCACTTCCACCAACAGGTGCTGTTGAACTCAAACAAGATCCTCAAAGGTTTAAGCCCATAAATGAACTTTTATTACCTCCTTTCCTGTCTGAATATTGTGGTGATGCTACGTATGTGCATCAGTAAATGTCACTGTTGGTGGACAGACAGTAGCAGTAGCACAGACAGGAGTCTATTTTAGTGAGCCATTCACATTTGGCACGGACACTATAAATCTGATTGATTTTTCTCCATCGTCTCTTCAGAAAGTCGATGCTTCCCCCCTCACACACGCTTTTGTTCAGTTTTGAGGTGCGGCTCAAGGGGCTGTCTGGCTTCACTAAGGTACAGAGTTGCTATTCTGATACTTGTGGATTATTGTAGATGTAGTGCGGTGGGCATGTAGATGTTTTGAGCTGAATTATGTCAATAAGAAGTATTTTCTTAACATGTTAAAAACTACTAACTGTTATCTTAGACTGTGTGAAATTGCTAACTCAGAGAAGTGTCTTCTGATTAACATTTACAGCAAGCTGATCATTGTCATCTTACATGCCTGTGGATTATCTGGCCATTCACCCTTTTTGTCACCTATGCAGAGGCTCTCGTCAGTTATGTTTACACATGCACTGACTCAGCACTTTGAAACTTTGAAAAGGACACAATACAAGTGTTTTCAGTGAATTCGGTTTTTGGTACTTTTGTGCTTTTAGTATTTAGATTTATCTTGTGAGAATGCATGCTTATAATACTTGAAAATTAACACAGCAAAATTGAATTTTAGTTGTAATTTATTTAAATTTTAAATTTTCATGTGAATTCCACAAGAATGAAAAACTGAATGAAAAAAATTCTGTTGACATAATTTTTTGGGTTACATGTAATGTGAAAAAGGACCATCACATACATGTAACTTTGGAGCACTTCTATATTGCACAAGGGAGAAAATTAAGGGAGCGAACAATAAATAACTTTGTGCAGGCAGCTTTAATGTGTGAATGAATGTTTGGAGTGGCTCAAATACTTTGACCAGAGAAGTCAGAATGTTCATCAGCTCAGTTGAACAGGTGTTAAATGTGAAGGGAATTTATTCTATTTGCACTATTTCTAATATTTCTAAGGACTCTGCCAACATATAGATTTTTTTCTTCGTTCAATTCAATAATTCAATTGATTCAATAATAACTGACTATGTAAATTTTGGAATTGCACTTATTTTCCATATTTCAGAGTGGGAATTTAAGACAATCATGGCTGATGCGTGAGTATTATCACTTTTGGCTTAGCTTCATGTGTTCATTGACAGCTTTAAAATATACTATAAAACTATGTGTTGATATTCATTATGTAAATATGTTTATATTTTCTCCCTCTTGTTAATGCTCCAACAGACCTGTGAGTATCTATAAAAAAAAAAAACCTTTTTCAATCCTCTATTTCTATATTAAGGTCATACAAAAATCATATATGCAAATATTCTGTGCTCCACAATATATAGTATAGACTGAGGATATTAATGTTCTTAATGTATGAATTATAGAAAAAATCAAAGATCTCCTCCTCTCGAAGGCTGGGGTTGAAGGTAAGTTTTTTAATTATAATTTGAGATGCTTTTTAAATATATTCATTATAAAGAATTCGATGTTAGAGTGCAGAACTTTGTATACTCTAAACTTTAGCTTTTGATGTTGTGTGTCAGCAAACAGCACAAAGTGGTGTGTACAGTGTTGTGCAATGTGAGAAATAGTTGTGTGTTAAAAAAAAATGTGTTAACTGTATTATACATACAGTTTACATATATAGTACTTTTAAAATGATGTCATACTCATTGTCAAGTTGTATCATAAAAACAGATTGACAATTCTGGTAATTATTTGGACTTTTGGCATATTTTTCAAATTGGTCTAGAGAGCTCAATAAAATTAGGAAAAGGCCATTTTGATCCATTTATTTTTATTTCTTCCTCAGATCAGACTGTTGGCAGTTGCTGCTCAGATGCTGCAGGAGGACACACAGCAGAAGATAAAGGAGAGAGAAGATGCTCTGGCAGAAAGAGTTCCTCCTCTAAATCTGTCTGGCCTGTCTTTGCAAGAGTTGCAGGTATTTCACTTCATTATAAAGCGTTTTTCTCTCAGTGACCACAGTTCTTTCTATTTGAGTTCATGTCATAGTATCATATTGCTAGAGGTGCATTATACTTTTTTTTTTTTTTTACAGGATCTATGTAAAGACCTGCACCACAAGATTGATGTTGTGGATGAGGAGCAGTATGATATTGGCCTCAAGGTTTCCAAAAATGACAAGGAGGTGAGCTGCTCAAAAATGAATGTGAGGATAAAAAGATGAATGTGTTAATGTTTTAACGTTTCTGGATCCAGTGTCTTTACTATGAGGTCAAGGTCAAAACATAAAAGATCTTAAAATGAACAAACATTGCCTCTAAGTGGCAGCACTGAGAATAACAAGACATAACTGAATCGTATACATAAAACCTTTGATTTGAATTTGATTAGTTAACCACAGCAGCATCTGAACAATTTAGTTTAATTAGTTTGACAAAAAAAGTTTAACTCAGTGTCCCCTTACTAGCTTTTTCAAGAGCTTTTAACCACATTCTCAGGAGCTTTGTTCTATAATGTGTTCATGTAAATAAATAAATAGCAGTGAGTGTGATAAAGTCTTCTTGACTCAAAAAGGTAGAACAACAACAGCACAATCCTGTCTATCCCATGATCCCCTGCCCAGATTCAAGAGATGAATCTGAAGATCACAGAGCTTCAGAGCAAGTTTAAGAAACCAACCCTGAGGAGAGTGAAGATCTCAGCTGAGGCCATGCTGAGCGTCCTGCTGGGCTCCAAACACAAAGAGTCCTTCGACTTCAAGGCCAACCTCAAAACAGTCAAGAAGGAAGAAGAAAAGGTAAGACAGGCTTTTGCTTTAGAGTCTCAAAAACCTCCAAAATGACCAGGTTTATCTCATCTATCCTGTTTATGTTATGTTTCTTACAGAAGGAGGAGGTGACTGACTGGCGTAAGAATGTGGAAGCCATGTCTGGTATGGAGGGAAGGAAGAAGCTGTTTGATGCCTCTGGAAACTAAAAAGAAATAATTATTTTTGTTTAAATCATCTTCTTAGGTCTAATTCTTAACATTATCTACCATCTGATTTATATCATATTGATTTAGAAAACATTTGCAGGTAGGATAAACACCCTTAAAACTAGGATTGTCTTGGAAAAGCAACAAACATTGTTTGTTTGTTGCAATATTTTGAATATTTTAAAATTGATTGTAGGCTTCAAGTTGTTTTTAATTTATTCATATAATAGGAAAAAATGAATTATATATGGTATTAAAGACAGTGCTGTATTCCGATGAGTTGACCTTCAATCTACTTCAGTATTAACCACTGTGTATTAATGATGCAGTGATTGTTTGCAGTAGTTCTCCACTGTGGCCTCAAGATGGCAGTATAATTCTTTCAAAACATCACAGTCTACTCAGACACTGTGGACCCACAGCAGAGTATTTTGACTGAGGAGAAAATGTTTTTGTCCCTCAAAACTTAACAACCAATAGTGTGTTATCTATTGTGATAAATCAGACATCTATATTGTTGTCTGATAATTAAAGATATACTGCTAAAAATTTAAATCAAACAGTATAATTTCAGTCTCTGTTAAAGTTGTTGCAGTGGGAGAATGTTTTCATCATATTTTATGTACCTGATACAAAGTTGGAACCAGCACTGGTGTCTTAATAAAAAAACATAACAATCCTGCTTTTGTTTTTCTCCACTATATAATCTAATAATCACTTTGGATTGTACACAGGATCAACTTTTAATTTTTTCCTCAAAATCACAATGTTGGACTAAAGGTCCTTCAGTCCTCACCCTCTCCTCCTTAGCGAGGAGACTAAGAAAGCATCTAAGGCTCAACAAGAACTTTCACACCTCATATGTATGTGATGTGAGAGACGTGGCTCAAGAATGGTGAGGACAGAGGGTCTATTTTAGTGAGCCACTCACATGAGCTCTAGAATCTATATATCTACCCTCTTACTGTCCTTCTCGTCTCAGAAAAAGAAGCCTGTGAGTATTTGTCATCTGTTGCATAAGGTAAGAATTTTATTTCTAAAAATTACAGAGAATTAAAGGATAAAAAAACAAAATTAAGGCTTTTTATTACAATATTCTAGATAGAAATTGCAAAAACTCGAAAAAGTCCAAATTCATCAGTATTAATAAAAGCTGTAAAACAGCATTTATGTTAATACCAGTTATAATTTCTTACAACTAAATGTAATTAAAAAAAAGAAAAAAAGACAGCTATCTTGTGTTAAGATATCTTACAAGTTATTGAGGGAGGGGACATTTTTTTCACTTTCGAGATCAGCTGCCTTCCTCTGATCTCAAACAGAAGTCCATGTTGAAGTTATAAATAACACATCAGTGTTATCCTATTACCATCACTTACAATTTAGTTGTGTCATTTCAATGTAGTTATCTGGAATTAGGAATGAAATAATGAATAAATTGTGAAAAAATGATTTTAAAAAATGTGAAAAAAACTATCCTGCCCCCTTTGTTTTATTTTTGAGTGAACACTTGTCAGGTAATTAGAACTATTGTTGGCTTTGTTTCAGAGAGTATTTTCTTAGTCATACGTTTGACCTTTATACAATGTCATACCTTGTTTGTGTGCCCTGCTGTGGATCTACAACCAGTGGTATATGGGGTTTCTAACTCAAACTTTCTAACTGCTGATGAAACTGATGGTCAGTTTTTACTAATTTTGCTAAGCAGAAATGGATATGTGTGTATTCCCATTCTAAAAAAACTGATAATTTTTCTCTTCCTGTCTTTTTCCACTGAGAGATTCAACTTAAGGGGACACACAAAACTGCAACCATGTCTGAAGCGTAAGTATCCATGTGTTAGTAACTTTCATGACACCATTACGCACACATGGTGTGTGAAATTACAAAAATGTCACAAATTCTACTTCTCCTCTTTCTCTTTGAATTGTGGATACCTCCATCCTAATTGGACAGGCCTGCGGTGAGTTGGCTGTTTAACTGATTAATCTGATTTTGATTTTAAATTTATGGTATCATTTGTGGGACTCAAAATTATGTATTCTACAAGCTAGGTATTCTGTACGTTAAATCTGTAATTTCTGACTACTCATAGAATTGACTGACTTCATAATCTAAATAACAAAATTATGTATTACATGACATGAATCAAACATTATAAGACAGATCAGATCAAATTCTTCTCAGGGTGTTAGTCATCATTTATCATGTATATAGTGTCATAACAGAAATAGCATGCATCATCTTCACACTTGAACACAATCTGCAGTTTCTACTGGGAGTGAAAATAAACCTGCTTTAACAACTTGAACTGGTGCAGGAATAAATTATGATAAGTAAGTATAAAAATTTGAATGAACTGTACACTGGCTTCTTTTCCAGAAACCAAAGCCAAAGATCTCTGCATCTCGCAGACTGTTCCTGAAGGTGTGTGTTAGTCTTGGATAGTAATGCTGTAAAAAGTAGTGTAATCCATATACTGTCTGGTTGACTGAGGTGTAATTTTGTATGTGTATGTGCTGTGCACCAGACCAAACTGATAAAGAAGGCCATGACCATGCTGGAGAATGAAAAGCAAGTCAGAAAAGATGAACGAGAGAGAACCCTTACTGAGAGAGTCCCAGCCCTCCAAATGTCAGGCCTGTCTCTGCAGGATCTACAGGTATATTTATCACTGAAGCACCTTAATCCACACAAGGATCTTTTTATGGTTATGACTCTAATGAAAGTCAACATTAAATCAGATGACTGTCTTAACACTTCACCATCACTTCACCCAAATCACTTTTTCCCACCTACCCCTAATGATATCTAGCTAAAAGCAATTAGTTTTGGCTTTATTTGCAGGGGTTCTGAGACGTATGCAACCACCCAAATATAACTGTGGTGAATGTAATTTTGTTTATGGGGCTCAAAGCACCAGAAAGTGAAATTTGAAAATTTGAAAACCACAACACGTAATATCTCTTGCCAGGAACAATTAGTTGGAACAATCCATACACCTTGAAGTCAACAGTTTTAAATTGGACCATAAGAAACTATTTCCAAAGAAAATAATGCATAGGTTGCATGGGTTAATCTGTGGATCATACCAATTATCCAAAAAAATTCTTTGTAATGTATTTATATAGAATCATATTTAAGGTATACAGTATTTTATAAACAAATGCCTACATGTCATACTGTCCTTACACTGTCAGACTTTTAAAGAAATACATTATGAGTCTAATGCACTAAAGGTTTCTGTCCACAGAATCTTTGCAAAGAACTACACCAGAAAATTGATGTGGTTGATGAACAGCGGTATGACGTTGCTTCTAAAGTGACAAAAAATGATAGGGAGGTAAGTGATATTTCGTAAATAACCATTTCAGCTTTATCCTTGTTCACATAAAATTAAGCATCATACAAATTTAAGGAATGCATACTATGTAACCAATATTAAATGGGAAATTAAAACTTTATGGTAATGTTGAGTGGGGGGGTGTCTCTTGTGTGGGAAAAAGATCCAGGACCTGTCTCAAAAGATCTTTGAGTTGAAGGGCAAGATGAAGAGACCAAACCTGAGGAGGGTGAGAGTGTCTGCTGACGCCATGCTGGGGGCTCTGCTGGGCTCTAAGGTCAAAGAGTCTGTGGACTTCAAGGCCAACCTCAAGACTGTAAAGAAGGAGGAGGAAAAGGTAAGGGTTTCTGACTTTAACTTCAGTTTATCGCAAATTATCATGTGGTGTCCCTTCACCGTTATTTTATTATATATTATATATTATTATTTATTTTATTTTATTTGGGTACACACAGTATATTAAAAACAACATAAGCAATCAAATGAGAAAACAGTTGAAAATATATCAAACAGCTGACAATCTGCACAATTTTGGTAAGACTGCTTAAATTGTTTTGATTTCAGCTTTAATAGACTACATCTTTATTATCATTACACATTGATTGCCACCATTGGCAAACAATAAATTTGGGACTGTACACTGATATTGAGCCTGAATATATTAACACTATGACTGAAGCTAAAGATATACATTTCTTGAGCAAATACATTAAGAAAGTCGGTGGGATAATTAAAGCAGATTTAAATGATGCCTAAAATGAAACCCTGATGTGAAACCTGAACTGAAATGCTTTTAAATGAACTAGAAAGTAGGCTTAAACTTGAGAAGGGTATCATTTGTTAAAAAAAAATATAAAGGAATAAGAATAAAGTGTCTGAGGTAATATTTACTGCAAGAGAAAAAAAAATTATTTTATGTTATTACATGCATGTATCCTTATCTTCCCCATCACTGTATGCCTATTTGTGTTGTCCAAAACGACTACAAGAAAATACTATGGCAAAATGACTACTAATTGTGTTCTAATGAGAATTAAGTGAGGCCAATCCTTTTTATACTTTCACCCCACAGAAAGAGGAAGTGACTGACTGGCGTAAGAATGTGGATGCCATGTCCGGTATGGAGGGCAGAAAGAAGTTGTTTGATGCCGGGCAGTAGATTTGAAGTGAATATCTTTGTGAAGATGTTTACTGCTTTATAACAGGTGGAACCAGTGAATCATGTGACTATTGTTCATTTTATAATGACAGTGAAAATGAAGACCAGTAGGTTCTGGAAAGTCCATGTTTCAACTGTGAACATATTAACTTATTATACTTCGAGGAATACATATAGTTTTTTATATAATGGCGTAATGCAAACTGTATTATGAAAAACATATGTATTTAACGTATTTGAGCAGTGTACTGCTTTTGTAGTTTTTGGCATCCATATGATTTCATGAACAGAGCACCACTATTGGCTGTCCATATAAACAGGCAATAATCACGCAGTTGGGTATGTTTTAACAAGTATGTTACTGTTATACTTTGATCCTGTTGCCTTCAAAAGCATCTTCCAAATCATGGCAACATAAAACATGGAAATCAACATTTGTGTTTGTTCTTGTGTTTTCCACAAAGATAATAATACCTGTTGGATTGAGAAAGAGAATGAATACACATTCCAGGGACAGCTAATTTTGACAGTCAACTGTTCATGGAGTCACATCAAGGTGAGCATCCTTAAAAATGAATGTGGCATTAAACTTAAAGACACTTTGATGAGAAGAAGCAGTGTTATGAATTGTGCATAAAACAATAAAATGTAATTGACATTGCTCAAAGAAGACTGGTCATCTGTGCCTTAAACTGGAGAGCTATTACTCTCCTTACAGCAGTGTTCAAATATTTGTATACTTGTATTAGTCAAGTTATCATCTGATGATTTAGTGTATATCCACATAAATAATGACTACTGTCAAAAAATGACATGCCTTTTTCAGATCTCCCTTTATTTTATGAGATTATTGTGAGTCAAATATCAGGTTTTATAGCAATATTGGATATTTAATGATTTAAGCAACAATGTGACAAAGCACTTTGATTTGTCCGGTACTGACACATCCCACCAGGTTATTTTATCCATAAACAGTTTCCAGAAGCTGTTTTATATCACGACATATACATCAGTATTGTGATACAAAATTATGTATACTGTGATCAGCTATATCGCCAATCCCTATGTTATAGACTTCCTTTTTGGTTAAGATTAGAGTTACATTAAATCTCAAGTCGGGCTGACTAACGATTATTTTTATTATCGATTAATCTGTCAATTACTTTTTTAATTAGTTAGAAAAATAAAATGTCAGAAAATTGTGAGAACTATCCATCCCAATCTCCCAAAGCCGAAGGTCACATCTTCCAAATGTCTGATAAATGCAAAACCCAAACACATTCATTATGCTATCACAGAAGACTGAAGAAAAACAGAAAATATGAACAATGGAGAAGATGAGACCAGAGAATTTTGATATATTCTCTAAAAATGACTCAAAACGATTAATGGATTATCAAAATAGTTGCCAAATATTTTTCTGTTGATCGTCTAACCACTAATTGTTATAGCTTCAATTCAAAGGACTGAATGTAGATCAAAATGTCCTTTTAAATGACAAATGCAGAAATTAAATGAGTTGGTTTCAACAATGGCTTCAATATACAGAGAACAACCCTTACTGCTATCCTCGGGTTCTGAAGCAACATTTCAGTTACTAAATTGTGTTGGAGTGGCAGTAGTTTCCCAAAATTGAGGACAAATGATTATTTTACTTAGAACATTAACAGTTTGATTTTCTTCATATTTACATTGCCATAGCTACACACCTGTATCATTTTGGGCGGGTATACAGGTTTACACAAACCGACACTTCCTCTACCTGTAAGTAAAGTTATTTCACACTGCTGTTTTTCTCTTACAAACAACATAAATCCGAAAAATAAATATCATATCATCAGTTATAACCAGCCGACTGTACCTCTCTACATCCATGGCTGACAGAAGTTACCGCCCTTCTTCTCCGTTCGCCTCCCTCCACGACCGTTACTACTACTCCTAATATGGGCATAACGTTTGCCAAAGAGCCCACCCACATGTGAGATGCGCCGTTCTGATTGGACGGTTGGAATGTCACTCATTGACGTATACAGGAACGTTGTTGTACTGTACATGGCCTGCGAAGTACTGTCAACACTAACGGTTGTATCATCTCCATTTAGGCCGGATTTAAAACCCACACAGGGTAAGACGACTTTTTCGAAATATTCTGGTCATTTTGGGATGAGGTTGCCACATGCCTGTTGTTTGGTTTTATAGGTTGGTCCTGTCTTTACCTCGGTCTAAGTGGAAATAATACAAGCAGCAACGGACTAAGTGTCCGTTGCTGCTTGTATTATGGCACGTCCATCCATTCTCTCGGGTTAGCTTAAAAGCTTTGCAGCAGCATACAATAAAGTATTTGCACATAGTATTAGGTATTGTTATCTGTTGTTGTTTAGTGTTCAGCCGACGAATAAGGCTGGTTAAGAAGGGTAACTGCTCTAGCTATCTACCTGTCACCTTTATAAGGCAACCTCTAACCTTTTGCTGGCTCCAAGTCCCTGCTCCTGAACCCAGATCAGATAGACAGACCAGTGACTAACTGAGGCCATTCATTTTAAGCTGTGTTCTGCTTAAATTAATGTAATATTTTTACTTCTGCTTTCACTGACTGCATGATTTTTACATTAATTTACTCTGAATGTGTGCAGGTTTCTGCTGCTGGTGCTTCGGATGTCCAAGTACAGACTCTTTCTGCTGAGGCATGGTGAGGGGGCCTGGAACAAAGAGAACCGCTTCTGCAGCTGGGTTGACCAGAAGCTGAGTGAAGATGGGGTGAAGGAGGCCCAAGACTGTGGCAGGCTCTTGAAAGAACAGGGCTACAAGTTCGACTTGGTATTCACCTCCATACTTAGCCGGTCCATCCAGACAGCCTGGCTGGTGCTGGAGGCTATGGGCCAGGAGTGGGTCCCTGTTGTCAAGTCCTGGAGACTTAATGAGCGCCACTATGGTGCCCTGATTGGCTTGAACCGGGCAGAGATGGCTTTACAACATGGAGAGGAACAGGTGAAGCTGTGGAGAAGGAGCTATGACATCACTCCACCTCCGATTGATGAATCCCATCCATACTTTCTGGAAATCTACAATGACCGTAGATATGCAACTTGTGATGTGTCCAAGGACAGCCTTCCTCGAGCAGAGAGCCTGAAGGAGGTGCTGGACAGGCTGCTGCCATACTGGGACAGAACTGTGGTGCCAGAGATAAGGAAAGGCAGGACTGTGCTCATTTCTGCTCATGGAAACAGCTGCAGGGCTCTGCTGAAACACCTGGAAGGTATGCTACTGGACTGACCTAGGCTATTTTAAAACAGTGCTCTCTCAGCTTTTGTTTTTGTGCGGTGAATGCATTCGGTTGAATTCAGCAACAGTTCCTGTTTGAAGCTTTACAAGCTGCTTTTTTAGTCATCAGATTCAGTGAATTGGGGAAGGACATTTTTCAGTTCCAGAAATGGAAGGTTGAACCTGCACAAAAAGGCCAGTGGGTTTATGTTACATTTGGCAGAGGCTATGAAATCCACGCTGACCTTTCATCACACTCATAAGCTGCCGGGGCTTCATGTGCCACAGGCCACTCAGTAACTTAACACATATTGACTGTTACATAATCATATGCAGCAGTGGCTGGCAGCTTTCCTGCATATAATGTCATCATACAGCACTATTGCAAAATGAAAGTCTGCAAACTGTCAGCAAGCTTGGTTGTAGTTTGATTGTCTGGCATGGTTTTAATATTAGTATTCTTATTTCAACAGGTATATCAGAGAAGGACATAGCCAACGTGACTTTACCTACAGGGATACCTGTGCTGCTTGAGCTGGATGAAAACCTGAGGCCTGTGAAACCGCGACAGCTCTTGGGAGACCAGGCAAAGATTCAGGCAGCCATTAAAAAGGTGGAGGATCAGGGAAAAGCCAAACCATCAACTTGAATTCACTAAACTGACTGTAAGATTTAACATAGCTCTGTTCTTGTCTCTTCTGATCCTCTTCAAAATAATCAGATAACTCATAATATAACATTAGACAATAACAACAAGAGATTCTTGTTAGTAAGATTAAAAGAACAGGTGTTCTGACTTACAGTTAAATTGCTGTATGTGTAATAAGGAAGAAGAAGGAAGAAGTCCATCAATGTACTGTAAATGTTTCAGCGCTGTGTATTATGTGTAAGCACTGAGGGCAAATTTGGTTCATATCTTATTTTTAAGCTAATTGTCCCTACGTATGACTGTATGGTGACCCTAAAGTGGTTATGTATTTATTTACTCCTTGACTCTACCTTTGCGTATTTATAGTAATGTGGTGAAGGTGAAAAATCTTGAAGGAAAATAATGCTCTTTTGCTAAATGATGCTTTTCTATTACAGTGATAAGCTTTAAGGGTTTTCTCTTACATTTTAAAAATGTGCCTTCAGTATTAACCTCATGCTCAGATTCAGTTATTTTTGAAAGCTCAAACAGGTCTTATGGTGATTTTATTTGGGAATAAAAGCACTCCATTAACAAACTTTACCTCATAGAAATTGATAGCCAGGCTGTTCATTTAAAGAATGGGTTAATTGTGAGCCACAGAAGAGCTGTAAATATGCAAAACACTTAAATCCTCTACTGTCGTATGTGAGTTACTTATAGTTTTAAATGTCCTATAGGTATGACAGGCAGACATGTTGCTTTTCTATTAGGTTCATACAGTACATTCAATTTGACATTGAATACATTGAGTTTAAAACACCATGGCTATCGACCGTGGTTATTTGGTATAACTGGTTTATGCTTTGCACGTTTTGGGGATATGAGGAAGATTTTTTGAATTTATCCCCTTGTTGAAAAAATGCAAACCATGTGAAAAACAAGCACTATTTGATGTTCATTTTAAATTCTAAATTTTTGTTCTTATAGCAGCACTCTCTTTTAATATTATGTTACTACTGTGTGTGGTACAGGCTACTTTACTGCATGTTGTATTGTGTCTCTTGTTACAGTACTGTGCATCGTTTGTGTCTCCTGTTTTCTCAGTTTGTTGTGGTTTTTATCTGCCACTGTTATTTTGTACACTGGTTTGTTAGGTCAACAGGGGAAAGATGATAAGTTAAGAACATGCATATGATTATACTAAAGGGTAGAAAACACTGATATATTTGTAATTTCATGGAGGATGATTTAATGTCTTTCCTGCTGTCTACACCTTCCCATGGGAGAGTTAGCATGATGGAATAAAGGGAATAACATTTTCCTAAAATAAAACTTTTAATTACTCTGTTAAGGTCAATTTTAAGCTTCATATTGTCAGATAATTCAATGTCTCAGACGTCACAGAGATATATATAATACGTGAGCTGTAAATTTCATGGTGGAGCAATAGGAACAAATTAGAAAACAAACAACAATGCTGTTTTGGAAGTACAGATATGCCTGTAATTTGGATTCTGGTTGCCTTGAGCCCACTGGAAACAATAAACAGCTGAGTCTGTTTGGCTACCACAGATGGATCCAGAGGAGTGGCTCTTCATTTCTCAACCATTTCTGTGAGTTGGCCAAACCAGATGGGCTGAGCCAGGGAGAAACCCTCTAATTGGTTGAAAATGCTCTTAAATGGACATGATGATCAGCAGGATTCTTATTCCTATCCATGTGGTGGCAATGATACTATGTTATATTGTAGACATTATACTGTATCAGTGTTCACATAGTGTGTGAACCATGGACCATAGTGTTCACGTGTAGTCTATAAGTCACATTTTGTATTGCAGAGGTGCATCATCCAGGCATCTGAAGTACACCTGTCATTTTACATTTCTTATCAAATATGCATTCACACCAGCAAGGGAATGAGTGTTAGAGGGCTTAAGCTAGCGCTTTGAAAGTAATAAGAAACATGGTTTTTGAGGAATGCACATTTTATCACTCATTCAGAAAACTATCATTCATTATATACAGCATTTGGGCGGTTCAGAATCACGTAGAAAGGAAACCAGGCGGACACACAAGGTTTATGATTTTCTCAGAAATCTTTTGCTTATTGACTCTTCTAAAGACCATATCCTATAGAACTTAAACAGTTAATAATCTCAGAAATAATTGAGTGTGTATAAATTAGATGAATCAGTGGCATTAGAATTTAAACACATCCTTAAAGTTCAACCGTGTACATGCACACACACATCAGGCCTGTGTGGACATCACTGAGTTGCAGCTTGAGCAGGCGGAGCTGTTAACACTGTGCTTATAAACCTCTGGTTGCTCTCCGTCTGCTGATTTTCAGCAAGAACAATCATTCTGCTCTGCAGGCCTGGTAAGTTCTTATGATGCTATCTTCTAGCTTTTTGAGGTTGACGTGGAGGAATTTGAGATTTGTTAACCAGAGTTGAGAAGAATATGACTGGCACTGTGACTGGTAAAGTTGTAGCTGGTTTCAATTAATATTGTGTCAGGATAGGTGTATGGCTCATTCACGAGAATAGTTTTTTGGTTTTGATCAAGAACACGTACCCTATATTCAAAGATTACAACTTACTTGTTGCAAGAAATTATCTTATGTTGCTTAATCACTCTTCACCTCCTTGGAAAAAATACTTTATATCTGATCTAATCTAGATACACCTGTCTCATGATAGACCTATGCTTCTGACAAGTTGCAAGTGGATCAATCTTATATCTATCATGAATACATCTTAAAGATATTTATTTGGGGGAAAAAGTAAAGAAAGCATTACACAGTGCTAATTCTGCATAGAGATATTTAAATGACGAGATTATGTTGAAATGTCTTGCCCCTTTACAAGTTTGGGCACTGGCTTGAAAAGGGTCCTGGAGGGACTGACATCCTCAGGCAGAGTAACAAATGGACAATATAAGTGTGAAGGAAAACATTTGTTTATGCTCAGATAAAAAGATATAAATACTGACAACTTAAAATGTTACTGAACGATTTAAGACAATAAAAGTCAATAAACGACATTTCCTATCAATTGCTGGTCATTAACTCCTCAAGAGAACAAGTTGAAAATATAAAGCTCATATAATTTAGTATATATCTGCTGAGGAATCTAAATTGGAAGGAGCAGTATCTAAGTTGTATTCATGAAATGATATTAGGAAGATAGGACCTGCATAGCCCTAACTCCTAGAATCCACATTTTGTGAGGCTCAGTACTTGTATCCACCCTGTTCAGTGCAGGAGTTAATACTAATCTGACTTCAGTGTCTGTTACTGATACACTGAGCAGTCCGGCTGTGGAAAAGCTGTTTGCTGTAGTGGACATGCCAAGTGAGTCTCCTATTCCTTAGATGGTATTGAAGATAAAGGCTACAATCACATGGGGTTGGAGTGTGTGAGTTTATGACCATGGGCTCATCTCCTTGGGGACTGGAAATGTGTTTGGGTTTCCAGAGCATCCTCTCCCTTCTTGATTACTGTGACCATATTTTTGCGTCACACGAGTGAAAACCACTGTGTATCTACAGTAAAAATGATTGTGCCCACTTTGCATGAAGTGAGAAAGTTATTTATAATAGATTTGACTTCAAGCCTTCATACCCTTCAGTGTGCACGCATACATATGAACACACAGCAGAAACACAAAGAAGAAGAGTTCATACTTTTGTTTTAATGACATTTTCTGTCCTCTGTTGACGACTTTATGTTTCCCATTAAAAGCTGTGTCAAATTAGCTCGATCCAAACACCAATGTCTTCATGGCGTCTGTGACAAGAGAGGGTGGGATATGAGCTTTCTTTGTGAGCATGAGCAGAGAGGATTTTTTAAACAGTGTGAGTTTAAAAGTCATTAAAAAGAAGTTGGGACACAAACTTACCAAATGTGAAACTGACACAGGAGAGATTTGGCAGCTGATGTTTTAGTAAGAGCACAAATGAATATTTGTAGAAAGTGGTGTGATTTGACCAAGAGGAAGGTTGACTGCCCTGTTTTTGTACAGATGGGATGCTTTAAATGGGAGAGGAAATGGTTTTCCATATGAGCAAATTACAGGAGGGGTAGAGGTGAATGTTAGGGGCCCTGACATTAATGAAGTCATTCATCAGTAATCAGTCTGCCATCAAACCTACTCACGGGAGATGTATGGAGGAATAACATTCTTTTTATAACATACCAGAATTATTTAGATGCAGGATTTATCTGCTTAAATGTCCGACTGTTGCTATACCACTGTTTTGACAATGATGATGAGCTGCCTTTCAGTCGTATTTTCTGCCTCACAGCAGGATTATGGAAAGTGGATTAATGGCGATCACAATGGAAAGAGGTTATTCTTGGATTCCCACTTTGTATAGCAGAAGGTATTTCCTAGAGTAAACCATGCTCTCTGTCCATGGCCTTGCACCTTGCCAAGCTGGGACACTACAACTAACACTGCCTGTGTACTTCCTTAAAAGGAGGCCGAGTACACCATCTCAGCTGATGGGATACGGAACAGGGAGTGCACATAGCTGCATCTATTTCCATTGAGTCTCTGGCTGAGGAGGAAACTCTAACTCAGCTTTGAATTCATTGATTCATTTAGCATCTTGTGTCACCAGAGACATTTTATTTGAGTTTCATTGATCACTCAGATCTTTTTTTTAAATTTTTTTTTATCATGGACAAAATACAGCAAGCAAACAACAATCTCCAATTGTTTAAGGTTCATCTGATGATGGATTCCTTGTGTCCTTTTGCTTATTAAAACAAAGTTGAGCTGCAGAGAGTGGAGACATGAAGAGCCTGAGTGAGTGTCCTGCCAAGCCTGTTTCTCTGTTTAGAGATGGTAACTCTCTAATCTTCACTGCACCACTTGATGGTTATTGGTCACAGAACAACACACCCTACATTTTAACCAAACTATACACAAACATTTTAATGAGCTGCAGAAAAGGTCAACATTACAGTATGTTGTGGTTTGCAAACTGAGAGGAATTTGTATCCTGGTCAGGGACCTTTTCATATGTGACCATGTTTGGTCATGTGGAGTAAGCAGCTGCGTCTTCTTGATTGATTGCAAACGCCTCTCTGGCAACTGTTTATCTATAAGCGTGTTGAAGCACTTTCTTTATCTTTCAACAAGAACCTTGTCTGATTTTGGGATATAGTTACCTGAAAAGTTACAATGACAGAAACCAAATCCTCAACAACTAACCAGCAGGCCTGTAACTACAAAAGTCAAATGACATGGCACAAATGTAGAGTATGTACAGTACCTGCAGTGAGTTAAACACATCTCCAATAAAGGCTGAAGACAGTAATCGGCCTATAAATATCATATCACCAGTGAAATATCAACAATAAATGAAAAATTCACATAGATAATAAGACTGATACCATTCACATATCTGTACGCAAAATATGAAGCTACTGCCAGCAGCTGACTAACAAGGGGAAACAGCTAACCAACCTTTGTCTGAGGTTCAAGAGTGATATCAATTTTCTCATTCCAGGCTAACTCTTTGCAAGAAAGCAAAAAAGAGTATTTACCAAAAGGTTAAACTTCCCATACAAAGAGAAACACCATTAATCTAAACATCCATAAGAGTGAAAGTAAAAAGAGTAAAACATTAAGAGTAAAAAAAGTAGAATAAATTAAGATAGAACATTGTATTACATGTTAGCCACAGACTGCTAGCTACAATAGCTAGCTTGGTTAGCAGTAAATTGACTTAATTAACAAATCAAGAGTTACAAAACAGCTGTAATAAAGTGCCTATAGATGATGGTCCTAATGGGCATTTGGGGAGTATATAAAAGCGGCTGTAACTGCGGTGGCGGAAACTGGTTGCTACAGAATGATATACTGAAAATAACTGCTTTAGAATGAATGTTGTTTATCATAATAAATGACATTAGAACAAAATATAAAACAAATAGCAAAAAGTAAGTTTGTTATTGTCCAGCTTCATTGTTGTTACAGCCACAAGTTGTGATGGATTGAGAGAGACAGAGCTGTACAGATACTGATATCCAGCTGCCTGCATGTCTTTCCTGAACATTTCCAGAATGAAGATGTGAGGTCGACTGTAACTTGCCAAACCAAATGTAAATCATCCATTATAAGCATTGTCTTTAATACAATATAATGCTTTCCTCTGCCTTCTTTTGATGTCTGATTAATACACTGGCAGACTCTCTATAGGGACGCCATCATCAAGCCAGTAATTACAAAGCCAGACAATATACAAATAGCACATGGCGTGTACACAATGCTGGGATGAATAGAAACACAAAGGAGGACCATGCAATTGATGTAATTATGGGGCTTTTAGTAAGAGTCTTTTAACTTTTGTATTACATACCGACCACTAATGTCTTATAAGACGTGGAACACTTGAGGAATTCTCAGGCTAAATCCTTTGGCTTCAGAAACAAAGGGCTCAAATGTGGGCTTACTGTGATTTAAGTACTTTTGATGGGCAACACTGGCATTGGATACTTCTAAAAGCAAACACGTTTTTGTTCAGAACTGTGTCCATTAATCACTCTTAAAAGGTCACCCAGTTAAATTCAGTTATCAGTATATTAAAAGAACGATTCATAAGTCAGCGCTTTCAATATTTGTTAATAGAATGTATATATTCTTTCAAATTATAGTAAGAGATCACTCTAATGCTTTTAGTAGACTTAGCAGCGAGGGCCAGCACTCTATTACTGATCTTCATGTAAGTGTCTGCATGTTCTGAAATAAAAAGAGTTTGTATTATGCACAAACCAGGTAGGATGTCAGATTCAGATAATTATTTTCCTTACAAGCTGCAGCTGACATTGGCTGACTTAATGTTTGAATGTGAAATTGTGTTTGTCCTCTGAATACTCTACATCAGGTTTAATGTGTGTTATATCTTAGTTCCTTGTTCATACATTTGATCTATTAAGATAGCAGCAGGACCTGGCAGGGATAAGAGATAGTCCTTTAAGGCAGAGCCAGGCTTGCTGTTTGCCTATGCCTCCAGACTTCATGCTAAGTTAGGCTAACTGCCTCCTGGCTCTAGCTCCATAGGTAATATATAGACATGACAGTGGTATTGATCATCTCATCTTACTATCAGCAAGAAAGTGAGTAAGCACATTCCCAAAAATGTTGCACTATTCCTTTAAAAGCCCTATTCTGTCATTGCATAATTGTGTATCTTCTTGCTCAATGCTTGAATGCAAATCTTATATTTAGACATTTGACAGAATCCATACACAACTACTTCTTGCCAGTCTACATTTCACATTCGTGCCACGTAATTACATGCTGCCAGCACAAAACCAGAATTGTTTCCTTGTCTCTGCTCTTTTCCTTTTCACATGACACGTGATTTGTTGCAAACATCTAAATGAATATTCATGAGAAATGTCTGCTGAGAGTTAGGGGTGGCATTCGGCTAGTGATGAGTTGCTAGTTGCATGAGAGCAGACTGACTGTGGTGATGTAGAGAAAAAGATGTCCTGCACCACCAGCGTCTGATCCCATCAGAGTCAGAGCAGATGAGCTAAATCATTTACAGATGTATGAATTATAAACTGCCATGGGCACCCGTCATGTGGGAATTATTTGTGGAAAGAGGTGAAGCCTAAAACATGCTGTACATGTGTAAACGAGGATATTACAACAATCTTTTGCTGTTTATATGTGAGGTAATGTGTCACCCCAATATGATCAATGCTTCGTGCTTGTTTGTTTGCATGTAATAATTCATGCAAGCACACACTTCTATCTAACGGGGCAGCTATTATGGGGAACTCTCAAGTTAGTATCTGTACTCAATGTGTGTGTGTGTGTGTGTGTTGCTACCTGCCAGAATGATTTTTCAAACTTTAGAAATGCAGAGCTGTGCTGGCCGTGTTGGACCCAGGCCAATTCAAACAGGGCTGGATTGTGACTCTGACATGTCTATGAGCTGTAAGCCTGCAGAAGTCTTTGTCTGCTGCTCCACAGAGTCCATAAGGCTCCAGCACCTGCGTCAGAAACACAGACCAGCCTTTGTCATCCCCAGACTTTAAGTGGTCCCATATAAGACCAGCTGTGAGGGAGTGATGGATATCAGTCTCATGTGACTGTGAGAGAAATCACCCCCGTAGTTTAGGGCTGGAAAAGTGAATTTTTACTGTAACACATTTATAAAATATTTGGGTAATGTCAGAATGGTGGTAATGATGGTGGCTAGGGTGATTACATTAATGGCAATAACAAAATTAACTGTGGTAATCATTAAATCATTATGATTGCATATTTAGTTGAACACTGGGAGAACACCTGTGTCCATGACATCATAGCTGACTGATGCTGGGGGTTTATTTTGCTTACACATACAGTAAGTTAAGTAAGTCTAAAAAGAAGTCTTTATCCCTTTTACTCCTGATCATTATGGATTATACATTAATAACACAACCATCTCTAAAAAATTTTTGTCCTGAAGTAAAATTTATAAGTTGCAATAAATCACTCTCCTGTTTTGCAGAGGTAAAGTGTAAACGAGTGTCATCCTTTTCCAGGAAAGCAATGAACTGTCTCATTAGAGATGTAATGGATGTTTTCAAGAAGGCATCTTTAGGCCCATTTCTGTTGGGCTTTGTGACTGTATATGGAATCGGCCATTGTGAGAACGAAACTGTTGTATGCCTGAGTCACACAATGATCCGCTACTCACTGCTGGTGGGCTCCTCTTCAGATCTGAAGATACAGATACTAAAATAAAGGGATGATGCTGAAGTGGCCTTCTTTATAACACTGAGAATGATTATAATACTGTGCTAGTCTGGCTTTCAATTGTTTGGGACATTAATATATTGCAGGTGTGTCACATCAATGTAGAAGAGGAGGAAACACACACAATGGTGCATGATATAAACACAATTAAGTGTGATGTCAACTTGACTCTGTGGGCTCACATTATCTGGATTCCCAGAACTTTTTTTGTTATGTTGTTTTAGAAGAAGATGGATGGTTTCCTCGAGGCAGGCCAGAAACAGTCTCTGCATCATTTTCTTTCAGCATGTTCTCAAGACCAGTGTCTTTTGTCTCATTTTCAGTTTACATATTAACAAGCAGAAACAAGCAGTCTGTCAAAACATTGGCCTGATGTTTCCTCGATCAGTGCGTTGAACAATTAATCAGGTGTCTTTTTGCTGCTTTAAATGGTGATGGTGTAGATAGCAATAGTTTGGTTTTGGGGATTTGGACTTTTCTCCTGTTCACCCATAGAGGGACAATCTCACTTGGATGCCTTTTTTTTTTAAGTCTTCTGATGTAGTCTGAAGATAGTAACTGAGCTAAGAAACTGTATGGAAAGACATAACAAAAGTACTAATCAGTACTACAGTTTCAACTCATTGAGTCTGTCTAGAAAGTACACTATATGTTTATTAGACTACATTGACATAATAAAAGCTAATTAGTTAATTCACCAATGTTGCATCTTTTGTTAATAGAACTAATATAATGATAATTATAATCTGTCCCAGACTGTAACAATGTACATTCAAACACTGGAACTGAACTGTGCCAAAATGTCTGGACTTTTTCTTTGGTTTCATTTTCCTTCCACCTCTGAGTGGGATGGAGTTGTTAATCTTTCTGAAATCACACATCAGAGTTCCTATGTACTTTTACACCAGTGTACTGCATCTGTTGGCTGGAGCCACTGCCAGACTTTCTAACAGACTTCAACAAGGTGTTCAAAAGGTGGTTGATGGCAGCTGCTTATTGTGCAGCTGGAAAATATTCAAAGCTGAGCAGAAAAGTTCACTCATTTGAGTTTTTATTGGCAGTGGTTTGGAAATGGTGCTCAAGGCTGAAGGTGTTAACATATGGTTACTTTTGTTTGAAAATCTATTGCATCCAAGTCCATACACACAATTTATTATTTATTATTTATCTATGAAATCTATATGATCTATATATCAGCCAGGAGTTTTGCAGTTTATGACTTGGCACCAGATGTTTGTGATGTTACCAGAGCCAGCCAAAATACAAATTAATCTTTACTTTATAGAGGGTTTAGGCAGTAGGTTGATTGCTGTTGATACACACTGGATTGTAGATTATATACTTTGGCAGCCTTATACTAGAATTATCAGTGGACAAGGACCAAACAAGAGTAGAAGGAGTTAAGGGTTCACTGGTTATTATACAACTCAAATGAAGCTGTTCTGTGGAGTAGGTTGTCAAGTGGATCTATAGCCCCACATCTGTATTCTGAAAGTATGTTTAGGGGGTTGGTTAATTCTTTATTCAAACAGGTCTTACTTAATTGAGGACACTTTTACCAGTAGGGACCTACTAGAAAATTTTAAACATATTCAAGAATCACACCCAAATGTAAAGAAGTTGTTAGATACATGAGAAGACTGACACAACTGTCATGTTTGTACAGTACATATGAAGCTGCAGCTGGTTAGCTTAGCTAAGACCAGAAACTGGGGGAACAACTGGCCGTGGCTCTGTCTAGAGGGAACAAAATCTGCCTTCCAGCACCTTGTAAGGCTCACTAATGAACATGTTACATCTCATTTGTTTCATAAAACATGAATCTTTGACATAACCCACTGTAAAACCACAAACTAAACATGCATTGTTTTATTCTATTTTATTTTGTGTAAAGAAATTAGATACAATGTGTTAATTAGTGAGCTTTTGGGGTGCAAGTATAGGCAGATTTTGTTACCTTCATCTATGTTACCCTATTTCTGTTTCCAGAATGAATTTCAACCCCCTCTCTCTATGGATAATAACTGATATAAAGTGATGTGTGTGCATGGTAACAATGCCAGCAACACTGAGTAAAGATTGCATTGACAGGTAGCCTAAATGGTTTATCAGTTTATTCAAGGTTGATGAGATTGGATTTGACATATGGTTGCAGAAGCTTTGCACAGTGAGATGACTATGCATCAGTTCTGTAAACCAAGTGGCCTTAAAAAGAACAGGAGGAGATAAGGGTAGTAGGTAGTTTAATAGGTGTCGATTCATTTTGAAGAGAGAGGAAAAAAAAGAAAAAGAAAAAAGACTGCAGCGTGAAAGATGGAGTAAAGATAGCAGGATGAGACAAACTAAGAGAAATAATTTGAGAGTCTGAAGTCAGAGATCAGGGAGGGGAAAGTGAGAAAGAGGGAGAGAGCAGGAGTCAGGTCGAGGAGGAGGAGGGAGGCTGAGAGAGGAGAGGGGAGCAGAGAGGCAGGCTTTGCCTTTTCTGGTAGTTAAAGCCACGGACAGAACAAGCAGGAATTCTTCATGCTGCAGAGGGGCTGAGATATAAACCAGACACTAGAAGTTGATATATGACGAGAAGGGAGACAGTGCTGTCCATGGACTAAACTTCAGCTACTGGTAAGGTATTGTAAACCAACAGGCACTGTAGTTTTTGTTACTTTTTACCCATGCCATGGAGTATTCTTGGGTGGTCCCCTGTAATTTTATTTTTCAACCGACTGAGAAACATTTAGTGAATTGTACTTATTGAATTGAACATGTTTCCACAGTCACAGTGAGTGTTTGTTACTTAGTATTAAACATCCCAGAGGTGATGAATTACTATGATGATGAAATGAGATTAATCATATATGGATGAAGGATCCTACTGTGCGCAGATTGTCAAAAAAGAAAGAGAAAAAGAAGATTCATCAAGTGTACGATGCAAGATGGATGAATTGATGACTGATTAGTGATTTTCGGAAACATGATGTGATATCACACTCGTGTCTTTTAGTGAGAAAGTGAGGAGAATCTTTTGGGCATCATGGACGATGACTTTGACCGCCGCATGGAGCTGAGGAGGCAGAGGAGAGAGCAGATGCGCCTCGACGCTGACAAGTAGGTGAACCCACTGAGAACACATAAATATATGAAGAACATATGTTGGACATATGTCGGGTATTTGTGTTTATTTAGATGTACAATTTTGATTGTGTTATCTTGTTTTGTTTTGATGCGATTCTGATGTTGTCGTTTTGTTTTGTTTGTCCCCTTTTTCTGTTGGTTATGTTATGTTTTTGTTATTAAAAAAACAAACAAACAAAAAAAAAATATATAGAACACATACATACAGACAGACATGGACATTTAATCATGAGTGAAATTCAGTCCTAAAAAGGTGAATGCATGGTAAAAATCGTACAAGCACTATAAAAGGATGGGTGACATCCTACACCATATTATCTTAAATCAAGGCCTCATAGTTTCATCAGTATTTGACTGTCTGACTCACCATTCATGAGATAAACCGGACGGCTTCAGCAGACCATATTGGATCATTAAGGCCTAATATTCCCACTCATTTATAAACCACATCTGCAGTTGTTGACAGTTATTAGACAGCAGCTGCTCACGAGGAAGTCACTCTGCATAGGTGTGTATGTATTTTTGCATGAGGGATTTGTGAGTGCCTGTGTGACTCCACATGAAGCAGCAGAGTAGAGCAGACAGGACTTGGATGGTTCTCAGGTGATGACAGCTTAATGATCTTGACTGCCTTTTCACTCATTAGGGAGTCAGTCGGCTGTGTTGCTGTTTGGATTTGTCTCTTGCTCTCTGTCGTCTCCCTCCCTCTCTCTTTGTTCTCATATAAATATACAGTACTGTTATAAAGTCATTACTGTCATCCAGTTTGGGAGTAAAGTATGCACTCCTGAATGTAAAGCTGCATTTTTAAATGCTTGGATAAACTACACTGATATAAACTGAAAGGGTGAAAAAAGGGTTTGAGAAAAATGAGCAAAAACTCAGGTCACCTGTCAGTTGTTTGATAGCTGTATTCATAATTAGTGCCAAAACAAGTACAAGTAATTTAGGAACCACTGAGAAACAATATGAACCAAACAAACCATAATCTGCTGTGAAACCCCAGGGACCTCATGTGATGTCATCAGCCCAAGTAAAGTGAAAACAGCTGTGTTAATTAACACAACTGTTCACACCTGTAGCTGTCAGCCGCTACTTAATTAGTGAGCCACATTTTACCACATTGGCATTTGTTACAGCACTACTGGCTTCCCTTTACAGTGATGCAGAGTTAAAAGGATAAGTCTGGTGGGGATGGTGGTGTCTAAATGTTTTACTATTGTCAGCAAATCCATCCCATGGCAAGACCAAAACCAACAATAAATTTATCCTGGTAACAAGTGTTGTCTTATTCCTGTGCCACAGAGCTTCATTGTTGTCTAAAATGTGTTCCTTCATTATAATGAATGTGGGCACTGTACTTTATTTTAAGTTCATTGTAAACACCATTCTTCTGCAACAGCTACTCATTAGAGCACCCAATTTGTGTTAGTCCGCGGCTGAAAATAGTCCCCAAAAAATGCACTACTTACTCAATTTTCAGTATTAATAATTAGTTAAATATTAGTAATTAGCTTTCACATACAATGACCAGGTGTTCTGGGAAATGGTTTCACTTTTTCTTTTTCTTTTATGGTTGGTGTACAAAATACACTGGAGACGGTAGTTTACATCCAGACCCTGGTCTGTGGTTAGGTTTAGGTTACAAAAAGGTTAGTGAAAGATTGTGGTTTTGGTTAAATGTAAATAAACTCATTGTGTCAGAAGTCACTGTTAATTTTTTCTGTAATAAACCAGACCATGACCTTTTGCTAACCTTAACCAAGTGCTGTGAGTGGCTATACATAAGCATAAAACTGTTTAATAATCATAAAGTCACTATAAGTGCATGTTGTGCTGCAAGATTGGATGTTTTGCTAGAAAACAAATGACAACATAACAACATATCCTGTTACGGTAATAGAAAACGTAATCTGGTCACAATTACAATTCCTAAAAAATATATATAAACATGATTTCAAGGGGACAGGGTTGGGTCTTGGGGCTCACAGAGATGTTGGAGCTAATGGGTTGTTTCTTTGGGCTTTAAACAGGATGTGTTAGAAATATGTAACATTATCAGTTTTATCCATTAAGAGATGATGATGAAATTTGGCCATGGCTACATCTCACAAATCACTTTCCTTCAGTTCAGGAGTCAGTTGCTGTCATATCAGATGTCCTATCAGAGCCTCAATGAAAAAAAGGAATTTTCTCACAGTCTTGAAGCCAGCTCTGCCAGCCGTGCCAACACAGCCTGCCTTGCCTTTTTCTGCCTCTCACCGCCCTCCTGCTTCTCAGCTCCTCTCTGCAGCCTGAGGAAATACTGCAGACGCTGGAATGTTTTGACTCCCATTTTTATTTCAGCACAACACATCCTTCTCTGAATGCTTCAGCTGAAAGTTTGAGTGGAGTTTTCAGTCTCTTTTCCCTCATCTCACTCTGTTTTCCTGATGGCCAAAGAAGCCCTCATCATATTACCCCTCAGGTAACTCATCTGGAAATGTAACAGTAAAAATCTCACAGCAGGCCTCTAGCTTTGGGTGGAGTAATCTAATTGAATTACTTCCTCGATGATTCCTTGTGGCAACCCGTGCCATTTGGAGGAACCTCTGCCTGGGGATTTGCTGGATTTCCGTCTCATTTGGGCCTTTGTCTCTGTTCTAAACACAGAAAGGATTCTTGTGGTTCCCATCCACCTCTTCCTCTCACAACATCTGTAAATCATTGTACTGTGGATTCAAGATGAGCAGAGTTAAATAATACCCATGCGCTATCAATGGGCCATTTCAAGCTTTCTCCCTGCCTCATAAAGCCTGGTGATGCTTGGAAAGATAGTGTGGCATGCTCAAGTCTCAATGTGAATGTTTTTCACAGTTGGATCAAAGTCAATGACGGGATGTTGAAAGATGTGGAGGATTGAGGGAGAGACAGGAGGGCAACAATTTTGGCATTGTCTCTCATCTCTAATTCTACATCTAGTATTGTTTCCACTCTAGAAAGATTTATCTCTTCCTCTTTTCTTCATCCTGTTTTCCTTCATCACCTCATCTATTTCCCTCCACAATGTACATAAAAGGGAAATTTGACCTCACCCAGATATTGTCATCCATTGTTGATACAGTCCAATGTCCAATTTCAAATGTACTTGATACAGTTTCATACTTTAGGCAACATAGTGGTATACAGTCACCTTTAAATATATAGTGCAAGTTGTATTATTCCAGTGTACTTGAACAAGCAACATTCAGCTGTAAATCTGAAATAGCAGAAATAGTTGCACTTGTTCTGGGTAGTAAAATTATGCATATTATTCATATTAGGAGTCATTCTCACTGTAAGACGTATAAGCTCTAAACCTGAAACATTAATATTTAGTATTAATATTCATACCCAAGGCACTAAAACATAAAAACAGTTAAACATTTTCCCGGTATCTCTGACGTGCACAGGAGCTGAAATAATTACTCAAATAGTTACTCTGCAAAGAAAATAAACCTATCCACATTCTTGCACGTCCGCATACAGGTATTCAAAACCCACGTTACCTCCGTGTGACAGCAGTTAACTCACCTGTAAAGCCAAAACCAGTAGCCTGACGCTGTCGCATGTTTTCAAACTTCAATATAAATGTATAGTAATACAATATAAATGCTCAAAATAATGTCACAAACTCCTGCAACACTGACGTACAAATAAGACTTGGTTGTTCAAAGGTAAGTATTATTTTTTACCAAGCACTAACCTACAATCTATAAGTAAAGTTCAGCAGTAAAAACACAGAACAATTCGCTTTCCAGATTGCATGTGGGGTATGGGCGGAAGTTCCCCTTAGAGGCAACCTGAGCGCAACTGCGTCCATGACAACAGTTCCACCTGTGGTGGCTTTACCGTCCTCCTGTACAGTTCACATTACAGAATTACATTTCGAAATTATTACTAATTTCCCAGGCTGATGACATGCTCTTTAAGTCGCTAGAAATTAATACTTGATAAATAAAATTTGAAATTAACACAAAAATGGTCAAACGTTTGGGCGTGCCACATTTAGCTATTGCTCTATAGCTAACGTTAGCGCTGTGTATTTACCAGTCTAGAAGAAACGTTGTGAGCTCAGCATCAAACGTCATCGTTTTACTTGCCCAGAGCTGTCTCCAGCGGTGGTAAGCAACACCGATGTTAACTCTTGTTAACTCTATCCTCTACTAAAGTTAGCACGCTAACCAGCTAGCCGCGGCCCGTTTCGTTACTTTCTGATAGCAACTCACGGTAGCCTCCTGCTCAGAGGACATATAACTTCTTGTCTTGTAAATACAACAATGGCCGAAGCTCTTGTCAAGAGACAATCATCACCACCTGCTACCAGCAAGAAACCAAGTTCAGCGGAAGAGAAAACTTACAAAAAGCATATTTTAAGTCTTATTTCAGAAGTGATTGTCTCATTTTGGAGTAAAAATACATTTTTATCATTCAACCAACTTGTTAATATGTACTGGCTATCTGCATATGTGATGTTTCAGTGTGGGTTACACCAACGATGATGATGATGATGAGGAAGCACGGGAGCGAAGGAGACGTGCGAGGGAGGAGAGAAAGAAGATGAGGGACTCAGAGGACTCTAGTACCATTGATGTGATCAACACTAACAGGTACAGTGTGTAGATGAAGGGACTTACTGTAGTGATGCAAGAGTCACAAGACAGAAACAAACCTCCCAAGGTTTTGTCGACTTAAATGTAATGTAAATATTCTCCTTCATGATGGAATTTCTCTTAATACTTTAGATCAATTAAATAATTAAAAAATATATGCTTCTACAGCAAAACATGCTATATATATTTCACTTAAATTGAAGCTGAAACAGATCAGCTGCAGTTACATTATCAACAGCATTGTCTGTACTACGTTTCATTGCCAGTCAGTGAGTTCCATTGCTAGTCATGAGCTCAAACTAATTTGTGTAAAGGAATGGTATCAAAGTGAACAGTGAAGACAGTTAAACAGCTGGGGAAATAAAAACTTCTGTTTTTTAATCAAACTTAATCAAATGCATGAGTCAGGTGAGGGGTGAAGAAAAAGGGGAGCGTGGCCACACATTATATTACAACCCACATTACTTATTAAAATAATTAAAATAATGATTACAAGGTTCCTCGTCTAAGATTGAAGATTAGCTATGTCTGTTTGGTCGTTTGACCATTTCTCAACTTGTTGTTATTCCAAATCATAGAGTGAAGCAGAAGACTTGATAATAGATCCCTGTTGTGTGTGTGTAATTGAGTTCACGTCCTTTACTGCTTTATGAACAAGTCGATGTCATGTTTTTACAGTGTCACAGAGACTGGGTCCGAGTCCTCCGCCACCACCACTGGTGCTGGAGGTGCAGATGATGACCAGGCTTTGCTGGAGCGCCTGGCCAAGAGGGAGGAGCGGAGGCAGAAGAGAATGAAGGAGGCCATGGAGAGACAGAAGGAGTTCGACCCCACCATCAGCACCACCAACGGCACAGACGGCACACTGGAGGAGCAGTCCTCCATCAGCAGCAGCAGACAGCGACACACAGAGGAAGAAGAGGAGAAGAAGGAGGAGAATCCTGCCCAGGAGGAGGTGGCAAACTCCTGGAGGAAAGAGGAAGAAGAGAAGAAGGAAGAAGAGAAGGTAAAGATGAATTTCTAGCTTTTTCTGAAGCAGAACATGTACTGAAGAGGGACAAAAGATTTTATATTCTAAAGTTATTTTTACTCTTGACAGGAATCTGTTGAGGAGTCAAGAACACCAACCACAAGAAATGAGGTATGGTCTCTTATTTTAGCTTCCTCATGACTTTATTTTGATAATATATGCACAGAAAATTATAGAAAAATTAAATAAATATAACTTCTCTCATAGGAGGAGGCTGAGGTTGATGTAGGGAAGAAAGATGCTCCTGAGGAAGCTGTTGACGAGGAGGAAGAAAGGAAGAGGAAAGAAGAAGAGGAAAAACAGCAGAAAGAAATGGATGAAAAGCTAAGGATAGAAGAGGAGGAGAGGCAAAAAAGGGAAATGGAAAAGCGAAAGAGAGAGGAAGAAGAAAGGCAGCTGAAGGAGGCGGAGGAAAGGAAGAAGAGGGAAGAGGAACAACAAAAGCAAAATGAAGAGAGGCAGAAAAAGGAGGAAGAAGAAAAACAGAAAAAAGAGATGGAGGAAAAAATTAAAAAAGAAGAGGAAAAACAGAAAAGGGAGATGGCAGAAAAGAAGAAAAAAGAGGAGGAGGAAAAACGAAAGAAAGAAATGGAGGAGAAAAAGAAAAAGGAGGAGGAGGAAAAGAAGATGAAGAAAGGGCAAGAGGAAAAGAAGAAGAAAGAAGAGGAGGAGAGACGGAAAAAGGAGATGGAGGAAAAGAAGAAAGAAGAGGAGGAAAAGCGGAAAAAGGAGGCTGAGGAGAAAAAGAAAAAAGAGGAAGAGGATAAACGCAAAAAGCGAGAGATGGAAGAAAAGAAGAAGAAAGAGGAGGTACTGATGAGATTGTTTTTTTTACCAACAGCCAAAACCTGGAAAACCCAAATGAGGTCTCTGTCCACAGAATACAGACATTTGAATGTGACACTAGTCCTTAATCTCTTGGATTAAGTGGCACTGGGGGACCACATTCGATTCGTCCAGGCTTTGCAGATAATTGCTGTGTGATAGTTTTGTGGCCTGGCCGTAGATCACAGTGTTTGGTTTGCCACAAGGATAAAAGAGGAGGTGGTATCGAGGATGTCACATAGTGATGTGCCCTCATTTTACATCTGTGCTGCATTCACTGTAAGGCCTTTGACTCCACATTTGTCTAATGGCTAGTTTTTGTTTTTGTGGGTTTTCAACATTATGTGTTTGAACTGAGCCTGCTGTTTTCATCATTTTGTTAATCTTGTTCCTTTTTTTGTCGTCTGTGTAAAGGAGGAGAAGCCAAAGAGATTTGGTTTTAAGGAAAAGGTAAAACAAAATTGATTGTCATTCATAATGAATGCTTCTCTAATATTGAAGCTGTATATTAAGTAGGAACAGCGTTTTGACGTCTAACTTTTTTCTCTCTTTTTACAAGAACGAACCAACCAAACAGAACGGAGCTTTCGCTGAGAATAAGCTTAAGAAGATGGACAAGACATCAAGGTAAATCTTGCCTGACTCCTCATTTCAGTAAGACACAATGTTTTAACCTACACCTTTCATGTGTGGCTTTTCTGTCGTCCATTTAATTACTCATACATGCCATTTCATTAAAGTGTTTGATAAGAGGTGGACGGTACTATGGACCGATTATGAGAAAATTGGCCCATGGGCACAGACAGAAAAGGCCCTCCATGCCTCCTATAGGGACCCCTTGTCTGAAAGAATTCGGTCACATAATTTTGTGAAGTAGTAACTCTTCAAACACTTCACTGCAAACAGAGGCTCTGGACCAGGGGCCCCCTGACCTCTTGGGCCCCTGTGCCTAGTGGGCCTGTTCAGTAATCCATCCATGGGCATTGCAAATTAAAATGTATTTGTATGTATCTTCAGATTGGAATGATAAATCCCTCAGAGTGCTTTCAATTCGATTCAGTACAACTTTATTTATTTCTGTAAGGGTACGCAGCAGACTTCTATCATTTTTAACTCATCAGTAGGATGAAACGTGAGTTTGTATACAACTTATGTGTTTGTGAGCAGGGACAGCACTCCCTCCACAAAGGCAGATGACGTGGAGCGACAGGAGGCCGAACGTAAGCTGCAGGAGCTGAAGCGCCGGCGAAATGACGCAGAGAGCGAGGAGTTTGAGAAGATGAAGCAGAAGCAGCAGGACGCAGAGGCCGAGCTGGAGGACCTGAAGAGGAAGAGAGAGGAGAGGAGGAAGATCCTGGAGGAGGAGGAGAAGCAGAAGAAACAGGAGATGGAGGACAAGAAAACCAAAGAGCAGGTGAGAGATCAGAGATCGGAGAGTAAGTCTCACTGTTAGAGGAGTATGTTTGTAACCAGTGACAAAGATGAGACCGTAAATTGTGGTTTTCATAACAGGAGGAGAGGAAGAGGATGAGGGAGGAGATAGAGAAGAGGAGGGCAGAGGCTGCAGAGAAGAAGAAACAGAAGGAGGAAGACACCACAAAACCTGTGTTTGCTATCAGTCCCAAAGGCTCCTCCAAGGTGAGTTCTGGAGTAGTGGTTCAGACACCTTGCAGATGTTCTACAGGGTTTCCAGCAAAGTAAAGAACTAAATTTCACAATAATTTGATAAGAAAATAATGTATCTTCTTACTTATTCATCTTTGATATTTCCATCCCAATACAAAATGGATTTTTGTTTGTGTTTTTGTATGCTCACAACATTTCTCTCCATGAACAGGGTCCTGGTTTCTTTGGATAATTCACAGACCTCACTGTCAGCAGAACTACTGTCACCAAAACATAGTCCCCATGACAGCTGTTGACATTATGGTCTGTGGATTATCCGGAGTTAGGGTTGTTAAATTTTCAAAATGTTCCAAATGCTTTTGAGCACTGCAAAACAAATATCATTTATCTGCATGGGTAGATGCCACTATAGGTAAGTGGAGAGACCATTTAAAATGACCTCTCTCTCTCTCTTTCATAAGACATGAATTTAAACTAGAAGTGTACTCATCAAACACTGTGCAAACAATATACAGTTTACCCATAGCAAGGCAGCAAAACATACATGCCAGATGTTCTCCAAGTATTAGCTTTACATTTCAACATATGACAACTGTACATATGACAAGTGTTAACTGTACATTAAGTTCCTGTGGTGAAAAAGACCTACAGAACATAGTTATCCTGTAAACTTTATACAGTTTTATTGTAGGATAAAGCATAGAGAGTCACACAATCTAGTTCTATGAGACACATGTTGGGCCTTCCACAGCTTGTCTGGCTTTGTCCATAGATAATTAAATCCACCTACCAGCATCTTTAAAGCTCCTTGTGTTTGTAAAATCACAATATGTCATCTCTACAGTGTTCTACGTTGTTTTTATGAGGCAACCAAATAAAATGTAACATATTACTTAGTGAGCTTTAAAGGTGCCCGTAGGCAGATTTTGTGACCGCAGACAGAGCCAGGCTAGCTGTATCCAGTCTTTATCTAAAGCTCATCTAACCGGCTGCTGACTCTAGCTTCATATATGATAAAAAGACATGAGAGCGATATTGATCCTCTCATTAACTCCCAAGCGTTGCTACCAGTCAGTCTTCAAACTTTAGAGCATTATACAGGATGTTTGTTTCCTCCCATGTAGCAGCAGATCTGTTTGCATTTGTTTTCTCTACAAAAGAAGCAAAGCTTCTTCCCTTTTCCCTTTCCCTTTATATGGTCAAACATGTTTTGATCGTTAGTTTTGCTACTTTCCTTTCAATTTATGTTTTTAATTCCTCTTATATCAGCCATATATTGATAGTTGACAAGAATTAAAAAAAGATGTGCTCTGGAGTCTGAACTGTACTCAAATATGGCAGTGGACGAACAAGACCGTGACTGGGTAATTTTCTTGCTGGAGTATTTTTGGAGGAATGTTGACAATTGTGTGTGTGTGTCTTTTCAACTCTGCACGTACATGGAGAGTGTAATTCATTTTGAACAGCAGGCTGTGTGTGTGTGTGTGTGTGTGCGTGTGCGTGTGCGTGTGCGTGTGTGTGTGTGTGTGTCTGTCTCTGTGTGTGTCTCTGTGTGTGTGTGTCTCTGTGTGTGTGTGTGTGTCTCTGTGTGTGTGTGTGTGTCTCTGTGGGTGTGTCCTGGCTCCCTTACAGCCAAACTCTCCAGCTCAATCAGTCAGGCACCAGTCAACACAGTGTTCAAGTACAGAGAGACCTTCCCAGGGACAGACTGGTCTGCCTCTCAGTGAGGTCGTCCTGGAGACTAGAGAGAAGCCAGGACAGCTTGACCAAGTCCAAATTATTTATGCGTGCATGACAGTGACAGACGGGTTTGTAACTTTAAACATGTTGTTTTGTTTGTGCAGATCGGGGCGAAAGCAGAATTCTTGAGCAAATCAGCCCAGAAAAGGTGAGACATGAAAGGGGATCTTGTGGTGTAGTAAAGTATAGAACTAAAGAAACACAAATGAATGAACCAGCGGTTGGTGATTGGCCATATTAATGCCCAATATGTCGTTCATTCTTACAGCACCGCAGCCAGAGTGTCACACACTCCAATTGTCTCCAAGATAGGCAACAGACTAGAACAGTACACTTCTGCCCTCCAGGTGAGACTTGACAATATTATTCACTGTCCTCAGCAGCAGTAGAAGAGATACTAAGATCCTTTACTGAAGTAAAAGTACCCATACTACAATGTGAAAATACTCCATCACAAGTAAAAGCCTGCATTCAAAATCCTAAACTATAAAGCATTATCAATAAACTGTACTTAAAGAATCAAAAATAATGTATAATTTTGCAAAGAAAATGAACCGTTACAAGTGATATATTTTTTTCATTTTTTTTTTTACTTTTTATTAAATCATTAGAGGTAGTTAATTTAAACCACTACAGCTACACACACTTTAGTCCCATGTTTCCCAACCGAGCAGTCAAGCCCTCTCTGAAGGGTCACAAGATTTATCTGAAAGGCAGTGAGATGATTAATGGGGTAGGAAAGATGGAAAAAACAAAGTTAAGCAAAAAAAAAAAAAAAAGAATCTTTTGGACTTTGGACTGAATCTTTGCTTTTTTGTGAAATATTGGGTAGTTTCACCACTTTGTGCCTAAAACAGAGCGGTTTAGTTGGTAAATGTCTCCTTGGTGAAACTGCTATCAACTCATACACATTGTCTTTAATCTAAAATCTTGATCTGTGAAGTCACTACTAACTATAGCTATCAAAAAATGTAGCAGAAGTTAAAAGGAGCATGAAATGGAAATACTCAACAAACACTTCAAGTACAGTACTCGAGTGAATGTACTTGGAAACTTTCCACCATCGATCCACAGTCAGTGTTGAGCTGTTTTTGCCATTTACAAAGTCATGAAATCCATCCTCTGTCTCCACAGGGAAACAAAGAAGCCAAATCCCCCAAATCTCCAATGGCAGATATTCCTACAGGAGGCACGCGTAGCATCAAGAGCATGTGGGAGAAGGGCAACGTCGGTGGCTCCTCTGAAAGCCCGGCCCCTGCCAACAAGGTGAAGGATTGAGAAAGTGAGAAGGATAGACAGGTTAACTGATATGTGATCCAGTATTTGAGATGTCTCTTTTCCCAGGATGTGGCTGGTATCAAAGGAGGTGTGGCTGGACGTGTCAACAGTTGGATGGCAAAGCCTGCAGAGGCAGAGAAGACAACACCGGCACCAGAAGCAGCATCACCAGCAGCAGCAAAGCCGGCAGTAAGGCCTGATAAATCCTCGTCTTGATCACACGAGCTATTGTAAATTAGACACCAGTGTTAACTTCAACAGAGTAATCCCTCGATATTCTGTACACGCTAATGTCCTCATTTGCACATCAGCATGCCAGCCTTTTGTTGGCTGCAGCCTTTATATCTGAGCTCCAACAGTGGGCAGTGTCTGGAGTCTAGTGACACCACATGGACAGTTTACTCAACAGCATCTGCCAGCAAAGCCCCAAACACCCTGTGTGTGTTATTCTTCACATGACCTGAAAGTTATGAATGCAGTATTCAAGCATAAACCTGCGGGAAAACATTGGATTGAAGTAGAATATTCTTCCCCACTGTTACTGACAACGGCTGAATACCAGTGTGCCTCCTTGCACAGCCGTTTCTACGCCTCACCATCAATCACACTGGTCTCTGTTGGTATTTCAAGATTGTATTACAGCCTATACAGCCCATAAATCATACAGTGCTTGCAAAAGGTTTTGACTCTGTGTCTGCCAAAAAACAACATATTTTTGTCTCACTGTGACTCCACAATCAAAGTATCCTTCAGCCAAGGGTAAAAGGCCACATCCCTTCACATTCATCACAAAGAGCGAGATTATTATCCTATTCCACAACACTGACAAAACAACCAAGACAAGTGCACTGAATTATTAATTTTGTTTATTTACTATGATATAGCGCCATTAAGTGAGGTCACTTGTAGCCGGGTACTTGGCGGTCACTGTGTCCTTCTCTCTTAAAGTAGGACATCAGCTGCTAACCCTACCAGGTCTTCTGGAGACATTACGCTATGTCCACAGGCAGTGGCATTGCTGGATGAAGTGCGACATTGTTCCAACTTGAAATTTACGAGCAAGATATCTTTAGTGACAAACGTCTTGGCCAGAGGAGCAGTTGCATCCTTGCTTTTACTTCTGTGACAACACTTCCCCCTGATGGGATTAAGCTGTACAGCAGTATAGTGCATGTCTGTATCTTTAAATGTCTCAATTCTCTTCTGTTTGTTAACTGTGTTAACTTGTTTAATTCTCCTCTGCCTTTCTTTCCCCTTTGCCAATGCACTCCTTTCTTCAGCTTTCCTCACTCAAACTTTTCCTGCTGTTCTTTGTCCAATCTTCAAACTGGTAAAGGTACCTTGCATACATTATATCACAACTACAACTAATAATCACAAGCATTATAGATATGGATAGAAATCATAATTGCATACGACCGGTGGTGGACATTTACTCAATTACTGTATTTAAGTATGGTTTTGAGGCACTTGCACTTTACTTGAATATTTCCATTTGATGCCACTTTATACTGTATTTGTACTCCATTATATTTCAGAGGGAAGTATTGTAAACTTTACTCCAGAATACAGAATACCCAGAGTACAAATACTTTAAAACACATTTTGCTGATAATACAATTTCACTTTAGTAAGATTTTGAATACTTGAAATGAAGTATTTTCACATTGTTGTGAAGGAACTTTTACTAAGGTAAAGAATCTGAATACTTGCACGAGGCTAAAAGGAGCATGGTGGTTCTTTTTTTTGTTATAGGATGTGAAACCAGGTGACGCTGGTAACAAGCGTGGCATGTGGGAAACCAAGAAGGGCTCTGCGCCTGCCAAGGTAACACGCATACGCCTCTTGAACTGTGTGAGGGGAGGGCGATGTTAATGTTTTAAGGATTGACAGTGACATGACCCTGTTTGTTTGTTTGTTTCATTCAGTCTACCTAATAGATGAGTGAGAGAGGTAACATTCAGTGCACGTTCCAGCAGGCATGGTGTGACTGATGATGTGATGTTTACACTGTTTTTACACTGTTTTTGTTTGGAGTTGTTCTTTCTCAGTTCAGTCAATTCAAAAGTTAAACATTATTCAATCAAAATCTGTATACATTCATTTTCAGGAAGGGACTGAATGGATATTATTAGGGAGCTAAGGGGGCAGACAATGGGAAGGGATATGTATTATATGTACTATTTCATTCTTCCCTTGTCAATAAAAAATATTAAAGGTTTCCTGCAGAGGTTTGACATCTAACAGGACTATGTAGCAATTTTTTCGTGAGTGGGTACACATTTTGTCAACAAGTCCTCCGACCTCACACAACCACAGAGGTCGTTTGACCCCACCCTCGGATAGGACCCACAGGAGCGCACCATTGGCAGGCTATCAATAATAATAAATACTAATGGAACGGTCACAGTTCGGTTAGGTTGAGACACAAAAACTACTTGGTTAGGTTAAGAAAAGATCATGGTTTGGGTTAAAATAAATATGTTCTCAAGGTTAGATTTGAGCGTCATGGTTACAGCAATAAACCTGTAGTTAATGTTGTGGCGTGGTCATGGATCAAACAAATAACACTGACTATCGGTTTCAAACAGGAAACAAACAGCTGTCTCCTGTGCTTTGTTGACCCATCCATCCACCTCTCTCCTCCTCCTAACATAGACTTTGTTACTCTAAGTACCACGTCACCTGGCTTCCTCCTTCACTCCTGCCATAATTACTACAGCCACTAGAGGTCCCCTAACAATCAAACCTAACCGAGTTGTAATAAGATGCTAGTATGACCAGTATTGGCTCCGCAGTCGGACTGGCCAAAAAAATTCAGCCTTGGTCTTATCCGCTGGGACCGGCGTTATGAATGACACTGACTGAGCCGGTAAAAATTTAAAAAACAGTTGATTTTGACGACCAGTAGTCCCCATGGCCAGTCTTCCTGTGCTCTGGTCTTATCTCTTTCTTTGTCGGAGGCCTTTTAGACAAAAACGTGTTTTTTTTTTTTTTTTATTCCAAAAGGAGGAAGTTCACCTGGACGCTGCATACTGCACTGTGCCGTCTCACCTGTGGGCGATCACTGTGTCTTTATAAATGTGGGGAGGGCCAAGGTTTTAACAGGAGGGACTCACATGCACTAACATGTAGGTTATGCGCAGCCGTCCTGGTTACCAAAACAAAGAACAGCTCAGATTACAACAGGCACAGTGGCGGTGTGACTTCTTTCTACGCTCCTTTCTTGTTTACAGAACCTTTAAGTCCTGTAATTAATTTTTTTTTTTTTATTATGAATTGAAACAGTAGATTCAGACCCGTCCCCAATAATGATACTCATACAGTCCCTAACTCATAAGTCTAAGCACAAGAATCATCTCTTGTTAAAAGCAGGATGTATGGTGAATTTCAAATCTCTGGTTGAGCTGCCTGAACTGAAATGGAAATACTGAATTTGATGTGATGAAGTGTGGATTTCTGTATCCCTCTCACGCACACAGTGTAATATACACTTTATTATCTACATGCTGTCATTGGTTCCCAGACTGGCTTTGAGGACATAGATAGTATTCCTTGGCTCTGATGTTGTTGTTCATTTATAACATGGATTATTTTCAAACATGAGTGTGATCTACAGAATATATTGTTACAGGACTTCTTGGCCGCACTGTGCACAGCTTTTTCATGCCAACATAGTAGCTGCATTGCAGTGAGGACGTTATAGTTGAGTGTATGTGGTTACGGTTGTATGCCGATGTATTTTATTTGGTCAGGAGTGCTTTAAAAAGACTATTTGATGTAGGACTTCACTCATTGTTTTCATGGAAGAGTCTCTTAACACTTAAGAAGTAACATATTTAATGTCTGTGGGAGTATATTATTAATCAAATCAGTCCACTTCTCTCACCCTCACCTTCTCCTATATATCCACAAATGAAACAAAGCTTTTCATATGATGTCATTTCTTAGAAACTCTATTAACCTGAATGAAGCAGTAGCTATTCTTCCTGGGGTCCAAACACCTAAACTCAAGATTAATCCCAGAATAAGATGAAGAAATGTTTCGACACCATCATCTGTTTTCACTAGGGTATACTAAATATGTGTTTACCGAGTTATTTCCTGCGTCTTTCCTTCATCCTCTTGTTTACAGGTGGCAGTTGGAGGAAAGAGCAAGTTTGTCACAAATGGTAAGTTTGTTAAGTGATTGGAAATAGTGGTTGAATGTAACTAAGTACATTTACTCAAGTGCTGTACCTAAGTACAAATGTGAGGTACTTGAACTTTACTTCAGCATTTCCATTTTATGCTACTTCACACTTCTTATCTACAATTGAGGGACAAATATTGTGCTTTTCACTCCAGTGTATTTATCTATAGTTACTGTTTATTGTAGATTAAGATTTTACACACAAAGCTATGATTGAGAGTTTTGCTATAAGTTAAACTATCTATGAAGTTTTTAAATTAGCTTCACCATGACCAGCTGCAACACTGAAACACTGTTTACTTGTTAATGTATCATGTAACATTGACAGGGTCTATTCTGCCTCATAATGGGTACTTTTAATTTTAATAATGCTTTCACTTAAAGGATAGGGCCACAATTTTTCAAATCAGTCATGCTCAAATGGACTCAAACAGTTATTGATTCCTCCTCTCCATAATGGCCAACAAAAGTTATTTTTCCTAATGCGCTTTCAGGGAGACCAAACCTACAGTCCTTGATCAGTGCAACAATAATAACAACAATATTAATATATCTGTTATTATGAGGCTTCATCACTTTGACAAATTAACTGGGTGTCTTTCAAAGTCATAGTATTTTTAGGGCAAAATTCCCTCCTGTTGTTTCCTGGACGGTGTTTCTCTGCTGACATGCAGTGCAGGAATATTTCCACAGAGAGCTAATTCGAGCATGAGCTCAAAGAGTATGAATAGGACAAATGATTCAACAAGCAAAAACTTTTTCATCGTTCGTATATGGGCATCTGATCATTGTTTTTAGAAAGACTTGAGACATATTCTTTAAATATAATTTTAGATGCAAGGCCTTTACTATATTGAGGTAATGTTACTTTTACTTTTGAAGTTGCTACATTTAGTTAATTAAATAAACTAAATTAAATTAACTAAATATTTCCTTCACCATTGACTGTAAATGTTTACTACATGTAAAACCAGGGTTTATCCTGATCAGTCCTGGGGGAAGCAGAATTTAGTAGAGTCGTCTCTGTCCTTCACACCATTTTCTGGACGAGGAGGGCAGGCCATGACTGATTTATAGCCCCCTGTGGACACTACAACCCACCAGCCTTCTTTTGTGCCAGAGTAGCTGCTCCCTGTAAATCAAATCTGCTGCTGGAGATTATTGAGCATTGGCTCAGCTCTATGGCACTATGGTCTATATTTAAAGAAAACCCTCACCCTGACCTTGTTTCCCAGTATAAAGAAGCTTCCAGACTCCTGGCATGGCTGTCATGTCTTTGCACTGCACTGTTCACCCGGTGCCACCTGGGCTGCCCAGTGTCGGCGAGCTGTTAGGCATACCACAGTGCAGCTGCTTGATTTTCACATTACAACTGACTGCTGGGAAGGATTACTAACCGTTTAAGCAGCAAAGCGGGCTCGATCACCGGGCTTATTCACTCAGTGCTAATGATAAAGACCTACTATGTTTCCCTGCAGCCTGGAAGAAGAGTTTAAATGTACATTGATCGTGAAAACAGACATTCACCTATCATGGATGTTGGCTCAGTCAAGCTGATGATCAAAAGTCAAATTTCTTCTGACAAGCCCTCAGTGCTTGAGCCAGAGTGTGAACAATTGGAGTGGAAAAGCGTTTGTCGAGCGTCAGCTTCGACCCTAAATAGCGATCGTCCCCGCTTCTTCATCAGAAATAGACCACAGAGCAATGGAGTAAAGGGCAAATGACGAAAGTTACAGCTTTCAATCATCAGACAGAAAGGTGTCCTGGCTTCGACTGCAGGGTATGTGTCAGCAACAGGAGGACTGTGTCTGATGTACAAACGCACACACACATACATTATGTACATAGAGAAATATGGATGTAAAAGCTTTGATTAACAGCCCTGAGACTAATCTCGTTTGACACCTCATAAATTTTGGTAAACCAGGCAGTTTTAAATGCAACAATGACGGACACATTGACTAATTTATCTTTAATGTCTCTCTTTCTATTAGCAGGTGTAAGACCGTAACCATTGACATCCCCTTTTAAATCAAACCTTACCTGAAGGCTCTGCTACTGTGTGTGCATCCATATCCCTTCAACACACCTGTGTTTTGTGAGAAGTTCACACCAGAATGAGGAAAAGACGAGGGACCATGATGAGTGACGTTAAAGGATTCCACCTTCAAAGTTTTCCAGCTTTATTTTTTATCACCAACCTTTGTCCACGCATACAAAAGTAAAAAGATATTCATGTTTATCCATGAGACTTGACTTATATATTTTTTTATAAGAAATTCAAAGATGTCATTCCTAATAAGGTATGTTAAACCACATGTTAAATGGTTAATAGTTAATGGAGTAGATTGTGTAGTATCCATCTGGTTAGTCCTCGATTTTTTTCCATTCACAAAGTTGAAATAGCAGCTTTAGCAAATTTCAGATAGCTGTCAGGATGCTTCAATGTTATGTTTCTTTCAAGCCACACCGACATGTCCACATGTCCACTCTTCCTGTGACGCATTTGGGCTTTGATGTTATTGTTATACAGCATATACCCAATAATAAGCATAATACACTCACTGCTTTTTGGGATGATAGTCACCGTTTGGACTCCATAGAAAGTACAGTATACTGCCACTCAGCTGGAGGTTGGGTAATTAGCCTGTACATATTTAGTTTGTTTCATTAGTTTGTACCACTTTTTCATGAGGGACTCTTTAAAGAAGGTTTATAAATAGCAAGTAATGCCTTTTGTAGTGGTTAATAAATCACTGACTATTGTTTTATAGATCTGTTATAAGTCATTAAGTCGTGAAGATTCTCTGGCTGGTGTTTACAGTTTTGGTACCACTTTCTAATAAGGCATCCCTCAGGATTTATAACTTATGACTTTAGTGGTTAACAAATCATTTACCAATGCATTAAGGTCAGTTATAAGGCTGTTGGACAGTCGGTCCATCTCTTCCAGAGTAAAGAATCTCAACATCTACTGCACAGATTGTCATGAACTTTTGTACAGACATTCATGGTTCCCAGAGGATGAAGCCTGCTGACCTTGGTGATCCCCTGAGTTTTCCTCTGGCGTCACCATGAGGTTGATATTTGGGGTTCTGAGTGAAATGTATTGACAATTATTGGATGGATTGCCATGAAATTTGTCATAAACATTCATGTCCTTCTCAGGATCTTTTGTAATGACTCTGGTGATCCTCTAACTTTTCATGCAGCACCATCATCAGGTCCACATTTTTCATTTGTCAAACACTTCAGTTTATAAGTGAACACCAGCAAGACTATTTGCCATCACATCGTCCTCAGCTCTACTTTGTGCTTATTGCTAATTAGCAAATGTTAGCATGCTAACAAGCGACAATGAGATGATGGGTGGGTGGATTATTGTAAAACCCCCTGCATTTAGTGAGTTCTTAGTGGATTACCAACATGTATAAATGCATTATTACCAGATACATATAATGACACCAGTCAAAGGGATTTTCTTTCTTCTCAATAACCTACAATTGATCTATAAAGCATTTGTAAATGACTTGTTAACTATTAATAAAGCTATTGGTTTCACACAAGTGTCCTTAGACCAGAAGATCATATCAGTGGCACATTCTGGCCAGGGCTGCAGCCAGAGTAACACAATATCTAAGCAGTTCAACATCTTCTGTCAGCAACACCTTGGCCTGTTATCTCTTTGACTTGTGACAGGTCAAGAATTACATTAATGCGTGTGCAAGCGAGTATCCACTGTAAGAACTATTCAGTGACCAAATGCAGCTCTGTTTAACAAGCATGTAACAGTCTTGATGCTTTTCTTCTCTATCATCAGTTTACATGCCACCGTCAGCAATGAGGGCTTGCAAGACAATTTCAATATGCACTCTAATAGTAATGCCTGTAATTAACTTTATATTGTATCCTGGTATTTCTATCAGTCAGCAGTGCACATGAGTTGAATCCTGCCAAAATGTATTGTGAGTCTTTCAGTATTGTTGTGGTGGATTTGCTCTGTTTGAATGTTTGAAGTTATTGTTTGTGCTTGCTTCAGCAATAAAAAAAAAAGAAAAAAAAAGTTTGTGTTGTAGTTGTGTTGCTTTGTTTTGACCTATTGGGGGCAAATGTTGCTTCACGTCCTTCCTAAACGCTTGTGAAAATATGGAGTGTTGAAACCTGAGCAGCTGCTGAAAGCTTGGATGGATTTATGATATTTTACCAGGACGTGAATGAACCTGCAGAATGTGTCTGTGTGTGCGTGTGTGCGTGCGTGCGTGCGTGTGTGTGTGTGACAGAGCTGTAATGTCCAGCTGTCCAACAATAGACTGACTGGCCATAGGGTGCTGCAGTCACATGAGTAAGAAGGGTTGGACTATGTATCCTTGATGCTCAACCTGTTTGTGAAGCTCAAGGAGCTGAACTCTGTCGCTCGTCTCTGAGCTCCCTCTGTCTGGGTCACAGGTAAGGACGCTCCCATGTCAGTACTTTAATTTAAAGCCTCGTTTAGTCATAAATGTTGATAACTGAATAAATGATTGTCATTTTGTGATTGTGTTCACTGCCTGTGTTCAGATATTTTTAAGCCACATGTAACAGAAATGACTTCACATCGTTTTCCGCTGTTAGAACCAAATGTGACTGAATTGCAACCATAACTACTAACACAAAGAATTAGATTACTTACCATTTAGAAGCACTGGTATTAATGGATTTGTACTTAGCAAGATTTGTTACCCACAGTAAATTCACCCTGTGAGACAACATAAATTAAATATTTGTACTCGATATTCTACTTCAATTCAAGTTTGAGGTTGTTTTTTACTGGAGTATCTCTGTTTTATGCAACTTTATAGTACTTTCATTTAACTTACATTTAACTAAAGTGATGTGACAGCTGTGGTCATTCACTTTTCAGACATTAAACACCACATGTACCCTGCTCTGACACAAAATAGAATGAATATTTGTAGAGTAATGATTTGAGGTCAAAGTAACTGAGTATATTTACTTGAATACTGCATAAGTACTCAAGTTGAGTATTTTCATTTTGTTTTACTTTATACTCTGACTTCACTCCATTTCAGAGGTGATATTATACGAACAGCAATAACGAACAGCTGCAGTAACTACCAGTGGTTACCTTTCAGATTTCAGGTTTATTTTTAAGGTTTTTACATCAGGTTTTACACCCACAGCAGCAGCACCTGGAACTGCAGCATGAAAAGATTTTTTACAGTTTGAAACAGTAATTTTACACATTGAAACCTTTTATTTTCTTATTCTTAAACACATTTTGCTGCCACATTTCTGAATGCTGTACTTTTACCTGTGTGTATTGAGCATTTTCTTCTACTTCTACATCTATTTATTCTACTAACTTTACTTCTTCTACCACAGTGAGCTGAGATATTCAGGTCAATACTCACTGACACTCATTGTAATGTGTGTGAACTGTTGCCACTGCTTTGTTGTTTAATGATCAGAAATGTTTGCCGGTCTAAAAATAGGCTAATAGGATCCATTTTGCAGAGCTCATCTATAACAAAATGTCTGACACAGAAGACGTCATGGAGGAGGAAGCTCAGTATGTAATCATTTAACATTTATACACTTTTTGCTGTATTTGTCCATTAATTTTAATATTTTTTGTGGAATTGATTCAGTATATGCATCATAATAAATTTTGATAAATTATTTTTTTTCTTTTGTCACTACTGCTGTTCTGCTGCTGCTGAAGGGAGGGAGAAGGTAAGAAAGTTGGAGCAGCTTGTGTTTTTATATGTCATGTTTAATTTCCAAACATTTTACTAATCATTCATGTTCCTGGTCATCAGCACAAGAGGAGGCGACAGGTGAGAAAATCATCCTTTAATGCTCTAGTGATTGGTAATAACTTATTAAATGTATACTTTCCACTCACTTGTCAATGTCATCATAACGGCTACTGTTTTCTTTCCTTTGTCCCAGATGAGTCAAAGCCAAAGCCTAAGTAAGCATCTTAGCTGTCCTTTAGTTAAACAATTAAAACACCTCTTAATGCAGATCATACAATAAGAAACTTCTCACCTCTGCAGGTTTATGTCAAATATAAGCGCCCCAAAGATCCCCGATGGAGAGAAAGTGGATTTTGATGTGAGTAGAGCTCACTGAGTGACACCAAGAAATGTCACTTTGGCAAACAACAGACACATTTCCAACAGAGTGTGTTGATTTGATGGCAGGACATCCACAGGAAGCGTCAGGAGAAAGATCTGTCTGAGCTGCAGTCTCTGATCGAGGCTCACTTCATCCAGAGGAAGAAAGAGGAAGAGGAGCTCATCGCCCTTGTGAACAGAATCGTGAGTGTGTCACTCGCAGGACAATCCCGGTGTTTCTGTCTGGTCCAAACCGCCATGACTGTGGACCGTTTGTCTCTGTTGCAGGAGAAGCGTCGTGCAGAGAGAGCAGAGCAGCAGAGGGTCAGGGCAGAGAGAGAGAAGGAGAGACAGGCCAGACTTGCGGTATGATCTCAGTGTACATGAACTTAAAACCTCACACTACAGTTCATAACACGTTGACCACATGAAGACGTCAGTTTCCCCTCTAATTGTTTCACCGGTGCTGGTACACAGGAGGAGAAGGAGCGGAAGGAGCTGGAGGAGCAGCGTAAGAAGCATGATGAGGACGCCAAGAAGAAGAAGGCTCTCTCGAACATGTCCCAGCAGTACAGCGCTGGACAAAAGGTCACTCAGCCTCTTATGGCTTATAGTATTTAAATGTGAAACATAATGCCTGAAGGTGACAAGAGAAGTCACAAACACTATTCAAGTAGAGCTGCTGTTGCTTGACTTGATATGTGTTGATTACTTGGGCCGAAGACGACGGCAACTCCCCAATTCCCCCAGCTACACCCTTTGAGATGGTGACTATTTTTGCAGTTGCCTTAAAAAGGGTAAAAAAATGTTTAAAGGTCCCATATTTTACACTTTTCCAGTTTTTGTCAGAGGTTTTGTTATCCATAAGAAGATATATTTGTGTTTAAGTACCAAAAACAATTTCAATGTAGTTTTAAAACTTCTCCCTCAGGCTTCTCTCTGGAGCTCTAGTAACAACAGGTCTGTGACTGTTTTCTGAGTGATAATGTAGTTTTAAAACTTCTCCCTCAGGCTTCTCTCTGGAGCTCTAGTAACAACAGGTCTGTGACTGTTTTCTGAGTGATCTGATATAAATCAAATTTCAGGTAAACACTTATAGAGCCCCAAATCCTGCAAGGGGTCCACGTGGGCCGTTCTGGGGGTGGCGACTGTATAGCTCTGACATCACAAAGTTACTTTAAATTTAAGTTGCTTTAAATAAAAAAATGGAAATCTCAGTTTATACAATATGGGACCTTTAAATACCCTCTGTCAGAATAGCTACTTTTGACCTTTACTCTACAACATTTGAGAGGTGAACATTGTATTTTTTACTTTTTTACACAAAACTTATTGTAAATTACTATTTATTTTGCAGATTAAATTACCAAAAAACTAAAACATTAAATTGCTGCTTACACATACTGTAAATGCATCAGTAAAAATAATACAATAATATACGGTGATAAATATAATATAGTGTTTTAATGAAGGACTTTTACTTGTTGTTTACATTGTTGCATTATTACGTTTACCTAAGTAAAGGATCTGAATACTTCTTCAGAAGAGTAACCATTTCTTTCTTTTTTCACAACAAGATGAATTCATTCAAACTGACTGATGTGTGTTTTCTTTCATTTGACCGAAACAGAGTGACAACAGAAGAGGAGCCAAGAAACAAACGGAGAGGGAGAAGAAGAAGAAGATCCTGGCTGAGCGCAAGAAGCCTCTCAGTGTTGATCATCTGAACGAGGATAAACTCAAGTGAGACAGAGCTATGCAGGACATTGTGTATTTGAACATTGTGTGAAAGTCTGTATTCTGTTTTATAGCAGATTACAATTTTTTTTTGCATGTGGACGACTCATGATGTAACTTTTGATGGTTTTTTGTGTTCAGGGAGAAGGCCAACGAGCTGTGGCAGTGGCTGATGGGGCTGGAGGCCGAGAAGTTTGATCTCAGTGAGAAACTCAAAAGACAGAAATACGATGTAAGTCGATCAACACACGGTAGCAGCTTATCTTTTTAATAAATCCTGCAATGATGATGTCTCTAGTGACGTTATGATGGAAATCAGACAAACACAGCATCTGAAAGACACTTGGAGTCAAACATTGTTTTAATTATTTGAATTCATCCCACATTTAATGTTCTTTAGAGGAATCATGATTATCAATTTAGAAATTACCTCAGTGTGAGGCACAAAGATAGAAACTGTTTCTATACTAGGTTGAGATATCATCAACAGAAACTGTTTCTTTTCTGTAATTTGCGCTCCTCTTCTTATCATGTAGTTTCTCTCAGATAAAACGTGACAGAACTATACTGGGTAGAATTAAAGCTGGTCTTAAGTTACAATGAATGTTGGGTTTAAGAGTTTTCCATTTTCCAGAATAATGTTAGCAGCCTCTGCTGGACATGTCAGGTATCTTGTCTGTGTGGTTTTTTTTTTTTTTTTTACAATGCTTAGCAAGGCTTATGTGTCTTTCCAGATTAACCAGCTTCTTGCCCGAGTCCAGGATCACCAAAGGTAAATACAGAAAACACTGGCTGGATTTACTCCTGATTCCCACTCAGACAAATACTGGACTTGTCACCATTTTGTCTAAATCTTGTCTAAATCCTCCATCTCTTCTTCTCTTTCTGGGTTGGTTGCCAAGGAGGTTTGGAGAATAAATATATAAATATCTACTTCTTTTCACATTACGCCAATTTATACTCCATTCCTTTTCACATCTTGTTATGGTCATAGTCATAGAATGGATTAGGGATCACAGAGGATAATCCTTTGTTCTTTGCCACAGCCCTCTCTGAGGCCAATTGTTCTCCACCTTCTTTTTATTCATTGCATCATTGCATGCAAATGTTCTTGCAAATTTATCCTGTAAAATCTATTTATGGAGCATCTGGCATCTGTTCTACTTAGTAATTCTGCAGAGCGGACTGGAATGTAAGTGGTTATGAGGTTATGACCATCTGAAATCCAACAAAACAACAGCACCAGAGAAACTGCAGAATTATTGATGACATATCTGTGAGATTCGTTCAAGCCTTTGAAGGGGAGAAACTTAACCTTTTATTTGTACTCTCATTAGAAAGACAAATCATAATTAGGTCAAAGGAAGCCTCAGAGTTTTTTGCAGTTAAGATGATCTGCACTTAAAACAGATTTTATTTCCACATCATCTTAAGTGGTAACATACTTAATATACTTAAATTGGGATTTCTGTTTTTACAGTCACCTTGTTCACCGATTTGTTTGTCGAGTTGTTGAATGCTTCGATTTAAAAGGCCTCCACTTGTCGTAAACTCACTGACTGCTGTGCTTTTCCTGCGCCCCTTCCAGTGCCAAAGGTCGTGGCAAGGGCAAGATGGGAGCCCGGCTGAGGTAAAGCAGCTACCAGACGAGGCCAAGGCAGAGCGAGACACCAGTGATTGGCCCGAGTGTCTGTTGTGCGTGTATTCATTGTTCTGTTGTGTTGGGTTACATGTCAATTATCATGATATCAAAACAATAAATAAGTCATTACATCCACTCTGCTGCCTCTCTATGTAGATTGTCTGTTTCTGTGTAATTTTGTCCAACATACACTTCAGGAACAGAACATATTCATACAAAATATCACACAAACACCTCACTGAAGATACTGAAACCGCTAAGAATGTAAGAGAGCTTACTGTGTAAGGACATGTAAACACAGAGACAAAAATGGATCTAATTTAGCTTTGTAATATTGTTATTAACAGGAAACAGAAGAGTGTGTAAAAATGGTAGGGTATTTCCACAATAAAAATATCTAAGTTAAGTACATTTCTTTGGAAAAATTAGCAGTGGATACAGTATTTTGTAACCAGCTAATGAAAGAATTTACTTGATACAGAGAGCATCTACATGTTGTAGCATGTGTTTGTCATTTCTAGCTTTAATTCAAATCTACATTAAGAGCAGACATTCCTCAGCAGGGATCCACATAGTGGTGATGCACAACATGATCTATATATTTATTGTTTTAATTACATAAGAAAAATATAACAATCTAGGACAGGGGCATGTGTGATGCAGATGGTGATATGTTCCACCCTTCATTGAATCCAAGTCCTTACTGTACATTAAAACTATGTTTAGATATACACATATCCACACCAGTGCATTTTCAGGTTGTTCTGACTCAGCAGTCCAAAGTGCTGGGAGACTCGGCTTGGGGGAGGGGGGGCGGGGGTTGCAGGGGGTTGGATGGTCCATGAGGGATGAAGGGAACCTGCTGAAGAGAGGCAGCCCTCACCACATGTGGGTTTCTCTGATCTCCGCTATCACCTGGCTGGCTTTCTGCAGTGCCTGCACACAGGAATGGAAAAAGACACGGAGATGGAAAAGTGTGTAAATTAAAGAACTTGATTATTTAACTTTTTATTATTTTTGGGGGGATATACTGTTTCTACTTCCAACTACAACTGATACACTGAATGTACAATATTTGGGACATCATCCTCTTACTGAGGTGTAGTTCCTCTAAATTGCCTTAAAGCACAGCTTCACATTTCTTCACCTCGGCCTAAAACAATCAGGTGCCCATGTGAACACTGAAATACCTGCTGTTCATACTGGCCATTTAATGAACCCTTCTTTTTTTTTTTTTTTAAAGTATATTTTTTTGGGCTTTTGTGCCTTTATTGGACAGGGCAGTATAGAGAGACAGGAAATGGGGAGGCAGAGAGAGGGGGAATGACATGCAGTAAAGGGCCATCCGATGCGGGATTTGAACCGGGGCCGAGTGCAGCGAGGACTGTAGCCTCTACATATGGGGCGCCTGCTTAGACCACTGCGCCATTCAACGCCCCTAATGAACCCTTCTTAATACATTTACAATATACGTGAGAGGGGTCAATGTCCGCAGCACACTTCCTGTGCAATAATTTAGAAGCTAGTGAAGCTAATAATACATATCCTCTACAGTTTTAGTCTTTTTGTTACAATCCCTTCACTGTAGCTCAACAGGGAAACACTAAGAGTAAATCTTATACTACAAAGACTGTAACTCAGGCAGATGAAGCCTCACATTAGCTTCAGAAAAACGTACATTTCATCCCCCATCACTTAGATTGAAAGTGAATTTAGAACGGATCATCTAATGGTCAGTATGAGCAGTAGGAATGATGACAGCAAGCAAAACCACTTTAAATGGGCATCTGACAACTGTTTTTCAATAAATTCACAATTTTTATCCTTTCAAGCTTGAAATCCCTCTGTCTTTAAACTTACTATTTGATATACTTGATTGATATACTAAATTTATTTTAGAAGCAAACATCTCAGTGATGAATTCAACCAGTATTTCACGTGAGATTTAAATGTTTTATCGAGCAGTGAGCGTATGACTGATACTGGATCTTGTTGTTGCTATCCATAGTGACACTTGACAGATCTGTTACCTTGAGCATGTCAGCAGCCTCGTTGCGTCTCTGGGCCATGTCCTCAGACTCTGTCAGCAGATCGTCCAGCAGGGCTGTCTTGTATAACTGACCCACCAGCTCACTCTGCAGGCAGTCCTTCACATGGTTCACCAGGAAGTGCATCACTGCTTTTGGTACACTGAGGCCAAACAGGAAAATAGGAGATAGGATGAAGATACAGTCAAGCACATGAGAGGGGACAAATCATGCCAACATTTCAAAAATAATATATAAATGAGCAAGGGCAATTAAATGTGAACCTGTCTTGGATGTTTTTCCGCACGATAAGGAAGTATGACTTGATGAGCCTCTCGATAACCTCACAGTCCCTCTGCTCCCGAGCCGACAACTTCCTGGACACTGGAACAGGCTGGGAATGAGCAGGCACAAAAATCATGTATGAAACTGTCAGATCAATATCCCACCAATGCTGTAGCCTGCAAAGGCAACAGCATAGGTGCAAAGGAAAGTCAATTTTGTGTCATGGAGTTGAACGTACTAGAAAGCTGCTGCTGAACAATTAATAACTATCCTACCTGAGTTTTTTGATGAATTACCACAATTTCAGTGATTGGCCTAAAATTGATTAATTAATATTTTTTTTTTATTTTATATACATATATATATATTATTACACCCATCTTTGATCAGACAGGCATTAGGGTTGATTTCAACATTTGACTAGTTGTCTATAAAGCTCAAAATAAACAGAACAAATGATCTCTCTGTCACTCATTACCTCTGGCCCTGGCCTGTTAGTTCCAGGTCAGGGATTAAATTTTATTAAATTCTGTCCTGGGATAAAAGTTGTTTTTCCACTCCCTGCTGTTTTTGCTATCCAGCAATAACCTCTTACATAAGATTTTTCTGAAGCCTTTCACTATGCCTCACATTCTTTCAATATGTGATAGGACAATATTGCTGTAGAGGGATAAAGGTTTTCTTAGTTTTCATATAAAAAAAAAAAAAAAAAAAGTTAAATTACGATTTCTAAACTAAATATAAAAAGTGCACAAGCTTCCATTTGTGAATGGAATCATTTTATTGTGCAGTGATTTGAAGCTACCAGCCATCATGACTCTGTTACCCACCACATCTAGGAGGTTGACAGCATGGCCCCTCTGTGGGCTTGCAGGAAATGGATTTAGGGGCACAGCCCTGTCACCAGCTGTACCCTCCTCTCCCTTCTTCAACATTCCCCTCCAGTTCCCTGTCCCACCGTCTATCTGCTCGCTGACAGAGCCGCTCTGAGAACCAGCTGCTGCCTATAGGGAGGAGAGAGACAGAGGCTGAGAATGTGTGAAGAATCCTGCTCAGGGACTGGAAATACAACATGTACACAGGAAATCAGGAAAATAGGTTAAATCAACAAATTTTAATCAACAAAACAGTGCGCGGACATAAGCAAGTGTATGTTAACACTTAAACAGTAGCATGCCACAGGCCTTCTTTGTCTTCACTCCAAAGAAGTTCCTTCAGACCTTTGTTTATTCTTCAGTTGAAACAAAACAAGCAGGAGTTTGGTGGGAAACACTGGCAAGCAGTGAGCACAAATTACATAACTCAGGTTTAGGATTGGGTGATATGATGATAATAGAGCAGAAGACATTTAGCTACAATTTTTTTTCTTCTACTTTATTCAGTCAATAGTTTAAAAACAACCCCATTTTCCAGGTATGTCAACAAAAACTGAAATGTCATGTAACTTTCATAGAGAACAGATTTTTTCAGGGATTAAAAAAATTGGTTAACTTCCAGCTTTCCTGCAGCAAGGGAAATAAATGAAGCCTTGAAAGTTCATGCAAACTATTCCTACTACTGCTATTATTAGGACATACTGCAGGAAGTAGTGCTGTATACTGTTATCAGAATGGCGAGAAAAAGACAAGTAACAAGAAAATAATAACAGCTGGTAAAACTGAGGTGTTCTAAAACTTCTGACCGGTAGACTATATCGTTTTGTCATAAAATTACATGTACCCTGATAGAAGATTCTGTCCATATCATCCACTCCTACAAAACTAATTCAAGTTTTCCTCATTTTAAAACACGACATGCCAATTGATTCTGGAGTTGTCGTGTTTCTTCTGTCAGAGCAATCAGCATGCAGGAGAAAAGGGGTTAAATGTACAACACAGAGTGAAGATCAAAGGTCAGATCAGTTAAGGTAAGAACTGCCCCTCAAACGCCACTGCATTTTCAGGACACTACAGGGCTTTCAAATATATGACATCGGAAAAGGGGCTTGGAGGTGGGTAGAATTAAATGTGGGCAGGCAGTGAGTGAACGGGACACACCTTTGCGACCTCGCCCTCAGGGGCAGGAGGCTCAGTGGGGGAGAGAGATTGCCCACCTGGGCCTCTAAGGGACTAAAGAAAGACATCAGAAGAAAAGAGCGGACAGAAAACTGACAGGAGCTACAAGTAGAGGTGCGTAGGAACTTTATATAATGTAAAGACGATGACTGTGTTAGATTTAATTAATTAATTAATTAATTCTGCTGGTTAATTCTTCAGAGAGAGTAGACTGAATGCATCAGTCCGTCAGTGGTAGAAAACCTGCTAAAGCCTGTTACAAGAAAACAGAAGATCAACGACTCTCATAGAGACGGACTGTACCTTGTCTCTGGGGACAGCAGAGGGCAGGTCTCTCATTCTGTTGCGTCTCTGCTCCTATGAAAACAAAAGTTTGACAAATGAACCTCTGTCAGAGATAAGAAGAGAGAATGTTTCCAGTTTCTTTAGTTGTTATTTTTTTTTGCGCTGTGCTGCGGCTGAAATGTACAACAACATCAAGATCAGTGACAGGCCATAACCTCACTATATCTTCACAATTAACATGATCAGATTAGTTGAGAAATACAAAACAACTGCGTCAGTGAGAGTAGAAGCTAGACTCTTACTTCTATGTTGTTGTTCATGAGACCGCAGGCATCAGCAAAGTCAGGGTGCTTTGTGTTGATATAGGCCAGCTCGATGGCAACAAGGTTATGAACCTGAAAAGAAATTCAGAACATTGATTAATCAGACCTGGTTGTGAATAAACTTCCCTTAAAATGCTCATGTGTTCATGGGGAGCAGGTCCTGACCATTTCATTGGTGACAGGGAGTCTCTTTCTTAGTAAGGAGGTGACCACTTCTACTATGGCATCGTGGAGCTTTGGAAACCTCAGCAACTCCTGCAGAGATAAACAATCACCATTATACTGTATATGTCAGACACTGCAGTTTTGTGTATTTACAGGATACCACTGTGCTTTAGTTTTCTTTAGTTTGTGTGTATGTGAGCTTGTTTTTCACCTGTGTGCTGTAGTTGCTGCAGTGTTGGATGATCCTCTGCATCTCCTCATGAACCAACTCCACACAGCGAAGACTGGGCTCCTCCAGACGTTTGACCTGCCTCTTCACCAGCAATTCAAACGAAACCTCAGGCACGAATAAAGCAGGCCTCGGGCCCTGTCACGTACAATGAAAACATAAGTCTTCAAAAAGGTTCCGTGTAAGAGTACGAGTTAGAGAGGTAGCAAAAAACTTACTGTTGCATTTCTGATTGCTGTGAGCACATCAATGGTTGTCAGACCACCCAGTGGGTCTACTGACTCCAATGTGCGACCAAACGTCTCATGAAATATATAACAGATTCTTGCTCCACCGCATCTGAAAAAAAAGAAAGGAAACTGCATTAAACATACAAGCAGAATTTGACCAGTCAGGAGAGTACCAATGCTAGCACCCCTTAGTGGTGTGTGAAGGTACATGCAGTTCAGAGAGTTGTGTAACTCACAGTTCAGCTGTCTCGATGTACTTGGCAGTGCCCTCTATGGTGTTGCAGTACTCTGCTGCAAACTTGGTGATGAGCTGCAGCAACGTGGCGCTCTTGTCATCGACAGGTTCACCGTAACTATTGAGTAAAGACTGGTACTGGGCTGCCAGCACATTGATCCTCGTCTTCAGCTCAGGGAGACAGTCTCTGATGTGGTGCATCAGTAACCTATGACATTGAAAAAGAAAACATTGAAAAGGGTCTTTCCTGGAGACTACAACAGTATATTAATACGGATAATTCAGAGGTGACTGTATAATCTATCATGTCAGATAATATTACAGTTATTGGGATCAATAAACAACTCAGAAAACATACATACATATACATACATTAATCTCAACTCCATACCTGTTCAATGTTCTGGCCAGATATTTGGTTCCATTCCTGTTAGCGAGGGAGGGGTACTTCTTTTGTAGGAAGGCATATTCATCACGGATCGCATCTGCCACCGACTTCTTTTGATTGATATCGAGCTGACTCCTAAAAAATACAAAAACAAAAAATACTCATGAGAGTGTGTCAGACTTTTTTGTCCTTTGGTACCACCAACAATGCTACAACAATGTAACTCCACTGAGCATCACTCCCAAATGTCTCAATTCAGGATGATGTTAGAGGTGAACGTGACATATTACTGCAGTGTTACCTGTTGACTACTCCGATAATGCCCAGTTTGACAGGAATGACTCTGCCCATCAATATGTCCATGGCATCTGTACCGGCATCCATCAGATCCAGCTTGGTCACCACCGCTAGTGTCCTCCTACCTGAATGCACAGACATACACACCTGGCTACAAAAACACTGCTGAGCTAAGGAAGCCACCAAGTACATGACTAGAGGAAAAGAAATAAAATAAAGAGTAAAATCTAAAAGCAAAGAAAGAAGAAAACAATGAGGCACTTTACCATCAGGGTCAACCTCGCGGGCCACTTTAAGGGCCTCTGACGTCGCCATGTCTGTGTTGGCAGCAGTCACAGCAAGGATGATGGAGTTGGGGTTTGAGATGTACTTGAGGATCAGCTCTCTGATCTGGATCTCGATGTCTTTGGGCTGGTCTCCCACAGGCACCTGATTTAACAAATACATGCTGATTTCAAACCGTGACAGGGTTTTGACAGAGTTCAAAAAAATTAAATGTGACTTTTAATATCTTTTTTATACTGGGTAGATAACCAGTGGGGACAATAAGGCACATTCATATAACAATTATCAGGGCTTTCAAAGAAATAATCCTTATAATTAATCAATTAATGTGACCTTATGATTAAGTGAGCTTCCCGGATATTGTGGCTAGCAGTGATGATAAACAATAATAATACACAGTAAGCTGGTTATAACAATAAGCCAGGTTCTAAAAGTTATAACCAGTGTTACTACAACAGGCAAGAAAAATATTTAAGCCCATTATAAGAAATCAAGGACTTCTTCATACCATCTAAAGCATCTTATCGAGAGAACTGAATTCATGCTTTTTAAGATTTTACAAGACCTGCAGATATCTTGTGTGAAATTCATGTGCAGGATCACTTTGAGTTCATAAATGAAACACCGGGAGGCAAAATTGAAACCTATCTCACCTTTGTAATGCCAGGAAGATCCACCAGTGTGAGGTTGACAACATATGGTGAGAATATTTTCAGGTGAATAGGTTCATCACTAATACCCTAGGGGGAAAAAAATACAACCTTCTTCGGTTACTTGTACAGACTGATAGTGGTAGAGGGCATTTAAGATAATTCAGTTTCAGATAATTCAGTCAGATAATATCATTTCTTGTTTTACAACTCTTAGTGCTCTCCCTTCATACGTGTAATTAGCATACCTTGTTATTGCCAGAAATTCTTTCCGTTTCTGCTTCAATTTCTTGCCTGATCTCTTCAAAGTCTGTGTAGATCTGAAAGGAAGATTTCATTTAGAAAGGTAAGGACTCCAACATGTTGGTAACATCAATGTAAGCAGCAGTTTTTGATTCAAACAACAATAACAACAAAGAGTGACCAAAAAAAAAAAAGGACATGACGTGGATAATTTACAAAGAAAGATTTCCTGAGACTCCCTGTTTAGTGTCATGAGGCTATCAGCACATCATAAGAGTTTCTTTGTTCAAACATGGAGAACTATGTGGAACTCAAAGAGACACAATTCAACCTTGGAGGACATTTACCCTGCAGCCATATGAACATTTTTAGCTGCTGAGAGGGTGTGTACCTGATCTCATTAAAGATTTATAGATGTTGCTGTTGAAAACATACTGCAAAATCACTGAAGCTACTCCATAAATGTCAGTGGATCAATAGAGGATAGAGAACAAGGGTATCAGACCCAGGTTTATCAAACATTCACATTCCATATACAGTGCAGCAGTGGTGGAAGACTCCATTGAGAGTATTGTTTTCTGGCCCTACCTTGTTTTTGGTGTGTAGGAATTTGCCCCATTCCTCTCCATCGATGCCTGCAGAAGTACAAAGTTGAGGACAGATGTTTTGGTTACTGATGTAGCCAATGTGGCTTTGAGAACAGTGTTACTATTTTTACTATTGAGCTGTTAAATGTCTCAAGGGAGGATTTCTCTGTTGGCAAGAATGGGATGGAAAAACTCTTCAGTCAAAGATCCACAGCTGAAGAGTTTACAAAACAGTGGAACAACTGTGGTTTTCACACAAAAGTAATGGAAGCAAATTATAACTTGAAGCAACAAAGAAGCATGTGCATTTTGGGAAGTGGAGACCTAGAGACTGTCACGGTGTTTCAAAAACAAGGTAATCACTTGCTGCAATAATTAAAGTTGCGACAAAAACAAGGAAACAAACTCAGGAGGGTGGAGTCTGATAGTCATCTTAGAGGAAGCTGGTATTTGAGGATATTACAGGTGCTCTTTAGGGAAGTTTTAAAAAATGTCAAACTAAGCACTAAATGATTATTTTCAACAGAAATTTGCTAACTTTCTTTGTCTAACTTTAACTGACAGAGACCAGCCTACATGAAGGGGAGGGCATGAGCTGAATAAAATGAAGCCACATGGTTTGGCAGCTTTGGAGGAGCTACACAAATACAAGGCAGAATGGGCAAAAGAGAGGGGGTGTTATGTAATATACAAACACAATAATAAATAGAACAAGGAAAAGGAGACCTCTGTAAAGGCGTCCATTTTTCTTGGATTCTGTGGTTAAAGAGAGACGACAGGAGACAAAAGGGTTAGCCCGGCTATCTGCAGCTCCTGCATGACACTCTGCAGCAATGCAGAGTCACTCTGAGGCCATTCCCAGAGAACAGCTTTAAATAAATGCAGGATCTTTTTACTCACATTTTACTCCCCTGTTCTTTTCACCCAGAAGTGGAAGATAGCTGTGCTGACTCTGAGTACATTTGTACCACAGCGTTAGCGACTAGTTATTTTGCATATTGAGATTATGAATACAGTATATATAAAATACCCAACAGTATGTGTGTGTGTGTGTGTGTGTATATATATATATATATATATATATATATATATATATATATATATAGTAGCTAAAATTAGTACCACTTTTACCAACTGCAACATTTAAGTGATGCTTACATTAATGCATCAATAATTACAATGAATATAAGATAAATAAATACATTATGTGGAGTAAAAACATAAGATAATAAAATACATTCTGAAATATGCCATTCTGCATGAAGCGTACTTTTATTTTTGGTACTTTACGTGTATATTGATAATAATACTTGACTGTGGTGGCACCTGACTATGCAAAGTACATACACAATGTACTGCATATATATAAAAATACTCACTATCAAATCATTTTCTTTGTTGGAGAAGTTAATACATAAAGAACTCCATGAAAACCAAACAACCAAAGATACAGAAGAAGCAGAGGTCAGAGTGATGTTACCATTCTCTTCACTGGTTTTCCTGCGGTCGTCTGCATCAATGTGCACAAGCTGTAGGATGAGGGGCCGCCGTGTGACGACACCAGTGCCGCGTGGCAGGATGTCCCTTCCAACCAGGCTCTCTAAAACAGAACTCTTCCCACTGCTCTGTGGACAATAACAACAACATCGTAAACAAAACCACCAGTAGAGACTGATGTATATGTGACTCACTGAGCAGAGAAATCAGACCTCAGACTGACTCTACTAGACACTTTTTGGTGTTACTTCAAAGTTATTATCCCAAATTTAGCTCCCTGCTGCGGTGGTAGTACTTTCGTTTAGGCCAAAGAACTTTCAGGGGTGAAATTGGCAGTGTTGAGCGTCACTTACTGATTAGACACAAACCTTGTGGCTGCTTCAACTTGTGTACAGTCTTCATTCACACAAGCACTGGGTGCTACTAGTCGGTCATTTCTTGTTCATTGACGTGTGGTAGTGTAAGCCTTAATGAGATCTTGTGAGCTGAAATACCTCACTTAGCTCACTTGGCTAGCCGATTCCTTTTTAATGAAGAGGTCCTAATTTCCTTGGTAGGAGAGGAGGGCTAAAATGTAATCAGTTACTTCCTTTGAGGCTATAAATCTAATGTTTTGACTGCTATAGGTGGGCCTACTCACAGACATGACAGGAATAACCAATTATTAATACTTGGCATCTAGTATTAGTTACACCTGTCCTTAACTAAAGGTCTCAGCAGATCTGGGCCTTTGTTGAGCCCCGGCAAGGACATACATAACAAATCAGGCATTTAAACCATCCTTTGGCTTGCTTTGTGTCACTGTAATGCCCTGAGATGCCTGCCAAAAGGTCTGAGACAGCCACATCCTATTAGCTGACCAGTGAAAGTAAACATGTTAGAAAAAAACTGCCACTTTAAACCAATTAGGCTCTGGTGTGTACACAAGGTAGTTAGGTGGTCAGGGTGAAACTGTATTAGAGAACAGAAGTGTTAATTGAGGTTTCTGGACATTTGTAGTTTTTGGTGTTGTTAAATTTGCTGCATTATACTTTTTAGTTAGATGAAGGGCTGCAACGAATGATTTGTTTCATTATTGATTGATCTGCTGATTGATTTAAACAAAAACATTTTTTATGACCAATAGCCCAAAATTTTGCAACTAAGCACACTATTGTGTTACTGAATGGATATCTTTAAAGTAGTAAATCAAGTTATGCATTAAGACAGATGCTTAGTAGTGTGAATGGTATGAGGAGAGGAATATATTTATGAAATGATTAATCGATTAGTGGATCAACCAAATAATAATCATGAACCCTTTTGATAATTGATTAATCGTTTCAATTTACAAGTAAAAATGAAAACATTGCACATATTTGCAGATTTCAGCCTCTCAAAAGATAAGATTTGATGCTTTTATTGGTAATACATCATTTAAACTGAATATTTGGGAGTTTGTGGGAGGTTGGACTGTTGGTCGAACAAAACAATACATTTGAAGAGTCAACTTCAGATCAGCAGTGTTTTGACTAAACGCTTAGTTGAACATGAATTCCTGAGTTAGCAGGCCTATAAATATGTAACAATCTAAATCTAATGAAGTTACAGAAAATCAGACTTTGATTTTAATTATAAGATAGCGATCGGAAGGCTATACTTGCTTGTTCCCTGTCAACCCAAACAATGTGAGATCACATGTAGCTAATGCTAACTTTCCTGCCAGTTAACTAGTTAACTTGGATGAACGTAAAAAGCGAAACGTATGTAAAGCCAATCTAAACATGTATGTCTATTGTACCTGAATGAAAGTGAAAGAAAACCCGCGGTGCATGGAAGTAGACAAAACAGTAAGTTGACGCAGGCTAACTAAGTTGCTAGCCTTTAAGCAAAGTGACGTTTCTCACCTGAGTTCCCACGACAACTATCTGCGGCAGTTGAATTATATCTGCGCCGACCGTATTAAATACATCTTGCAGCTTGTTTATGACAGGTATAAGGGCCTCCATTAGCTTCGATACTAATACCGACCTGTCAAAAGACAACTTTCTTTACCCTGCCAGAGACGGGTACAAAGTCATTCAATGTCTCTCAGCTACAGCTACTGGCTTTGGCTCTGCCGACAACTGCGCAAACAGTTGCTCGTGGTTGCATCATGGGAGTTTGAGTTCGCTAGAGTCAGTTCACCAGAGGGATACTTCAAGGTTCGGCTTTTTCTGAACTACATTTCCTACGGGTGACATCATAGTCGTGTTGCACTAATGAAAAGAAAGATGCAAATATTTCCTCTACGCAACAGTAACTAAGGTGAGTACCAAAATATTTACATGTGAAACCCATGAATGAAATGCGTACATTTATGGTGAAACCTGTATGACCACGTATATTTGATAGGCCACACCTTAGCTTTTGGAAAATAAACCTTTACGGTAAATTCAACTACAACGAACGAACACAACATTTTCACTCTCACACAACATTAAAAAATAAGCAAACAGATCTCAGTTTGTTGTCTACATTTTATTTCTCCAAACACATTCTTTAAAAACAACACACGTATGTGGAATTTTATGCAAAATTGAAAGTGCTACTGGATATTTTACATCAATGTAGAAAATAAATATTGCACAGCACAATGTCAAAGGAGAATGTCACTGTACCTAGTTTACAGGAATGAGGTAACACGACAGGAAAAGTTTCCTCTTCTACAGTATTTACTGAGTGTTTCAGCAACTAGTCATATGCAGAACATTGATGCTTGTTTGTACATATAATTATTTCTTCAGCTTTGTACTGCAGTATTCTTTCACTTGATCTTCATCCAAAAATATATACAATAGTAGTCATGAAACCTCTAGTACATACTGTAGCTTATGGTTCAAGTGGTCCACTGCCAGTTAAATTAAATGTCAGTCAGAGGTTTTTCAATACCTACATTTCAGGAATAGTGGTTCAATTTCATGTAGTGAAACTGTGAATCCATACTAAATATTCAACATTTAAAAAGTAAAGAGCAGGTTTAATTAAATGTATAAATTAAACCAGTGACTTTTCCATTGTTTGCAATTTCGTGTGAAACTTGCTCTGTTTTGATTTTTGATTGTTGTTTTGAGTGTTGATTTAACTCTGATTACTTCTGAAGTTTCAGTGTCTTTGGCTATTTTCTTTTGGACTGATTATAAGATGTAGCCAAATCAAAACTGAAACAGTTTGTCTTGAATTTATTTGCAGGTCTATCTAGGCCACTTCCAATAAAAGAGTGTCATAAACATTTCTATATTCACATATTCCTCTTCCCTAATTATATTTCATAATTTAGGGGCATTTACAATTCTTTTGTATTACTGCTTGAGATTTAACTACAACATTAAAATGTACTTTGTTCAAAAGTGAGACTGGCATCGTAGAGTACAGACATTCCAACAAGATGTAGTACAAACCCAAAAATACCCACTGAACACCCCAACATGTGCAGGGTCCTGGGTTTTTGTTGACATTGCTCCCCATTTGACAACCATAAGCAAAACTCCACTGGATGCTATTGTCTCTGCCTTTAGCTGTGATTTGAAACTTACAATAGCAAAACCTATACAAAAGAAACTAAAAACTATACAAAAACAGAGTAGCAGGTGAACTAGTGGTGAACTGACACATGCATTTGTGTGCCAGGACTATTTTATTTCTTAAAACAGTAAAATTAACAATGTTTTCAAACTCAGCTATCATGGGAAGGTGCTTGAAAAAATACTGACAAAATACTCTCTATCAGCTCACTTCAACAAGAAGTGAAAAACCACTACAATCTTTTACAAGTCCACACAGGGAATAGCTTGAAAACATAGCTTATTTGAATTTTGACCTAAGCTAAGTAAACTGTTTAGTCAGTGCTTGTCATTCTGTGCCTGAATGTCAGTTCTAAATGTCACAGTTCAAATTTCGCAGCATTTGAACCAAGTGGCTTTCAGTTACCTAATCAATACACCAGTATTGCATCTTCTTAAGGCAAGTTTAAGTTTTAAGTCACTGTACATCGCATCTTAAGGTGCAGTACAGTCTGTGTACGTGGTTACCATATTCCCTCTGCGTTGTGTCACTGTTCTACAGTGTTGTTTTGATGCACCATGAAACCTGTTTTCAGTCTGCTTGGTGTGTCTGTCAAAAGTAAACATTCTCTCTATGTCTTCAAACATGTCATCAAAGATACCTGCTCCAAAACCTCCTTGAAAGTGTCTCTTGTGTCTGCTGTGGGAATCCTTTTGGGACCTGGAGTGTTCATCAAAGTGTCTTCGGTGACGGGCGTGCCTGTTCTGGCTGTAGATGTCAAAGTCTTTGAATATGTCATCAAAGTTGAAGCTGAAAGGTTGGTGCGTTCCCTGTGTATGTCTGCCTTGAGTGGAGTATGCAGAGGTGTCACCAAATTGGTTATATTCTCTTCTTCTGGTTTCATCTGACAAAGTTTCATAAGCTGCACATGACAAGATTGAGAGACAAGATTCAGTTAAGGCGGGAGATGTTTAGCACTGTATTTCATAATCCCAGGCCAAAGGTGAACATCCAACTTTGGCCACATGCTCCAGAGTTCTTAATATGAAATGGAAACAGGCTAAACAACACTCTACTCTGCATGCTGGACAAAATATTATATTAGAAGAAACAATAATATTCCAGTGTGTCAGGAAACATGAATCTTTATACACCCAAGCAATCCCAAAACATACAAATCAACTGTACCTTCAGCAATTTCCCTGAATCTCACTTCAGCATCTGGACTCTTGTTCTTATCAGGGTGATATTTCATTGCAAGCCTGTGGAAAGCCTTTTTTATCTGTCGCTCAGAGGCATCTTTAGGCACTCCCAGTATATCATAGTAGTCCTTCTTGGCAAGTATCAGCTCTGTTATCATGAGGATGCACACTGCAAACGTTACAGCAGACTGTGCAGCTGCCATAGCTCTGATGTCCCCTGGAATAGAGAGAGAGAAAATAGCAGTTTGTTAAAGAGTAAATGTTTGTTGCATGCAACAAAGCAAAAGTGTTAATTGTTGCTAACACACCTGGAGAACAATGCCTTATACCATACAATATTGCAAGAAGCTGAGGTCAGCTTACAATATGTGCAGTTAGGGGGAGGGTTAAGGGAATCTGAAGTGTCAATATTGAGCGACCAGTTCTTCATTTTGTGTACCACTTATTGTTATGTAAGGGTGCTAGACATCCTGGTTAATGCCTGAATGCTGCTTATAGCCCAGTTCCAGATTAGTGAAACCTCTACTTATTTATGAAATCAAAAGTGCCCTTCTTTTTCTCCATCCAAACAACAATAGTGTAGCTTTAGCTAATGTTACAATTATATTTATCAACCCTGGACATGATTAACAAAACAAAAGCCTCTTGTTTGTGAAAACACAAATAATGGCAACTTGACATTTTTCGTTTCTGAAAACCAAATTTGACAAATCTAGGAATAGTGGGTTTTGAGCTACACTTGGTTTAAAGTGGTCTATACAGGGGGGAAAGCATTTTTTGCATGAAATGGAATAAATGTTTCACAAATATGAGACTGTTTTTGAAACTGCCTTAAGCTTCTCTGGCTTAGTCTAGTCCAGATCTGACAAGTCTGGGTATAGTGTGTTTATACATATATATATATATATATATAGAGTACTCTGCTCTCCTGATCTCGTGCAAGGCAATGCTAATATTACACGTTGCGCTCTGTCATTACAGACATCACTCCTCACATTAGCTGACGGTGGCTAACACAACCTACTGCCCATACAATCTCGTTCATTTTAGGTTCACAGCACCTACCTTTTTGGGTTTGACAGGAGAGCTGGTTCTGTAGCACTCACACTGCCTATGGACTGTTTAACCAATGTTAAACATGACAGTGTTTGTTGTGAGTATTATCGAGGGACAGTTGTTAGCAGCAGCATCGTTTCCATTACTTCTTCGATCCTTTTGCTGTATCATGGTAAGCAGACTCGTCGGTACGTTTCTGCCCTCTGTCGGTCAATACAGTTACTATCCCCTCCTCAACTGACCGATAGTTACCCTGGTGTTGACGAGAGTGTTGTAGCCTATGGTTACAGCATTTATAACTACATTCACTTGTCAGTTTATTAGGTGCACCTACTTAAAACTAATGCAGTATAATAAAACAACCCTGCAATAAATCCCACATCCATGAAGATTATAATCTTCAGTTTTTTATTTATCTTTATTTTATTGTATTAGAGAGGTATTAATTCAACCGTATGATGACTTTGGAGGATGTATATATTTACAAATTGATTTTATTGTTGGCAAAAATACATCCATAAAGTAAGTTATCCAATCACAGACGACCTTACTTAAGCAGTAGCCTACACTCAACGTTAATATTTTTATGTAATATCCTTGTCCACTGTAATTCTCTGATGATTATTCCCGTCTACTAAAAAGTAATATAAACGATGTAGTTCTGTTTTTCATTAATATTATACTATTGACATACTACTAAAATTGTAGAGTTTTGAGTCATCATATTTACAGCTGTTTTGAGAAAGAAGTGTCATCACATTTCCATGTAGCTGCGTGGCGCTCCATTTTTTATTTTTCTTAGTCCCGTGTAATGCATAGAAGGGTGGATTCTCATTTTTAGTATTGGCTGCTGACTCCGCCTGTCCGGACGAGATTCGGCGGACGCTAGACTATAATAAAAGTTGACCCTCAGCTTCCGTTTGCGGTGGGACGAATTTTCCCAACCAATCAACAGACTCCATTTAAGGAGCCAAGTGATAGACAGCCAATTGTAAAGCACACTGAGCATCACATGACCATTGTTTTTCTTTTGACTGACGTCGTTCAGACAGTCTGGTGTCAGGTCGAATGACCCTGTGAATGTTTGTACTTCTATACGTTTGTGTTAACATTAACGAAGGATGGCGACTTACTGAGAGGGTTAAAGGATTTCTGGCTTTCATGAAACGACGCCATAAAAAGACTGGTATGGTTTGTTATGTTTTGTATGGCCTATATGAATGCTAGCGAGTCAGCTAGCTGCGCCACTCTGTTGTCCGATATAGCAGCTAGGTGCTGATGTTGAAATGTGTTATTCTGACTAGAAGTTAGCTATTTTGTTTACTTCTCGGTTTAGATCAGTTACCGAAGAGATTTTGCTTGTGAAGAAAACTGAGCAATGTCTACAAGTAAGATTTAGGAGCAGTGTTAGTGATTTCATTTCACATGTCATTTTCATCATCTCTGTTTTCTTTCTTGCATGTAAACATCGCTTTTTGTTGTCCATTGCCAGGTTAATGAAAAGGGAGAGCATAGACCTAATATTCTTTGGATGGCATAAACTCTTATGACCGGAAAGAATGAGTCGTAGATGGGCTCCAAATACCTTGGTGAAAGAAAGCAGATCATTTCTACTGTGGCAGACACATACTCGCAAGTCAGCAGCATCACCTCCCTTGTCTGGTACCTATCACTGCAGGCTTCATATACAACAGCCTGTTTGCTACAAGTTTGGCTGTCTCCACCACCTGAGGAGCAGGGGTCGTAAAGGATGGCTCTTTAAAGCTAACCAGGTTAGACAAAGGCTCGGACTCCACACCAGCACCCTGTACTTGAACACTTCAGCCTCACGTTGGTCTACTGGTTTGAGTCAACAGATGTCACGGGTCAGGAGCACACTGGACACAGTTTCTAAAGCTGTGAGTGGGACACATACAGAACTTCTCTCCAAAATTGCCAGACTCAAACCTAAGGGTTTGAATAAAGCAGAGATCAGTGTTGAGTCAGCGCCAAAAGCTGAGGAGAGTGCAATCACAGCAACTCCTGCTCCCACTAATGCTGCTCCTCCTTCTACATCTACTACAGTCAAACCTACAGTTAACTCATCTTCTGCCAGTCCTCTTGTTCATACTTCCGCTGCCGCATTTGATGCAAGTGCCACTACCTCCACTCAATCTCACAATTCTCCGCAAGCGACTGGCAATACCACAGTTGAGCAAACTGTGCAGGAACTTAAGGAGAAAAGACTCAGGCGTGTTGTTCCTGCTGTCAAAGCCAGCTTTGTAAAGAAGGAAGAGGAGCTTAAATCGTCATCAAGCAACACTGAGAACAAGAGCACAGCTTCCAAACAAACCATAGCACTTTTCCATCCCAGCACCTTTTCAGTCAGCTTTGATGAGACTTACAACTACCTGGCCAATCATGTCAACTCATACTTTGGCAGCAGTACAAAGACTCAGGACAAGAAAGTGGACAATGGGGACTATTCCTCTGCTTCCTCTCAGGGCCAACAAACTAATCACCTCATGTCAGTGTCTGATAAAAGTGACTCTGCTGCCCCAGTTACCCCTCCTTCCTCTAAGAAGGGTTTAGGACACTACCTGTCCTACTCAGCTCCCACTGTGCAAGCCTTTGTTGGGAGCTATATTGCTCCCCTGGTCCCCAAGTTCAGGACAGGAGAGTCCAAGACTGCTACAGTGGAGGAGAAGAAGCTTGACGATGAAGCAGTAAAACAGGTTGAGGCCAAAATTAATAAGGAGCAGAAGGCTGCAGAGGAGAAAGCTAAGAAACTTCTACTCCAAAGGGAAAAGGTAGGTGTACAACAAAGCAATATTTCAAACTGTTTCCTTTTGTAGGAATATGATTGACAGTAAGCATGTATCTTTAGTAATCAGTTCCTTCAGTATCCTATGGGTGCGGCATAGGATTTTTCAGTTTTATAGTGCTCTAAGTAAACATTTTGTCCGTGTGGTGCAGACACAGATTCTAACTATGCGAGACATGACCTGAGTCTATGTTTGAGGGATACATGATCCCCACATCGGATATTTTTGAGTATCTGGTATACTATAGCAGGGTGCCTTCTGTCCACACGTTGAGGGAGCTCTTGCTACTCTATATGTCTAATGCTAGTGTAGTGCACTTAGTTCTGGGAATCTGTTTTCAAAAATAACTCACTTGAAGAGATAGTGGGCCACAGAAGGTGTGTTCTTTGTAGGCTAAGCCATATAAAGAAACCTGACATTTAGTCTATGGCGAGAATGGATTTAGTATTTTGAAACATGAGCTGATATGTGAGTTAGCAGATAGCAAAAGCACGGCATGACCTACATCCTTTAGCTGGTGATATACAGTAGAACAATGTGGTGCACAGATGATGGTGCACTTCTATTGTTGCATTTAATCCAAGGGCCAGACATGAAACGTGAAACATCAAGGTCACAAAAACTAGTTAATGGTACTGAGAAGGAATTTGTCTGTTGGCAGTATGATAACAATTACTCAATGGCAGTTTTGTCATTAACATGTTGATTTAATCTCCACAGGGAATTATGCTACTTATGATAGCATTTATATGGTTGTTAAATTAATGTAATTAATAAGTTGATTACAGTAACACATTTATTACTACAGTGATTGCTGCTATACAAAAATATTATATACAGACATATATTTATTAAAATATTCTTTTGTTCCATATTAAGAGGTGCTTAAACAACACCGTCATGTCAATCCTAGTGAGATAGTTAAATGTCATAGTCAGTACTTTTTGTATTTGTGTAGTGGACATTTAAATGTTTCTTCTCACTCTAGGTTGTCACAAAAGAATGAAATGAAACAATGGCAACATTTATTAGTTACTGTGTAACATTGTAAATATAAATGAGTTATTTTTTAAATCCCCTACACAACTTGTCCATTTTTAGCTAGGATCCCAGATAATTAACAATAAGATCTAAGTGGTTGCATATTTTTTTTCTCCTAGATCATTGCCAGGGTGAGTGTGGACAATCGGACTCGAGCTCTGGTCCAGGCTTTACACAGGGCATCAGATGTAAGGGTCTATATCAGCAGGGTGGAGGACCTCAGCTACCATCTCCTGGAGTTTCCAGAGACTCGTGGTGTTGCTGTCAAGGTGAGAAATCTGAACAGGCTTGCGTTTATTTTCTTTTTTTTACCCAAAATACTAGCATCCTGATGCTTTTTTCAGCAACGTGTCTGATACTCCTTTATATGTCAGAAGTATCACCTCTTATATTTGCCACTAGCTCATTGTGCAAAGACGATGTTTACAGCAGCAGGTTTTTTATGCATACATTATTGTGTTATATCTGGCATGAATTGGTAAACAGTTGGAGAATGTGAATGATGTAGATAATGGCCTTTTGCTTCTTGTGTTTGGGAAGTTTCCCATACCAGGCAAAATGTCAGTTTGTCAGCTGTGCCAACAGTATTACAGGCTGCTCTCAGCTCATAGTCAGAGCTATGTAACTATATGCAGACTGTGAACTGCTACATTTATTTATGACTGAGCTTTATCTGTGATGGCATCAGGAATAGGGATGTTCATTTTGAAGAGAGAAACCCCTTGCAGACAGATCACATCACACAAGGCGATGGACCTCTTAACTTCATTTTTGCAGAAGAAGTGATGCCCCCAGCTTATACAGGAACACATAAGAAGCTCTGTGTTATAACTTCATGAGGTTATTATAAAGATCACCTGTGATTAGAAAAGAGCAGAGGAGCAGAGGCGGCGCTGAGAAATGTGCTTCTGGTGTGAACAGCCAGACACAACACAGAGTGGGACTGGCATTAAACCTCAAAATAAAATAAACAGGCCCAGCTTCGTCCTCTGCATAGCAGACAGCTTGTCTACTGTTTTTTATTCAGAAATAGCAACATATCGACATGTTGTGGGGTTAGTCTGGTGTGCAATCTGTTAACTGTTAGACCTGCGACATAGCATACCCACTCAGATGGTACTTATATGATGATGATATTTTAACTGTTCAACTGATAGTATTAATTGGTCAAAATACTTATTGTTGGTTAACGGTTAATTATGAACAACCCTAGTGAGGAACTGATTCAGTATTAACCTATTTTGAAACAATGCCACTTTTCCAAGTGTGAGGAAGGTTAATCCTTCATGAAAAATCAAGAACCGTGTTGTGCTCCACATATCATTGAAAGAATAATAAGGTTTATAAATGGCAACAGAAATGAAGGACATCATTGTGGTGAGTGATTGACTTGAATTTCAGTCTAAATTCAGTCATGATGTGA